CGTTATCGGAGGCTGCAGTTGCATGTTAGGGAGTCGGGCCTTGGGAAATGGGTCAGTGAACCCATCTGAAGGCCATGAGTGTTTGTGCAGATTGCCCTCTGTTTCCAGCGCTACACACACACAGTGAGAACATAAATATCTGTCAGAATAGTTTTTTTTGAAGCCCGGCAAAATTAGGCACAGTTCCACCACTTTCATGTTTGCATGCCAATTTCACAGCTCTTTCAAACCACCGGCGTTCCCACAACACAGAAATCAATAGCAGTGTTCCACTGCTTAAGCCGCAACATTCCAATTACAAAAAGTGAGAGCCTTGCTCATCCTTGCTCATGATCTGTATGATTGGTTAAATTATGGTCGCCAGTGGGCAATGCTCCTCCTCACACCAGTATTGGCTAGGGCCTTATCTTGTTGTGTTGCTGTTCTCTTTTTCTTTAAGTGCCTAATCAATGTTGGCTTTCTTGTCCTGTGAAGAGACACTATCACACTGACAACAGCCTAACTGCCCGAACGTTTGTTCTGCCCTTGTTGAAGTAAAGAAGTAAGCTTAAAATACCTTAAAACAATATTTGTTGTGTGCGGACCCTCTATACTGCAGCCCAACTAAATATAATCAAATCAAATGTTATTGGTCACATACACGTGTTTAGCAGATGTTATTGCGGGTGTAGCGAAATGCTTGTGATTTTATCAAATCAAATCAATGTTTATTTGTCACATACCCGTGTTTAGCAGATGTTATTGCGGGTGTAGCGAAATGCTTGTGCTTCTAGCTCCGACAATGCAGTAATATCTAACAAGTAAAATCTAACAATTTCACAACATATACCCAATACACACAAATCTCAGTAAGGATGGAATTTAAGAATATATACATACAGTGGGGAGAACAAGTATTTGATACACTGCAGCAGGGATTTTGGCCCACTCCTCCATACAGACCTTCTCCAGATCCTTCAGGTTTCGGGGCTGTCGCTGGGAAATACGGACTTTCAGCTCCCTCCAAAGATTTTCTATTGGGTTCAGGTCTGGAGACTGGCTAGGCCACTCCAGGACCTTGAGATGCTTCTTACGGAGCCACTCCTTAGGTGCCCTGGCTGTGTGTTTCGGGTCGTTGTCATGCTGGAAGACCCAGCCACGACCCATCTTCAATGCTCTTACTGAGGAAAGGAGGTTGTTGGCCAAGATCTCGTGATACATGGCCCCATCCATCCTCCCCTCAATACGGTGCAGTCGTCATGTCCCCTTTGCAGAAAAGCATCCCCAAAGAATGATGTTTCCACCTCCATGCTTCACGGTTGGGATGGTGTTCTTGGGGTTGTACTCATCCTTCTTCTTCCTCCAAACACGACGAGTGGAGTTTAGACCAAAAAGCTATATTTTTGTCTCATCAGACCACATGACCTTCTCCCATTCCTCCTCTGGATCATCCAGATGGTCATTGGCAAACTTCAAACGGGCCTGGACATGCGCTGGCTTGAGCAGGGGGACCTTGCGTGCGCTGCAGGATTTTAATCCATGACGGCGTAGTGTGTTACTAATGGTTTTCTTTGAGACTGTGGTCCCAGCTCTCTTCAGGTCATTGACCAGGTCCTGCCGTGTAGTTCTGGGCTGATCCCTCACCTTCCTCATGATCATTGATGCCCCACGAGGTGAGATCTTGCATGGAGCCCCAGACCGAGGGTGATTGACCATCATCTTGAACTTCTTCCATTTTCTAATAATTGCGCCAACAGTTGTTGCCTTCTCACCAAGCTGCTTGCCTATTGTCCTGTAGCCCATCCCAGCCTTGTGCAGGTCTACAATTTTATCCCTGATGTCCTTACACAGCTCTCTGGTCTTGGCCATTGTGGAGAGGTTTGAGTCTGTTTGATTGAGTGTGTGGACAGGTGTCTTTTATACAGGTAACAAGTTCAAACAGGTGCAGTTAATACAGGTAATGAGTGGAGAACAGGAGGGCTTCTTATAGAAAAACTAACAGGTCTGTGAGAGCCGGAATTCTTACTAGTTGGTAGGTGATCAAATACTTATGTCATTAAATAAAATGCAAATTAATTACTTAAAAATCATACAATGTGATTTTCTGGATTTTTGTTTTAGATTCTGTCTCTCACAGTTGAAGTGTACCTATGATAAAAATACAGACCTCTACATGCTTTGTAAGTAGGAAAACCTGCAAAATCGGCAGTGTATCAAATACTTGTTCTCCCCACTGTATATGAACAAACAATGACAGAGCGGCATGGACTAAGATACAGTAGAATATTATAGAATACAGTGTATGCAAATGAGATGAGTAATGCAAGATATGTAAACATTATTAAAGTGACTAGTGTTCCATTTCTTAAAGTGGCCAGTGATTTCAATAGGCAGCAGCAGCCTCTAATGTGTTAGTGATGGCTATTTAACAGGCTGATGGCCTTGAGATAGAAGCTGTTTTTCATTCTCTCTGTCCCAGCTTTGGATGCACCTGTACTGACCTCGCCTTCTGGATGATAGCAGGGTGAACAGGCAGTGGCTCTGGTGGTTGATATCCTTGATGATCTTTTTTGGCCTTCCTGTGACATCGGGTGCTGTAGGTGTCCTGGAGACGATGGTGAGCTGGAAAGCCACCACAATCCTGAGATTTTAGGCATGACACTATCTATCAAACTGATAGGCCACTCTCCCTAACATTTCGAAGATGACATCACTGCTATCTGTTCCCCTCCTCTCTCACCTGGTATTCCATGGGCGAGATAGAGCCACAGTGGTAAATTGCCTCTTGCTATCTGTTGATGATTTTACCCAGAGTGCATGGCTGAGGGTCAGGGGGAGGAGAATATTAAGAGTATTAAATGCACCTGTGCTTTCGAAATGAAACAGCAACGATTTCTTAATTGGAGCGCCTGGCAAGATTCTTGTCTAATCCCATAATAATCAGGATAATGACAGCACTCCCTCACTCTCACTGGGAAGCCGTGGATCAAATGCATCCTCGCATCCTCTTCCCTCTGCTTTTAATCTTTCTCCCAAACTGCTGTCACGCCACGTTTAGCGCCACCGCGTTATGCCCCCACGCGCAAGGCATGCCAATGAGCCTCCCTCGCATGGCTTCGCCACCTTGCATAATTCTCCTGTCCGCTTGGCTCGACGAGGACATACTGTACGTCACATACTCCCGAGGCCTTGGGGTTTCAACTGTCAATCCGTTCCACCCACCCACCCAACCTCAAGTCAATCCACCCCCTTTCAATACGGCTAACATACAGGTAACTGCCAAAATAAAGGAAACACCTAAATAAAGTGTCTTAATAGGGCGTTGGACCACCACGAGCCACAACAGCTTCAATGCACCTTGGCACAGATTCTACAAGTGTCTGGAACTCTATTGGAGGGATGCGACACCATTCTTCCACGAGAAATTCCATCATTTGGTGTTTTGTTGATGGTGGTGGAAAACTCTGTCTCAGGCACCGCTCCAGAATCTCCCATAAGTGTTCGATTGGGTTGAAATCTGGTGACTGAGACGTCCATGGCATATGGTTTACGTTTTTATGCTCATCAAACCATTCAGTGACCACTCATGCACTGTGGATGGGGCATTGTCATCCTATGGGGGCATAGCCATGGTAGCCAAAATAATGGCCTGCACAGCATTTTTATACATGACCCTAAGCATGATAGGATGCTTATTGCTTAATCAACTCAGGAACCACACCTGTGTGGAAGCATCTGCTTTCAATTTTTTCTTAATATTTCCATTATTTTGGCAGTTACCTGTATGTCTAACCTTGACAACAATTTTTATGAAGAATTGATTGGGGGTTAAAGAAGGAAAAGGAGGCAATGATGATGAAACAATATAATTTGTTCGATCACGTCAGATCACGTTGTCGTCTACGCGTTTCTTCCTGTTTCTTCCCGATCCTGACCCACTTCCCAACTCGCCTGGCAGTGGCAGAACCGGTACCACATGGAACACCACATCCCACTCCTCCCATCAGAAGCAGTCTCTTCGCTAACCCCCAATTTAATGAAGTTATACTGTAGTGGAGCGGCCGCAGAAGAGAGTGGCATGCAGACACCTCCTCTCTGATGTTCTCCCGCTTCTTCAAATCTGTCTCTGCCAAGGAGCTGGGCTTTGTGAATTATTAAGCAGAGAGCTCTCTTTTCTTCTTCTCCTCTGTTGCTTTTCTTCCCTCCCTCTTTTCTATCCACATAGCGAGAGCTCTCTTCATCCACTCTTCTCTCTCTCTCTCTCTCTCTCTCTCTCTCTCTCTCTCTCTCTCTCTGAGAGGTTATCAGTGAGATGCAAATGACCTCGTTTGAAGAACGGCATGCTTGGAAACATCATTTAATCAGCGCCCGTTTACTTCCCCATAAATAGAAAAATATGGTTATTCTCTACCATTCCTCGCCAGTTTTCTATCTGTGCCATAAGTCCATGGTTTTTACCCATATACCTTAGGGTGTTGGTTTCTGATTGGCTCATACAGAGTGGTCAACCACCTGTAATTGGCTCATACAATGTGCTCTGACACCTCTGATTGGCTTATACAGAGGGGTCAGCCACCTCTGATTGGCTCATACAGAGGTGTCTGCCACCTCTGATTGGCTCATACAATGTGCTCTGCCACCTGTGATTGGCTCATACAGGGCCAATCAGAGGGGTCAGGGCCAATGAGATTACCAGGAGGGAGTTGATTGATACAGGTAGTATCAATCAAGAACTATGGATGAGAGTCTGGTACATGTTCAGACTTGACCATAGGTTTGTGCAAGTAGGGGGATTAGCAGTACTTTCACATTGACCCGCCAACCCCCTTTTTTCAATCCTCCTGATCCTCCATCAACCTCTACTCTCTTTTAACCGATGCGATGACCCCTCTTCCTGCCCTTTGCCCCACCCATCTGTCAGCCCCCCACCCCTCAATACCCACCCTTCTCCATCTCTCCCTCACCTCTCTCACCGCTCCCTCACCCCCTTCAATGCTAACCCCAGTTGTCTCCCGTCTCAGATCTGCACGTGCCCAGCCCGTGTCTGGCAAAGGCCTGCGAGTTTGGCGCTGTGTGTATGGTGAAGAACGACAAGCCCGTATGTGAGTGCACCGAAGCCTGCATCCAGACACCTGACCCAGTGTGCGGCAGTGACGGCCACAGCTACGGCAGCCAGTGTGAGATGAGGGCCATGGGCTGCGCCCTGCAGAGGGAGATCCACATCCAGCACCGAGGACCCTGCAGTGAGTACCGGACTATACTGTAGTATACTGTAGTACACTATATATGTATACTGTACATCCCTGACCATGTGACCTGACCAGGAAAACAGGAATAACTCTGGGCCCTAGGGTATAAGGTCATATCATGTGGTCAGGGAAAAACTTCTGGTCTTAAAATGATACTTTGGGATTTTGGCAATGAGGCCCTTTATCTACTTCCCCAGAAATCTATGTTTGAAGGAAGTTGCTAACTAGCGCTAGCGCAATTGCTAACTAACGTTAGTGCAATGACTGGAAGTCTATGGGTATCTGCTAACATGCTAGCATTAGTTAGTTAGCATTGGCTTGAGAAACTACCTCTAACTTCCTTCACACTGGATACAGAGACAAAAAAATTAAAATAGATTGCATTTTCAACAAGAAAGGTCTAAAATAGGGAAATTGCAGGCTTGTGCCGGGCTAGAGGAGCGCTGAAAAGGGAAGGAAGGATGAGAGGAGACAAGGATAAGAGTGGATAGGTGAGAGGGACTCTGGGGACTTAGATAAATGGCCTCTGCCAAAATTCCGAAGTATCCCTTTAACTGTAGCATAATATAATATGGTATTATAGTATGAACTACTATGGTCATTTAACTTACAGTGAACACATATTTAGTGCATGTGGCCCTTGTGTGCATCAAACCTTTTGCGGTTGCATGCACCATAGTCCAGCAAACCAACCACCAAACCAATTTACACACGTTCTTTAATGCCACTGTACTCTGAGTACGTCATCCCTCTCACCTCTCCAATCTTATCCTCGTCTCCTCTCATCCTCCATTCTCTTTTCAGCGCTCCCCCAGCCCAGTACAAGCTTGCAATTTCCCTACTTTTTACCTTTCTTGTTGAAGATGCAATCTACTTCCAATGAGAGAGGGAACAGCCATGCTCCTCCTGTTTAATTGGTGACTGAGTCATGAGTCTTTGTCTGCTCTCAAGAACCGGGGTAAAAATATCCCGGCTTCCGCAGGCACCCCTTTCATTGCCTGTTTTCTTTTTCTTCCCAAAAGCCTGGTTAATCCACTTGATGAAGCCATTTTAGCTAGACTTATTAATGGCATCTCTAGTGCTCATTTTCCCATAAAAGAGTAATTGATGATGACGATGATTAACATTTTCCTTTTACCAACAAACCGTTTGCTCCTGTGCCTTCCGTTCCATGTCCTTTCCTTGCTCTTAGTTATCAGCCAGAGTTCACACTGCAGCTTTAGTTTGAATGAGATGTTCTCTTATTGTAAATGTGGGCTACGCCATAGGCCTGTATCTCTATAGTAAGGAACATGAAAGCACAGATCAGACGTGAACAAATGAAAATAAATATTTACGTCTCTTCACTTATCTGTTCTCTTATTGGCTACTTAGCAAAGTTGATGCATGTTGCCTGCTAGCCATTTGGTCCTAAACAGGTAATAGCTTTTGATTTGATTTGATTATGATCCCCATTAGCTGATGCAAATGGCGACAGCTAGTCTTACTGGGGTCCGTCACATAAAGAAAAATACATTACAGACAAAATACTTTACAATTTGCATACATTTAAAAACATTAACATGTAGTGCGTGCGTGCGTGCGTCTATCAGTTACACATACAGTAGCAGTAAAAGTTTGGACACACCTACTCATTCCAGGGTTTTAGAATAATAGTGAAGACATCAAAACTATGAAATAACACATATGGAATCATATAGTAACCAAAAAAGTGTTAAACAATTCTTCAAAGTAGCCACCCTTTGCCTTGATGACAGCTTTTCACACTCTTGGCATTCTCTCAACGAGCTTCATGAGGTAGTTTTGGGTCATTGTCCTTTTGAAAAATTAATCATAGTCTAACTAAGCGCAAACCAAATGGAATGGCGTATTGCTGCAGAATGCTGTGGTAGCCATGCTGGTTAAGTGTGCCTTGAATTCTAAATAAATCATTGTCAGTGTCACCAGCAAAGCACCCCCACACATCACACCTCCTGCTCCATGCTTCATGGTAGGAACCACACATGCAGAGATCATCCATTCACCTACTCTGCATCCCACAAGGACACGGCGGTTGGAACCAAAAATCTCACATTTGGACTCATCAGACCAAAATAACAGATTTCCACCGGTCTAATGTCCATTGCTCGTGTTTCTTGGCCCAAACAAGTCTCTTGTTCTTATTGGTGTCCTTTAGTAGTGGTTTCTTTGCAGCAATTCGACCATGAAGGCCTGATTCATGCAGTCTCCTCTGAACAGTTGATGTTGAGATATGTCTGTTACTTGAACTCTGTGAAGCATTTATTTGGGCTGCAATCTGAGGTGCAGTTAATTGCCGATTTCTGAGGCTGGTAACTCTAATGAACTTATCCTCTGCAGCAGAGGTAACTCTGGGTCTTCCTTTCCTGTGGTTGTCCTCATGAGAGCCAGTTTCATCATAGCCCTTGATGGTTTTTGCGACTGCACTTGAAGAAACTTTAAAAGTTCTTGGAATTTTCAGGATTGACTTACCTTCATGTCTTAAAGTAATAATGGACTGTCGTTTCTCTTTGCTTATTTGAGCTGTTCTTGCCATAATATGGACTTGGTCTTTTACCAAATAGGGCTGTCTTCTGTATACCACCCCTACCTTGTCACAACACAACTGATTGGCTCAAACGCATTAAGAAGGAAAGAAATTCCACAAATTAACTTTTAAGAAGGCACACCCGTTAATTGAAATGCATTCCAGGTGACTACCTCATGAAGCTGGTTGAGAGAATGCCAAGAGTGTGCAAAGCTGTCATCAAGGCAAAAGGTGGCTACTTATCTCAATTATAAAATATATTTTGATTTGTTGAACACTTTTTTGGTTACTACGTGATTCCATATGTGTTATTTCATAGTTTTGATGTCTTCACTATTATTCTACAATGTAGAAAATAGTAAAAAATAAAGAAAAACCCTGGAATGAGTAGGTGTGTCCAAACTTTTGACTGGTACTGTACATGTCAGTACATACACACAAAAAGTAGGCCACCTGGGGGAGAGGCGCTGTGCAGTGAGGTGTTGCTTTATGTGTTTTTTGAAACCAGGTTTGCTGTTCATTTGTGCTATATAAGATGGGAGTTCCATGCAATCATGGCTCTGTATAATACTGTACGTTTTCTTTCATTTGTTCTGGACCTGGGGACTGTGAAAAGACCCCTGGTGGCATGTTTGGTGGGGTAAGTGTGTGTCAGTGCTGTGTGTAAGTTGACTATGCAAACAATTTGGAATTTCCAACACATTAATGTTTCTTATAAAAACAAGAAGTGATGCAGTCTGTCTTTCCTCAACTCTTAGCCAAGAGAGACTGGCATGCATAGTATTGATATTAGCCCTCTGATTATAATGAAGAGCAAAATGTGCTGCTCTGTTCTGGGCCAGCTGCAGTTTAACTAGGTCCTTTTTTGCAGTAATTGACCATATGACTGGACAATAATCAAGATAAGATAAAACTAGAGCCTGCAGGACTTGCTTTGTGGAGTGTGGTGTCAAAAAAGCAGAGCATCTCTTTATCACGGACAGACCTCTCCCCATCTTTATAACCATTAAATCAATACAGTGGGGAGAACAAGTATTTGATACACTGCCGATTTTGCAGGTTTTCCTACTTACAAAGCATGTAGAGGTCTGTAATTTTTATCATAGGTACACTTCAACTGTGAGAGACGGAATCTAAAACAAAAATCCAGAAAATCACATTGTATGAATTTTAAGTAATTAATTTGCATTTTATTGTATGACATAAGTATTTGATCACCTACCAACCAGTAAGAATTCCGGCTCTCGCAGACCTGTTAGTTTTTCTTTAAGAAGCCCTCCTGTTCTCCACTCATTACCTGTATTAACTGCACCTGTTTGAACTCGTTACCTGTATAAAAGACACCAGTACACACACTCAATCAAACAGACTCCAACCTCTCCACAATGTCCAAGACCAGAGAGCTGTGTAAGGACATCAGGGGAAAAATTGTAGACCTGCACAAGGCTGGGATGGGCTACAGGACAATAGGCAAGCAGCTTGGTGAGAAGGCAACAACTGTTGGTGCAATTATTAGAAAATGGAAGAAGTTCAAGATGACGGTCAATCACCCTCGGTCTGGGGCTCCATGCAAGATCTCACCTCGTGGGGCATCAATGATCATGAGGAAGGTGAGGGATCAGCCCAGAACTAATCGGCAGGACCTGGTCAATGACCTGAAGAGAGCTGGGATCACAGTCTCAAAGAAAATCATTAGTAACACACTACGCCGTCATGGATTAAAATCCTGCAGCGCACGCAAGGTCTCCCTGCTCAAGCCAGCGCATGTCCAGGCCCGTCTGAAGTTTGCCAATGACCATCTGGATGATCCAGAGGAGGAATGGGAGAAGGTCATGTGGTCTGATGAGACAAAAATAGAGCTTTTTGGTCTAAACTCCACTCGCCGTGTTTGGAGGAAGAAGAAGGATGAGTACAACCCCAAGAACACCATCCCAACCGTGAAGCATGGAGGTGGAAACCTCATTCTTTGGGGATGCTTTTCTGTAAAGGGGACAGGACGACTGCACCGTATTGAGGGGAGGATGGGTGGGGCCATGTATCGCGAGATCTTGGCCAACAACCTCCTTCCCTCAGTAAGAGCATTGAAGATGGGTCGTGGCTCGGTCTTCCAGCATGACAACGACCCGAAACACACAGCCAGGGCAACTAAGGAGTGGCTCCGTAAGAAGCATCTCAAGGTCCTGGAGTGGCCTAGCCAGTCTCCAGACCTGAACCCAATAGAAAATCTTTGGAGGGAGCTGAAAGTCCGTATTGCCCAGCGACAGCCCCGAAACCTGAAGGATCTGGAGAAGGTCTGTATGGAGCAGTGGGCCAAAATCCCTGCTGCAGTGTGTGCAAACCTGGTCAAGACCTACATGAAATGTATGATCTCTGTAATTGCAAACAAATATTTCTGTACCAAATATTAAGTTCTGCTTTTCTGATGTATCAAATACTTATGTCATGCAATAAAATGCAAATTAATTACTTAAAAATCATACAATGTGATTTTTTGGATTTTTGTTTTAGATTCCATCTCTCACAGTTGAAGTGTACCTATGATAAAAAATTACAGACCTCTACATGCTTTGTAAGTAGGAAAACCTGCAAAATCGGCAGTGTATCAAATACTTGTTCTCCCCACTGTATGTTTTGACCATGACATTTTACAATCTAAGGTAACACAACGTAATTTAGTCTCCTCAACTTGCTCAACGGCCACACCATTCATTACCAGATTCAGCTGAGGTCTAGAACTTACGGAATGATTTGTACCAAATGCAATGCTCTTAGTTTTAGAGATGTTCCAGACCAGTTTGTAACTGGCTACCCATTCTAAAACTGACTGCAACTCTTTGTTTAGAGTTAGAGTGATTTCACTAGCTGTGGTTGCTGACGCAAATAGGGTTAAAGCATCAGCATACATGGACACACAAGCTTTGTTTAATGCCAGTGGCAGGTCATTGGTCAAAATAGAAAAGAGTAGAGGGCCAAGACAGCTGCCCTACGGTACACCACACTTTATATGTTTAATATTAGAGAAACGTCCATTAAAGAAAACCCTCTGTGTTCTATGAGATAGATAGCTCTGAATACACAATAAGGCAGAGGTTGAAAAGCCATAACACATTTTTTTGTTTTTCAACAATAGGTTATGGTTAATAATATCAAAGGCTGCACTGAAATCTAACAGTACATCTCCCACAATATTCATATGATCCATTTCTTTAAACCAATCATCAGTCATTTGTGTCAGTGCAGTACATGTTGAGTGCCCTTCTCTACAAGCATGCTGAAAGTGTGTTGTTAATTTGTTTACAGAGAATTAGCATTGTATTTGGTCAAACACAACTTTTTCCAACTGTTTGCTAAGAGCTGGCAGCAAGCTGATAGGTCGGCTGTTAGAACCAGTAAAGGCTGCTTTACCATTCTTGGGTAGCAGAATTTCATAAATTCATCAAGTGATGCGTCTGGATGCTCCATATTAATCACATCAGACCAACAAATGTTTTTAACATCATCCACATAAGTCACAGCAAAATCTTTTGTATGATCTCTGATACACTATTTTAGGCCCAGCTTTTGGAACCGTTACTTACCTGGATATAGATCACTGCATCCAATGGGTACGGAAACAGTTTCAGAACACAGTTCTACAGTATTAGTAAAAATGAAGATCAATACTATATGATATATACTGAACAAAAATATAAACACAACATGCAACAATTTCAACGATTTTACTGAGTTACAGTTCATATAAGGAAATCAGTCAATTGAAATAAATGCATTAGGTCCTAATCTATGGATTTCACATGACTGGGTAGGTGCACAGTCATGGGTGGGCCTGGGAGGGCAGAGGCCCACCCACATGGGAGCCAGGCCCACCCACTAGGTAGCCAGGCCCAGCCAATCAGAATGAGATTTTCCCCACAAAAGGGCTTTATTACAGACATAAATACTCCTCAGTTTCATCAGCTGTCTGGGTGGCTGGTCTCAGGTGAAGAAGCCGGATGTGGAGGTCCTGGGCTGGCGTGGTTACACGTGGTCTGCGGTTGTGAGGCCCGTTCGACATACTGCCAAATTCTCTAAAATGACAGTGGAGGCGGCTTATGGTAGAGAAATGAACATTCAATTCTCTGGCAACAGCTCTGGTGGACATCCCTGCAGTCAGCATGCCAATTGCACGTTCCCTCAAAACTTTAGACATCTGTGGTATTGTGTTGTGTGACAAAACTGCATATTTTAGGGTGGCCTTTTATTGTCCCCAGAACAAGGTGCACCTGTATAATGGTCATGCTGTTTAATGAGCTTCTTGATATGCCACACCTGTCATGGATGGATTATCTTGGCAAAGGAGAAATGCTCACTAACAAGGATGTAAACAAATTTGTGCACAACATTTGAGAGAAATAAGCTTTATGTGAGTATGGAACATTTCTGGGATCTTTTATTTCAGCTCATTAAACATGGGACCGGCACTTTACATGTGCGTTTATATTTTTGTTCAGTGTATTTTTGTTCAGTATAGTTCCTGTTGTGTTTGTAAACACCCTGGTAGGTTGATTAACAACCTGAACCAGATTACAGGCACTGGTTACAGTGAGAAGCTTCCTCTTGAGCAGACAACTTGATGAAAACCAGTCAATATTCAGGTCCCTAAGAAAGTAAACCTCTCTGTTTACATCATATACACTATCAAGCATTTAACACATTATCTAGATACTGACTGTTAGCTTGGTGGCCTATAGCAACACCCTAAATTAATAGGCTTTAGATGAGGCAGGTGAACCTGCAACCACAACACTTCAATAACACTTGACATGAGAGCTTCTCTAAGCATTACATTGAAATGGCTCTGAATATATAGCTCAACCCCTCTCCCATAGGCATTCCTGTCTCTTCTGTCGATATTATATCCATGTATTGCTACTGCTGTATCATCAAAATAACTATTTAAGTGAGTCTCAGAAATGGCTAATATATGAATGTTATCTAATGTTAGCAAGTTAATGATTTCATGAACCTTATTTCTAAGGGGGAAAAAAGTATTTAGTCAGCCACCAATTGTGCAAGTTCTTCCACTTAAAAAGATGAGAGAGGCCTGTAATTTTCATCATAGGTACACGTCAACTATGACAGACAAATTGAGAAGAAAAAAATCCAGAAAATCACATTGTAGAATTTTTAATGAATTTATTTGCAAATTATGGTGGAAAATAAGTATTTGGTCACCTACAAACAAGCAATATTTCTGGCTCTCACAGACCTATAACTTCTTCTTTAAGAGGCTCCTCTGTCCTCCACTCGTTACCTGTATTAATGGCACCTGTTTGAACCTGCAGAGAGCTGGGACCAAAGTAACAAAGCCTACCATCAGTAACACACTACGCCGCGAGGGACTCAAATCCTGCAGTGCCAGACGTGTCCCCCTGCTTAAGCCAGTACATGTCCAGGCCCGTCTGAAGTTTGCTAGAGTGCATTTGGATGATCCAGAAGAGGATTGGGAGAATGTCATATGGTCAGATGAAACCAAAATAGAACTTTTTGGTAATAACTCAACTCGTCGTGTTTGGAGGACAAAGAATGCTGAGTTGCATCCAAAGAACACCATACCTACTGTGAAGCATGGGGGTGGAAACATCATGCTTTGGGGCTGTTTTTCTGCAAAGGGACCAGGACGACTGATCCGTGTAAAGGAAAGAATGAATGGGGCCATGTATCTTGAGATTTTGAGTGTAAACCTCCTTCCGTCAGCAAGGGCATTGAAGATGAAACGTGGCTGGGTCTTTCAGCATGACAATGATCCCAAACACACCGCCCGGGCAATGAAGGAGTGGCTTCGTAAGAAGCATTTCAAGATCCTGGAGTGGCCTAGCCAGTCTCCAGATCTCAACCCCATAGAAAATCTTTGGAGGGTGTTGAAAGTCCGTCTTGCCCAGCGACAGCCCCAAAACATCACTGCTCTAGAGGAGATCTGCATGGAGGAATGGGCCAAAATACCAGCAACAGTGTGTGAAAACCTTGTGAAGACTTACAGAAAACGTTTGACCTGTGTCATTGCCAACAAAGGGTATACAACAAAGTATTGAGAAACTTTTGTTATTGACCAAATACTTATTTTCCACCATAATTTGAAAATAAATTCATTAAAAATCCTACAATGTGATTTTCTGGATATTTTTTTCTCATTTTGTCTGTCATAGTTGACGTGTACCTATGATGAAAATTACAGGCCTCTCTCATCTTTTTAAGTGGGAGAACTTGCAAAATTGGTGGCTGACTAAATACTTTTTTCCCCCACTGTATATGAATATGGCCAATTTTTTGCCTTTTCCTGGGTAGCTTATCAGAGATGGACATAATATAGAAAATAATAAACAACGCAAGAAAAAAAGAACATTTCAGCAGTCCATCAATCAGTTGCTGTGTGTGTGTGCTGCGGTGTTGAAGCTACGAACACACATGCTTGGCTCTCTCATCCCTTCCAGGCTTTGGGGAGGGAGGGTGGACAATGAGCCTGTCAAAGCGGATATACGTTCCCACATGCTCTGGCAGCTTTCATCGCTGGGATAAGTTCTTCCCTCTTCTGGCCCACAGCTTCAGGATAGTACTCGTTGAGGAAGATGTACATTCCTCTCAAGTTCTTGGCTCTTTCCAGCTAACTTGTCCTTGAACCTCAGGAACCTGACCACTATCGGCCTGGGCCTGTCACCTGGGCCGGTGGGGGTTTTCCAGTCCTGTGGGTGTGCTCCACCTCAATCTTCCTGTGGTCCATCTTCAGTTTCTCAGTGATAATTTCCCTCACTTTGTCCTCAGACTATGTCCACATCTCGTGGAGATTCTGCAATTCCGTCCACAACAATGTTGTTCCGCCTTGATTGTCCCTAGAGATAATCTGATTTATCCGTCATTATCATGGATTCACATACAGAACTGATGTCCTCTCTCAATGATAGATTGCTGTCATCTTGCTATTCTCCTGTTTAAACTCATCGAGATGACCCTGGGAGAACTGCAAACTGTTCTTCAGGTCCCGGACCTCTCTGGTCAGATTGTCCATTATTTTATTAGTTGACTAGACCGGTATTTGGACCCAACACTTGAAGCTATTTTCTTGTTATTGTAACAACTGCTTGTAGAACTATTTTTGTTCATTTAAAAGATCCTTCACCTGTGATAAAGAGACACCAATGTCCTCAATGGTACCATCGTCTTTGTCATGGTAGTAACGTAGGCTACCCTGTTACTCCTTGCAGTTCCAGACAGGGCAGATCGCAGGGCAGATGGAAACAGCAACAAACAGCAGTGATTCAAACAGTCACACTTCCGGGACAATCCGTGGTCTTATCTGCAAGGGCTGTGGGCTGTTTACAAGCTGCTAAGGAAACCTGGCTAGCTTGATAGCTAACTAATGTTAATTAGAAGCTACTTCTCTGGAGAAAAATAGACCTACTATTGTTCCCAGTGAACGTCCTACACCTTAATGTGATTTTATATTTTGGCAATTATTTGAAAATAAGTCTGTTTATTCATAGTTATTTTACAAAAGAAAGCCTTGAAAAAGATTCACGTTTCAATGCATGCCACCGGAACTTGAACCCTTATAGATGTAATACAAATATAGAGTGATCTAATCAGTCCCTCCAGGATTCTGCGATTGCAACATTCTTTGCAAAATCAACAATTCCCGTATATTATGCTAAGGCTTGCAAATTTGACCAATCACTGCACTATTTCCGCATAAAACACTAAAATCATCGCAACGTTATCGCATAAAACTGACTCATCACCGTAGTACAAAAAGAGGGCTTGCAATTTCAACCAATCACGCACATTTACCGGATGATATGGTTAAATCAAGTCACACTTCAACAAACCTTTTCACTCGTCAGCGCATTTAAGCGACAAATTAGACAAAATCATTGCATATTGCCATGCAAATTGTCCGAATTGCAGCAGCAAAATGAAACAGTTTTGCCAGCAAATATCACAAAACATCTCTGCGAAATCCTGGAGGGACTGTCTAATAATATAGAGTTATAGAGATGCCTGAAGCCATTTATCAGCCAGTAACACAGACTGCCAATACCTTAACCACTGTTAGCCACCCTGTAAAGTTACATCTGCCTCCACCAGCACACAGAGAGGGATTACTTTTGCCTGGCTCGGCTTAGCACCTTTACGCTAGCTCTACCCCTTATAGTTTCAACTCGAGTTTCACGTTTAATCCATTGCAGAGTTGTTGGCAGGGGGGCCGATGTGACTCCACTATTATTTCCCCTCTCCGTGGCCCACCCATCTCGGCTGAAACCCTCCCTATTACAAATTGAAATCTCTGCGCATAAGGATGAATTCCAATGGGAAATGGAGCAAAAGGAATGTTTGAGCCGGGCGGGCAAACTCAGTTTGGAGATGTCGTGCATGCAGGCAGCGTTAGGAAGACAGGTCTCGTCGTGGCGCCGCCGGAGGGTAATGAATAGTCTTTATTTAAAAAGGCGAGGTAGTAGCGGGCCTCGCCGTGTGTGTAATACAGCACACACACACAGCAATATGGATGGCAGTGAGTCCACACAGAAACAGGAGTCAGCAGAACAGGGCAATAAAAGCGCCAGGCAGGCAGGCAGTGCTAGGCGAGGCCTGCTCGAGGAATGATGATGGTGATCTGGGTTGGTTTATTCTGTGCTGTTTGCACTGCTTTACACAAGCCTCTTCAAACTCCACTGAGTCATCTCCTCCCTCCACCTCCACTATTATCTGTGTTAATTATCACAGCCCATTCATATCACTGGCATACTGTGTGTGTGTGTGTGTGTGTTGGGGGGGGGGGGGGGGGGGGGATAGATAAGTGTGGTTGTGAGTCTTTAAAGGGGATGGGAAGTGTGTGTGTTTGCTTTTATCTCACGTGGGTTTGAATGCAGAGACAACCTGTGTGTGTGTGTGTGTGTGTGAATGGCCTATATGCATGGTCATAATTATTATTTTCCTCCCCTCGGGGGGATTGAAAAATGGCGCTAGGGGAAATAGTCATCTTTACTGTTCATGTGCAGTCCGATAGTGAGTGACATTTTGTATTATTCTTTTGTATTTCCTCCTCCTTATGTTTGAGTAGCGGATGACCTTGTGTATCTGGCTGGCTGGAAGAGGCAGAGACACGCATGGCTAAAAGACCACAGAAGGATATCAGTCGCTCCGAAAGGCACTTTCTATATATAGATGAGAGGAGAGACGAGAAGTCATTTAGAACAGAAAAAAACATCAGGTGTTTTTCACAGTTGCTGCAAACAATACATACAGTGGGGAAAAAGTATTTAGTCAGCCACCAATTGTGCAAGTTCTCCCACTTAAAAAGATGAGAGAGGCCTGTAATTTTCATCATAGGTACACGTCAACTATGACAGACAAAATGAGAAGAAAAAAAATCCAGAAAATCACATTGTAGGATTTTTTATGAATTTATTTGCAAATTATGGTGGAAAATAAGTATTTGGTCAATAACAAAAGTTTCTCAATACTTTGTTATATACCCTTTGTTGGCAATGACACAGGTCAAACGTTTTCTGTAAGTCTTCACAGGGTTTTCACACACTGTTGCTGGTATTTTGGCCCATTCCTCCATGCAGATCTCCTCTAGAGCAGTGATGTTTTGGGGCTGTCGCTGGGCAACACGGACTTTCAACTCCCTCCAAAGATTTTCTATGGGGTTGAGATCTGGAGACTGGCTAGGCCACTCCAGGACCTTGAAATGCTTCTTACGAAGCCACTCCTTCATTGCCCGGGCGGTGTGTTTGGGATCATTGTCATGCTGAAAGACCCAGCCACGTTTCATCTTCAATGCCCTTGCTGATGGAAGAAGGTTTTCACTCAAAATCTCACGATACATGGCCCCATTCATTCTTTCCTTTACACGGATCAGTCGTCCTGGTCCCTTTGCAGAAAAACAGCCCCAAAGCATGATGTTTCCACCCCCATGCTTCACAGTAGGTATGGTGTTCTTTGGATGCAACTCAGCATTCTTTGTCCTCCAAACACGACGAGTTGAGTTTTTACCAAAAAGTTCTATTTTGGTTTCATCTGACCATATGACATTCTCCCAATCCTCTTCTGGATCATCCAAATGCACTCTAGCACACTTCAGACGGGCCTGGACATGTACTGGCTTAAGCAGGGGGACACGTCTGGCACTGCAGGATTTGAGTCCCTGGCGACGTTTGTGTTACTGATGGTAGGCTTTGTTACTTTGGTCCCAGCTCTCTGCAGGTCATTCACTAGGTTCCCCCCGTGTGGTTCTGGGATTTTTGCTCACCATTCTTGTGATCATTTTGACCCCACGGGGAGAGATCTTGCGTGGAGCCCCAGATCGAGGGAGATTATCAGTGGTATTTTATGTCTTCCATTTCCTAATAATTGCTCCCACAGTTGATTTCTTCAAACCAAGCTGCTTACCTATTGCAGATTCAGTCTTCCCAGCCTGGTGCAGGTCTACAATTTTGTTTCTGGTGTCCTTTGACAGCTCTTTGGTCTTGGCCATAGTGGAGTTTGGAGTGTGACTGTTTGAGGTTGTGGACAGGTGTCTTTTATACTGATAACAAGTTCAAACAGGTGCCATTAATACAGGTAACGAGTGGAGGACAGAGGAGCCTCTTAAAGAAGAAGTTATAGGTCTGTGAGAGCCAGAAATCTTGCTTGTTTGTAGGTGACCAAATACTTATTTTCCACCATAATTTGCAAATAAATTCGTTAAAAATCCTACAATTTGATTTTCTGGATTTTTTTCCCTCAATTTGTCTGTCATAGTTGACGTGTACCTATGATGAAAATTACAGGCCTCTCTCATCTTCTTAAGTGGGAGAACTTGCACAATTTGTGGCTGACTAAATACTTTTTTTCCCCACTGTAGTTTACAAGTTGGCAAATGTAGGTCATATAATATGAGAATATAAGCAAGCAACAGAGAGGGAGAGACATGAGAGAAGCGGGAAGGTGGTGCGAGAGAGGGAAAGTTATAAAAGAGGAGAGGTAAATAGTGAGGAGGGACAGAGTAATAGTTATAGAGCAGTCACTGGGAGGTCGGCTGGGGAGTATTTTATCGTCTGGGCCATTTTCAGAGCCCTTCACTAAACAAACGGCTCTCTTTCTCTTTATGTTACAGGACAACTCCTCCCTCGATCCCTCATTGCAGCTCGAGTCTCTCTGACTATTATTACTTGTCTGAGAGTATGTGTAGCGTTCTGAGGCTAGAGAGGCTCTTTAGCTTTTCTTTTCCTCACCATCTCTCTCTCTATCCATCACTCGAAATGGCTGTCTCCACATGGCCACTTTTTACAACCTCCCCTTCCACCGTCAACTCCCCTCCCCCGTCAGACACGTCCCCCCGCCGCGTTAACGCTGTTAGCGCTGTAGTGCTAGCTATCCATGCCCTGTGTTTACAGCCAATAAGGCAGCCCGGTTTGGTCCGGCTAGCTGTACGTGTCCCGGCACCAACGACCGGCCGCACTGGCTGGAACAGAGGGAGCGAGACAGAGCCAGAGGAGGGAGATGAAGAACGGAGGCCTTTTTCGGGACACGGGCCCTGATAAAGGACGACACTCACCGTGAATTATTACCCCTGGGTCCGGAGCGCCGGTGTCACAGTGATGCATTCTCCATCACCGCCGGCCACCACCTCAGCCACATTTTAAAAAATTGCCGCCTGACTTTTTATTTTAATCAGGCCCCCAGGCCAGGCTAACCACTGCGAGTGCCTGCGCGACACGGGCTGACTTCCTGACTTTATTAATGTGTAATAAGGTGTAATTAGCAGGTTAATAACACAGGGGTGGTTTCCATCTGAGTGGCCCGGTCTCTCCATTAGCCATTAGCGCTAAATCAGCAGCTGTTATTACCTAGCCGCTAATTGAATGTGATAACGGATGTGCGACGCCACGATGCTAATGCAATCCTCCAGGTGTAAATGGCAAGCGCTGCCCACCCCTCTCCGCGGGGCGAGTCGCATCTCCGCTCTGGCTCCGTAATTCACTCAGGCTGCCGCTGAATCATTGATATCTTCAGCATGTCGGTACTATAGGCAATGCAAGGCAGAGGGTAAAAAACTGAATGGAAAACAAGCAAAGGATCAGACTAAATGGAAACTGGAAAGAGAGGATTCTTGTCACTATTCTCAGTCCAGATCATCCACTGAAACGTGCAGCTTTGTAAAGTCTGCAGGCCATCTGGGGCCCTCTCGACATGACCAGCCTTTCGAAGGGGGTTAGGTAAAAACATGACATCATGGTGACATCACGGTTGTGGTTCTATCTGCCCCCCCTCTCTTTTTCTTACTAACTCACTCACTCACTAAACTCACTGACACACATACTGTACATACAGTTGAAGTCGGAAGTTTACAGATACCTAGGTTGGAGTCATTAAAACTCGTTTTTCAACCACTCCACAAATGTCTTGTTAACATACTATAGTTTTGGCAAGTCGGTTAGGACATCTACATTCCAACAATTGTTTACAGACAGATTATTTCACTTAGAATTCACTGTATCACAATTCCAGTGGGTCAGAAGTTTACATACACTAAGTTGACTGTGCCTTTAAACAGCTTGGAAAATTCCAGAAAATGATGTCATGGCTTTAGAAGCTTCTGATAGGCTAATTTACATAATTTGAGTCAATTGGAGGTGTACCTGTGGATGTATTTCAAGGCCTATCTTCAAACTCAGTGTGTCTTTGCTTGACATCATGGGAAAATCAAAATAAATCAGCCAAGACCTCAGAAAAGAATTGTAGACCTCCACAAGTCTGGTTCATCCTTGGGAGCAATTTCCAAACGTCTGAAGGTACCACGTTCATCTGTACAAACAATAGTACACAAGTATAAACACCATGGGACCACGCAGCCGTCATACTGCTCAGGAAGGAGACGCGTTCTGTCTCCTAGAGATGAACATACTTGTCATGACTTCCGCCGAGGCTGCCTCCCCTCCTTGTTCGGGCAGGCTTCGGCGTTTGTCGTCACCGGAGTACTAACCACTGCCGTCCCAATCATCATATCAATTGTCTTGTCAATCACACACACATGGTTCTATTCGCCTAATTAGTCCATGTATAAGTGTTCTCTCTGCCCCCTTGTCCTTGTGGGTGATTGTTTGTTGTGGAGGTTAGTAGCTTGATGGAGCTCTTGTATTTGGTATCGACGGGAGTATTTTTCCTGTGTGCCTTGTATTTTCCAGTGCACCTGTTTTGTGCCCTGGAGTGTGTTTGACGCATTTCTAAGTAAACCTGTATTTTTCGGATTAAAGCCTGTTTCTGTGATTTACCCTCCTGCGCCTGACTCCTTCAACACCACCTTATCACAGTACTTTGGTGCGAAAAGTGCATATCAATCCCAGAACAACAGCAAAGGACCTTGAGAATATGCTGGAGGAAACAGGTTCAAAGGTATCTATATCCACAGTAAAACAAGTCCTATATCGACATAACCTGGAAAAAGGGGGTACTTGCAAGCCAAAGAACACCATCCCAACCGTGAAGCACGGGGGTGGCAGCATCATGCTGTGGGGGTGCTTTGCTGCAGGAGGGACTGGTGCACTTCACAAAATACATGGCATTATGAGGAAGGAAAATTATGTGGATATATTGATGCAACATCTCAACACATCAGTCAGGAAGTTAAAGCTTGGTCGCAAATGGGTCTTCCAAATGGACAATGACCCCAAGCATACTTCCAAAGTGGCAAAATGGCTTAAGGACAACAAAGTCAAGGTATTGGAGTGGCCTTCACAAAGCCCTGACCTCAATCCTATAGAAAATGTGTGGGCAGAACTGAAAAAGCGTGTGCGAGCAAGGAGGCCTACAAACCTGACTCAGTTACACCAGCTCTGTCAGGAGAAATGGGCCAAAATTCACCCACTTATTGTGGGAAGCTTGTGGAAGGCTACCCAAAACGTTTGAACCAAGTTAAACAATTTAAAGGCAATGCTACCAAATACTAATTGAGTGTATGTAAACTTCTGACCCACTGGGAATGTGATTAAATAATTAAAAGCTGAAATAAATCATTCTCTCTACTATTATTCTGACATTTCACATTCTTAAAATAAAGTGGTGATCCTAACTGCCCTAAAACAGGGCATTTTTACTAGGATTAAATGTCAGGGATTGTGAAAAACTGAGTTTAAATGTATTTGGCTAAGGTGTATGTAAATATCCGACTTCAACTGTACATACATACACACACACACAGACACACACATTCTCTTTCTCTCCCCCTGTTACCCATACTGGTCTTATGTACTCCCTCAGACCCTAACTCTGTCATACCTGTCTCCCTCCAGACGAGGTGTGTGCCAACTGTTCATTCGGGGCGATCTGCGACGGGCAGTCGGGCCGCTGTGTGTGCCCGCAGGAGTGTGTAGAGTCCCACCAACCGGTGTGCGGCAGCGACGGCTCCACCTACGACAGCGAGTGTGAGCTCAATGTGCGCGCCTGTACCAAGCAGCTTGACCTGCGTGTGCTTGCCCAGGGAGAATGCAGTGAGTAATGCTACCACCAAGTGTGTTCCTACCAGCAGTGTGGTTGTACAAATTTACTATATATAAACGCAACATGCAACCATTTCAAAGATTTTATTGAGTTACAGTTCATATAAGGAAATCAGTCAATTGAAATAAATTAATTAGGCCCTAATCTATGGATTTCACATGACTGGGAATACAGAAATGCATCTGTTGGTCACAGATCAATTTTTTGTAAAAGTAGGGTTGTGGATCAGAAAACCAGTCAGTATCTGGTGTGACCACCATTTGCCTCATGCAGCGCGACACATCTCCTTCGCATAGAGTTGATTAGGCTGTTGATTGTGGCCTGTGAAATGTTGTCCCACTCCTCTTTAATAGCTGTGCAAAGTTGCTGGATATTGGCGGGAACTGGAAAACGCTGTCGTACACGTCAATCCAGAGCATCTCAAACATGCTCAATGGGTGACATGTCTGGTGAGTTTGCAGGCCATGGAAAACGGGGACATTTTCAGCTTCCAGGAATTGTGTACAGATCCTTGCGACATGGGGTTGTGCATTATCAAGCTGAAACATGAGGTGATGGCGGTGGATGAATGGCATGACAATGGGCGGTATCTCTGCATTCAAATTGCGATCGATAAAATGCAATTGTGTTCGTTGTCCGTAGCTTATGCCTGCCCATACCATAACCCCACTGCCACCATGGGGCACTCTGTTCAAGACGTTTACATCAGCAAACTGCTCGCACACACAACACCATACACGTGGTCTGTGGTTGTGAGGCCGATTGGACATACTGCCAAATTCTCTAAAACGACTTCGGAGGCGGCTTATGGTAGAAAAATTAACATTCAATTCTCTGGCAACAGCTCTGGTGGACAATACCGTAGTCAGCATGCCAATTGCACGCGCCCTCAAAACTTGAGACATCTATGGCATTGGGTTGTGTGACAAAACCACATTTTAGAATGGCCTTTTATTGTCCCCAGCACTAGGAGCACCTGTATAATGATCATCCTGTTTAATCAGGTTCTTGATATGCCACACTGGTCAGGCGGATGGATTATCTTGGCAAAGGAGAAATGCGTGACCAAAACTTTACATGTTGCGTTTATATTTTTGTTCAGTGACTATGTCTTATTAAAGTAATGTAATTGTATCTCTGTTGTATTTTAGCAAGCATATTCCTTGTTCATGATTCCACTGCATAGTCACTGACAACCCTGTGTGTGTGCGTTCGTCTGTTTGTGTGTGTGTTTGTATGTGCATTTACAGAGACGTGCGGCAGCGCTGTCTGTGCCTGGGGGGCCCGCTGCATCCAGAACAAGTGCGAGTGCACGCAGTGCCAGGGCCAGGCTTTATCGCCTGTGTGTGGCAGCGACGGCGTCACCTACGACAACACTTGCGAGCTGGGCTTGGCATCCTGCGTCCTCAAGAAGAAGATTGAGGTGGCCAAGCCCAGCAGCTGCGACGAAGGTAGGAATTATGAAATTATGAAAACTGTTTTTAATAATATTTTCTTTCCATTGACTTCTGTCATTGTCCACTTTGTTTTGGGAGCTACAGTGGGGAGAACAAGTATTTGATACACTGCCGATTTTGCAGGTTTTCCTACTTACAAAGCATGTAGAGGTCTGTCATTTTTATCATAGGTACACTTCAACTGTGAGAGACGGAATCTTAAAACAAAAATCCAGAAAATCACATTGTATGATTTTTAAGTAATTAATTTGCATTTTATTGCATGACATAAGTATTTGATACATCAGAAAAGCAGAACTTAATATTTGATACAGAAACCTTTGTTTGCAATTACAGAGATCATACGTTTCCTGTAGGTCTTGACCAGGTTTGCACACACTGCAGCAGGGATTTTGGCCCACTCCTCCATACAGACCTTCTCCAGATCCTTCAGGTTTCGGGGCTGTCGCTGGGCAATACAGACTTTCAGCTCCCTCCAAAGATTTTCTATTGGGTTCAGGTCTGGAGACTGGCTAGGCCACTCCAGGACCTTGAGATGCTTCTTATGGAGCCACTCCTTAGTTGCCCTGGCTGTGTGTTTCGGGTCGTTGTCATGCTGGAAGACCCAGCCACGACCCATCTTCAATGTTCTTACTGAGGGAAGGAGGTTGTTGGCCAAGATCTTGTGATACATGGCCCCATCCATCCTCCCCTCAATACGGTGCAGTCGTCCTGTCTTCTTTGCAGAAAAGCATCCCCAAAGAATGATGTTCCCACCTCCATGCTTCACGGTTGGGATGGTGTTCTTGGGGTTGTACTCATCCTTCTTCTTCCTCCAAACACGGCGAGTGGAGTTTAGACCAAAAAGCTATATTTTTGTCTCATCAGACCACATGACCTTCTTCCATTCCTCCTCTGGATCATCCAGATGGTCATTGGCAAACTTCAGACGGGCCTGGACTTGCGCTGGCTTGAGCAGGGGGACCTTGCGTGCGCTGCAGGATTTTAATCCATGACGCTGTAGTGTGTTACTAATGGTTTTCTTTGAGACTGTGGTCCCAGCTCTCTTCAGGTCATTGACCAGGTCCTGCTGTGTAGTTCTGGGCTGATCCCTCACCTTCCTCATGATCATTGATGCCCCACGAGGTGAGATCTTGCATGGAGCCCCAGACCGAAGGTGATTGATCGTCATCTTGAACTTCTTCCATTTTCTAATAATTGCGCTAACAGTTGTTGCCTTCTCACCAAGCTGCTTGCCTATTGTCCTGTAGCCCATCCCAGCCTTGTGCAGGTCTACAATTTTATCCCTGATGTCCTTACACAGCTCTCTGGTCTTGGCCATTGTGGAGAGGTTGGAGTCTGTTTGATTGAGTGTGTGGACAGGTGTATTTTATGCAGGTAACGAGTTCAAACAGGTGCAGTTAATACAGGTAATGAGTGGAGAACAGGAGGGCTTCTTAAAGAAAAACTAACAGGTCTGTGAGAGCCGGAATTCTTACTGGTTGGTAGGTGATCAAATACTTATGTCATGCAATAAAATGCAAATTAATTACTTAAAAATCATACAATGTGATTTTCTGGATTGTTTTAGATTCTGTCTCTCACAGTTGAAGTGTACCTATGATACAAATTACAGACCTCTACATGCTTTGTAAGTAGGAAAAGTGTATCAAATACTTGTTCTCCCCACTGTACTGTTGATAGCTGGTGATGTTGATCAATCCCTATTGATACTGTAAGTATCTCCCATCGTCAGGGAAAGATAAACTTGTGGTCACTACTAATCGTGAAGAGAAAATCTCAACTTTGAGACAGAGTGCTTTTTTATACATGACTTGCTTCACAAGTGGCAGCCTAGTTCACAACGTAAACCCTTTGTGGAGCTGCTCTCCTCTGTCCTACTGGCACAGTTCCAGAGCTTCTACTCCTCTCCTCTGTGTGACAATCAGCCCTCTCTCTTGGTTTCTTTGTCACCGTACGGTTGTCATGCAGACAACGTCACCGATAGTCCCTTGTGGCCAGACGTAGTCACCGTCACCGAGACTATCATCGTTTGAGGAGGTGTGAACACAGAGCAGGTTTCACCTGCCAGAAATTATGAGAGAGATGGAGAAGGGGGAAATAGACGGGGAAAATGGAGAGGTGGATAGGGGGGATGGTTTATAGGGGGAAAATGGAGAGATGGTGAGTTGGAAAGAGGGGGAGAGAGAGATATAGGGATGGAGGGGTAGAGAAATAGCGAGATGGAGAGACTGAGAGATGGACAGAGGGAGGAAGGGGGTAAATGGGTGAGAGTAGTCTGTCCTGGGATTTGTTCTCTCTCTCACTGAGCCGTTGTCTACTCTACTGTTTACGGCCAGCTCTGCTCGCCAGCTCTTAACTCCCAGCTGGTCGTGGTCGATTTAACATAATCTCATAGACTGAGTCAAGTAACCTTTTGTATGTGTAGCAGAAAGAAATGTGCCATGATACACACACACTGCACATATAATACACACACACAAATAAACTGTTCCCCATATCATCATTTTACTCACACACAGCACCTATAGTATATACACACACTCAGACACATACACACACACACACACTGTGCCCCATATCATCATTATATGCACACGCAGCACCTATAGTATATACACACACTCAGACAAATACAGTGCCTTGCACTGTACATAGTTATGCACGCTCAAGTTTTCAGTTTTTTTGTCTTATTTCTTATCTGTTTAACAATAAAAATATATTTTGCATCTTCAAAGTGGTAGGCATGTTGTGTAAATCAAATGGTACAAACCCCCCAAAAATCCATTTTAATTCCAAGTTGTAAGGCAACAGAATTGGAGAATACTTTCGCAAGCCACTGTACACACACACATTGTGCCCCATATCGTTGTTCCACGCCTTGTCACCATTCCTCTTGCCCCTCTAATAGATAACTAACCCACAACCCCCCTTTCAACTAGAAGCCAGGGCTTTGTTCATGGGGTAGTTCTAGTAGTAGCTTAGTACTGGTAGAATTCTCCAACTCCGGCAAATTGAACAAGTGATTTATTTGTTTATTTAGACCCAACTTAAAAAACATATTCATTAGTCACGAGGAGAAATGGAAGTGTTTTCTCACTCTTTTATTTAGTGGTAATGAAAAATGACAGTGTTCCCACCATTGGCTGTACAGGGAGAATTTATCACCTGTTTAATTTCACACTCTGGTAGGCCCGGGCTCAGCTTCTTTGTTGACACTGACAAAGTGGCGGGTGAGCATAGTGTATCACCTTGGGGCCCAGGACGGTTTTAATTGAATACACATTTACTAAACAGGATTATGGGTGAGGATATCACACGGTGATGCACAGGCGATGAACTATGCACCCCCGAATACGGAGGGAGAGAGAGAGAGGGAGGGAGAGAGAGATGTGGAAAAGAGCTCATCAAAAGCAGATCAGGGGCTTTTTCCTCCTTCGCAGCCATCCATCCATAACCAGCGCTTGCATCTATCTCGCTAAGAAACTTTCTCTCTTTCTCTCACTCTCTTCTCCCTGTCACTCCATTCTTCTTTATGTAGCGGGGGTTTATTTGGACTAACGCGCTGTCACATCCTTCAACAGCAGTCTGTCTGAAGGGCTGACAAATGGTGTGAAAACAAACAAAAGTCTGGAGCAACAAGCCACCAGCGTGTCTGGGCCGACCAAGGCCACACTGTTTTCGATCCCCCCTAATACACTTCAAAACACACACACAGACGTATGCAGTAGTGATGGGGGGAAAATCTATATAGTTACATACAGTTGTGGAAAAAGTACCCAATTGTCATACTTGAGTAAAAGTAAAGATACCTTAATAGAAAATGACTCAAGTAAAAGTGGAAGTCACCTAGTAAAATCCTACTTGAGTATAAGTCTAAAAGTATTTGGTTTCAAATACACGTAAGTATCAAAAGTAAATGTAACTGCTAAAATATACTTAAGTATCAAAAGTAAAAGTATAAATTATAAAAAATTCCTTATATTAAGCAAACCAGACAGCACAATTTTTTATTTATTTTTATTTTTTACGGATAGCCAGGGGCACGCTCCAACACTCAGACATCATTTACAAACGAAGCATGGGTTTAGTGAGTCCGCTAGATCAGAGGAAGTAGGGATGACCAGGGATGTTCTCTTGATAAGTGTGTGAATTAGACCATTTTCCTGTCCTGCTAAGCATTCAAAATGCAACTAGTACTTTTGTGTGTCAGGGAAAATGTATGGAGTAAAAAGTACATCATTTTCTTTAGGAGTGTAGTAAAGTAAAAGTTGTCAAAAATATAGATAGTAAAGTACAGATACCCCAAAAAACTACTTAAGTAGTACTTTCAAGAATTTTTACTTAAGTACTTTACACCACTGGTTACATATGGGGATATTACTTTTGACAATATATTGTATAGTTTTGACAATATCGCAATATTATTTTTGCGCTCGTTGGCTGTAACTGCACCAAAACTCCAGTATTTTTCCTTTGTAGCTTGTTCTCCATCTTCTTTTTAAATAGGGAGACAATTTTCCAGCACTTTTATTTCCATGACTGATCAAAACTCGTTTTCTTATGGCTCTCTTGTCCTTCTGCAGCAGACATGGTGAGCAATATGTTTGGAACATTGAATCGCAATAAAAATCACAGTATCGAATCGCAATACATGTAGAATTGTGAGAATTGCAATACATATCGTATCGGCACCTAAATATCATGATAATATTGTATTGTGAGGTCCCTGGCAATTCCCAGCCCTAGTACGGAGACGTGCAAACACGCGCACACAAAGGGGACTTGTGACAGATGACAAATGGTCATGTTGAAATTCACACAGGTCATGATATTGGTACAGTGTTTTTTTACAGACAGGAGTGTGTCCTGGTCCTGATATTGATAGTATTGAGGTGACTCGGGCCATGTTCTTCCGAAGTTCACACCCCTTTCTCTACTTTACCTCCCATAATCCACCTTTATATCCTCTCTACTTCTTCCCTCCCTCTAGTCATCACCTCATCTTATTAGTAAATCACACATTGCTTCCTCTATTGCTTCTACCGTTTTTATTTGCTCAGACAATTCCCAGCCCTTCTTTAAAATAGAGCAAGAAAAAATGGTTTATTATTTTATTTTCTCCTCTCTCCAGAGTCTCCACCGTACTGTATTTGCTCATCTTAATGGAGATCCCTTGGCTAAACGGATTCTGGTTATGACATGATTGAGTAAAAGGAGCAGGCAGACATGGGTGCTGGGAGAATAGCTGATGCAGACATCTTCCCTGCTAATTAAAAGGTTCATAGGCAGTGCGGGTGACAGCCACATCAAAGACCAACAGCTAATTGGTGCCCCCCTCCTTCGCTTAACTCCCTCCCTCTCTTAACTTGTATTTATTCAATTTCTTAGGTTTTATTTTAAACTTTAGAAGACTCACAAAATGGCCTCTCATATATTGGTATCAAATCCATTTCACAATCCTTTTTTATCATCTCCATTTATCATAATCAACACAGTCACAATGATAGCGAATCCTAACAATTGGATTCGGTTTCAATTGTTTTGTACGGTCTTGGGCATAAAAAAAAAAGAGAAGGAGACAGTCTTTGTTTTGAGTTTGATGTGTACCCTCCTTGATACCCCTGGCCTCTGGAGTTCCTCCATTGTTCACTGTGTGTGTGGGGCTAATAAAGTGAATGCCCTTCCACTGTATCGACCCCTCGAGCATGTCAGAGCCCATTGCTGATGACCCATATCAGGCCGAGGGGACGGACTGCTGCTCCTCTTGTCCCTGCACCGCCCGTTACAGTGTGACCTGCCCCATAATCCACTTAAGAAAATGGGTTATGCTAAGTGGCACTTCCACGACTACACCATTGATTTACCCATTAGGGCCAGTGGAGGCCTTGCTACAGCACCCCGTCAATACAGATGGGAGTGAGTCGAACGGTCGAAAGAAGCATTTGGGCTTCCTAGTACTGTACATCTTGTTTTAAATGTTGTACAATATTGCATTATAACTGGTCTGGAGAATATCAAAAGGATAACTTGCATCATAGATGCAGGCCCCCTGTAGCTCAGTTGGTAGAGCATGGCGCTTGCAACGCCAGGGTTGTGGGTTCGTTCGAGTCTTTCTGGGTAAACCTCTAAGAGCTTTCCACACCTGGATTGTACAACATTTGCCCATTTTATTATTTTCAAAATTATTTAAGCTCTGTCAAATTGGTTGTTGATCATTGCTAGACCATTTTTCAGGTCTTGCCATACATTTTCAAGTAGATTTAAGTCAAAACTGTAACTCGGCCACTCAGGAACATTCACTGTCTTCTTTGTAAGCAACTCCAGTGTAGATTTGGACTTGTGTTTTAGGTTATTGTCCTGCTGAAAGGTGAATTCATCTCCCAGTGTATGGTGGAAAGCAGACTGATCCAGGTTTTCCTCTAGGATTTTGCCTGTGATTAGCTCCATTCCATTTGTGTTTTATCTTTAAAAAACTCCCCAGTATTTAACGATTACAAGGATACCCATAACATGATGCAGCCACCACTATGCTTGAAAATATGGAGAGTGGTACTCAGTAATGTGTTGTATTGGATTTGCCCCAAACGTAACACTTTGTATTCAGGACAAAAAGTGAATTGCTTTGCCACATGTTTTGCAGTATTACTTTAGTGCCTTTTTAAAAACAGGATTCATGTTTTGGAATATGTTTTTGTTTGTACAGGTTTCCTTCTTTTCACTCTGCCAATTAGATTATTATTGTGGAGTAACAACAATGTTGTTTTCTCCTATAATAGCCATTCAACTCTGTAACTGTTTTAAAGTCACCATTGGCCTCATGGTGAAATCCCTGAGCAGTTTCCTTCCTCTCCGGCAACTGAGTTAGGAAGGACACCTGTGTCTTTGTAGTGACTGGGTGTATTGATAAACCATCCAAAGTGTAATTAATAACTTCACCATGCTCAAAGGGCTGGCTTTTCAATGTTTCTATTTTTTATACCCATCTGCCAATAGGTGACCTTCTATGCGAGGCATTGGAAAACCTCCCTGGTCTTTGTGGTTGAATCTGTGTTTGAAATTCACTGCTCGACTGAGGGACCTTACAGATAATTGTATGTGTGGGGTACAGAGATGAGGCAGTCATTCAAAAATCATGTTAAACACTATTATTGCACACAGTGAGTCCCTGCAATGTATTATGTGACTTGATAAGCACATTTTATCTAATTTAGGCTTGCCATAACAAAGGGGTTGAATACTTAATGACTCAAGACATTTCAGCTTTTCATGTTTAGTTTATTTGAAAAACATAATTCCACTGTAGGCCAGTGACACAGAATCTCAATTTAATCCATTTTAAATTCAGGCTATAACACAACAAAATGTGGAAAAAGTCAAGGTGTGTGAATACTTTCTGAAGGCACTGTATATTCTTTCTATGGAATATCTATTCCAATATATTTGTTCAATGTTTCAGCTTTCTAAGTCTCCGATCTTTGGAAATAATTCAGGCTCGTTGTTTGTCCTTGTTACCGCTCTCTGAAGTGCCATTAAAAATAAATAAAAAATGTTACAAGGACAGCTCTTTAAAAAGGCCTTTTTGATCCAGTGAAGTTTACTGTTTTACAGTAAATCGAAAGTTTACATTCCACAGTCACCAATACAAAAAGCATCTGAATTACTTTTAGCGGAAGTCTGGAGAAAAGTCTGTTATTTTTCGGTTTTTAAACAACTTATTGACCGACATCGGTTCAATTATTTGAATTACATTTCGTTCTTTTTTTGTCTGTGAGCTCAATGTGCACATTGCACTGCAGTTTCTCTAGAGATAAATCAGATCATATGCAAGAACAAGAGGGGATACATAGAGCAGTTTCTTTGAGGTATCTCTACCTGAAAATACATGATCTAAGTGATTTAATAGTTTTATTCAGCAGTCATAAAAGTATGCCTTATTTATTTTGAAAAACTACTAAAATAGTGATTTTGTCAGACAGCATAGGCAGCAGCTCTATAGAGATGAGATGATGACTTGGAATGAAATAATGTCATTAAATAAAACAAATGTAAAATACACAAGAACGAAACTATTTTATTAAAGTAGTGTGAATAACTAATGGTTTAGTAAGTGATAAGCAGTCATGGGCACTCACTACCATCATGGGACTTTTATTTTAAAAATGTTATGTTTTGTTAGGGCATTCAACCCACATAATGCATAGTCCATTAAATGTAAAAAAATATATACACTGCTCAAAAAAATAAAGGGAACACTTAAACAACACATCCTAGATCTGAATGAATGAAATAATCTTAATAAATACTTTTTTCTTTACATAGTTGAATGTGCTGACAACAAAATCACACAACAATTATCAATGGATAAAATGTATCAACCCATGGAGGTCTGGATTTGGAGTCACCCTCAAAATTAAAGTGGAAAACAACACTACAGGCTGATCCAACTTTGATGTAATGTCATTAGAACGAGTCAAAATGAGGCTCAGTAGTGTGTGTGGCCTCCACGTGCCTGTATGACCTCCCTACAACGCCTGGGCATGCTCCTGATGAGGTGGCAGATGGTCTCCTGAGGGATCTCCTCCCAGACCTGGACTAAAGCATCCGCCAACTCCTGGACAGTCTGTGGTGCAACGTGGCGTTGGTGGATGGAGCGAGACATGATGTCCCAGATGTGCTCAATTGGATTCAGGTCTGGGGAACGGGCGGGCCAGTCCATAGCATCAATGCCTTCCTCTTGCAGGAACTGCTGACACACTCCAGCCACATGAGGTCTAGCATTGTCTTGCTTTAGGAGGAACCCAGGGCCAACCGCACCAGCATATGGTCTCACAAGGGGTCTGAGGATCTCATCGCGGTACCTAATGGCAGTCAGGCTACCTCTGGCGAGCACATGGAGGGCTGTGCGGCCCCCCAAAGAAATGCCACCCCACACCATGACTGACCCACCGCCAAACCGGTCATGCTGGAGGATGTTGCAGGCAGCAGAACGCTCTCCACGGCGTCTCCAGACTCTGTCACGTCTGTCACATGTGCTCAGTGTGAACCTGCTTTCATCTGTGAAGAGCACAGGGCGCCAGTTGCGAATTTGCCAATCTTGGTGTTCTCTGGCAAATGCCAAACGTCCTGCACGGTGTTGGGCTGTAAGCACAACCCCCACCTGTGGACGTCGGGCCCTCATACAACCCTCATGGAGTCTGTTTCTGACCGTTTGAGCAGACACATGCACATTTGTGGCCTGCTGGAGGTCATTTTGCAGGGCTCTGGCAGTGCTCCTCCTGCTCCTCCTTGCACAAAGGCAGAGGTAGCGGTCCTGCTGCTGGGTTGTTGCCCTCCTACGGCCTCCTCCACGTCTCCTGATGTACTGGCCTGTCTCCTGGCAGCGCCTCCATGCTCTGGACACTACGCTGACAGACACAGCAAACCTTCTTGCCACAGCTCGCATTGATGTGCCATCCTGGATGAGCTGCACTACCTGAGCCACTTGTGTGGGTTGTAGACTCCGTCTCATGCTACCACTAGAGTGAAAGCACCACCAGCATTCAAAAGTGACCAAAACATCAGCCAGGAAGTATAGGAACTGAGAAGTGGTTTGTGGTCACCACCTGCAGAACCACTTCTTTATTGGGGGTGTCATGCTAATTGCCTATAATTTCCACCTGTTGTCTATTCCATTTGCACAACAGCATGTGAAATTTATTGTCAATCTGTGTTGCTTCCTAAGTGGACAGTTTGATTTCACAGAAGTGTGATTGACTTGGAGTTACATTGTGTTGTTTAAGTGTTCCCTTAATTTTTTTGAGCAGTGTATATATACAGTGAGGGAAAAAAGTATTTGATCCCCTGCTGATTTTGTACGTTTGCCCACTGACAAAGACATGATCAGTCTATAATTTTAATGTTAGTTTTATTTGAACAGTGAGAGACAGAATAACAACAAAAAAATCCAGAAAAACGCATGTCAAAAATGTTATAAATTGATTTGCATTTTAATGAGGGAAATAAGTATTTGACCCCTCTGCAAAACATGACTGAGTACTTGGTGGCAAAACCCTTGTTGGCAATCATAGAGGTCAGACGTTTCTTGTAGTTGGCCACCAGGTTTGCACACATCTCAGGAGGGATTTTGTACCACTCCTCTTTGCAGATCTTCTCCAAGTCATTAAGGTTTCGAGGCGGATGTTTGGCAACTCAAACCTTCAGTTCCCTCCACAGATTTTCTATGGAATTAAGGTCTGGAGACTGGCTAGGCCACTCCAGGACCTTAATGTGCTTCTTCTTGAGCCACTCCTTTGTTGCCTTGGCCGTGTGTTTTGGGTCATTGTCATGCTGGAATACCCATCCACGACACATTTTCAATATCCTGGCTGAGGGAAGGAGGTTCTCACCCAAGATTTGACAGTACATGGCCCCGTCCATCGTCCCTTTGATGTGGTGAAGTTGTCCTGTCCCCTTAGCAGAAAAACAACCCCAAAGCATAATGTTTCCACCTCCATGTTTGACGGTGGGGATGGTGTTCTTGGGGTCATAGGCAGCATTCCTCCTCCTCCAAACACGACGAGTTGAGTTGATGCCAAAGAGCTTGATTTTGGTCTCATCTGACCACAACACTTTCACCCAGTTCTCCTCTGAATCATTCAGATGTTCATTGGCAAACTTCAGACGGGCCTGTATACGTGCTTTCTTGAGCAGGGGGACCTTGCAGGCGCTGCAGGACTTCAGTCCTTCACGGCGTAGTGTGTTACCAATTGTTTTCTTGGTGACTATGGTCCCAGCTGCCTTGAGATCATTGACAAGATCCTCCCGTGTAGTTCTGGGCTGGTTCATAACTGATCTCATGATCATTGCAACTCCACGAGGTGAGATCTTGCATGGAGCCCCAGGCCGAGGGAGATTGACAGTTATTTTGTGTTTCTTCCATTTGTGAATAATCGCACCAACTGTTGTCACCTTCTCACCAAGCTGTTTGGCGATGGTCTTGTAGCCCATTCCAGCCTTGTGTAGGTCTAATATCTTGTCCCTAACATCCTTGGAGAGCTCTTTGGTCTTGGCCATGGTGGAGAGTTTGGAATCTGATTGATTGATTGCTTCTGTGGACAGGTGTCTTTTATACAGGTAACAAACTGAGATTAGGAGCACTCCCTTTAAGAGTGTGCTCCTAATCTCAGCTCGTTACCTGTATAAAAGACACCTGGGAGCCAGAAATCTTTCTGATTGAGAGGGGTCAAATACTTATTTCCCTCATTAAAATGCAAATCAATTTATAACATTTTTGACATGCGTTTTTCTGGATTTTTTTGGTTGTTATTCTGTCACTCACTGTTCAAATAAACCTACCATTAAAATTATAGACTGATCATTTCTTTGTCAGTGGGCAAACGTACAAAATCAGCAGGGGATCAAATACTTTTTTCCCTCACTGTATATGAAACTAAAAAAAAAATAAAAAAATTATAATTGAATCGAAACAGAACCGACCTCAAAAAGCACTAATCGTTCAGCACTACTGGAGTGGATTGATAATTGGATCTTACAGAACACTGTGCAATTAGTGGCTTCCTCATATCAGGAAATCTGTGTCCATGAAACAGGCTCTTGCATTGATTCCCCCTCGCAGGGAGGCAAGTGGTAATATTTTCCTCCTCCCTCTATCTTCAGCTTTAATTGAAATGTAAAGGATGCCTCACTGGTGGCAATGTTGTGCCTAATTTATTTTGTCAATCGCAGGTCCTCTCCATGGTTGGTCATTATATTGTACTTCAAGCAGCGCCTTTGGTTCAATCTCAGTGCCAACGTGAAGGAAATTCCAATATCCAAAGGTGGCGTGCTCTGAATATATAAACACTCTGCCAAGAACTCAGCTTTAACTTTTTTTGGGGGGGGATGACAAAGATGGAAGGCATTTTTACTGCTGTATGAAAAGGTTAGGGTTTCTTTAAATGTGTATTTGTGCTGGGCTGTTAATAACTATTTAAATGTTTTCTCTGTATGTGTGTGGTCTTTGCAGAGTGTGGTTCAGGAGGGTCGGCCTCAGGTGTTGAGAGCTGCGAACAGGACAGGTGTCGTACGTTTGGAGGCTCGTGGGACGAGGACACAGAGGATGACCGCTGTGTCTGTGACTTCGACTGCAATCGCGTGCCTCGCAACCTGGTAAGCCTTAACCTCCTGGTTAGCCTTCCCAACAACAACCATGTATGTGGTTTTACTTAAATAGTGGTGGTTTTCATTTCAAGCAAGCCTATGTAATTCCTAGGTAATGAATGCATGACATCTGACATTTACATTCTGTCAATATCAGTGCAATTTAATTTTCATATTGAGATTGAACTTCATGCAATGTTGCGTGGTTTGAAAATTAACGATGTACAGTGCCTTGCAAAAGTATTCATCCCTCTTGGAGTTTTTCCTATTTTGTTGCATTATAACCTGTAATTTAAATGGATTTTTATTTGGATATCATGTAATGGACATACACAAAATTGTTCAAATTGGTGAAGTGAAATTAAAAAAATAACTTGTTTCAAAAAATTCTAAAAAATAAATAAGGGAAAAGTGGTGCGTGCATATGTATTCACCCCCTTTGCTATGAAGCCCCTAAATAAGATATGGTGCAACCAATTACCTTCAGAAGTCACATAATTAGTTAAATAAAGACCACCTGTGTGCAATCTAAGTGTCACATGATCTCTGTATATATAAACCTGTTCTGAAAGGCCCCAGAGTCGGCAACACCACTAAGCAAGGGGCACCACCAAGCAAGCGGCACCATGAAGACCAAGGAGCTCTCCAAACAGGTCAGGGACAAAGTTGTGGAGAAGTACAGATCAGGGTTGGGTTATAAAAAAATATCTCTGTATATATACACCTGTGCTGAAAGGCCCCAGAGTATGCAACATCACTAAGCAAGGGGCACCACCAAACATCCCACGGAGCACCATTTCAATCCATTATTAAAAAATGGAAAGAATATGGCACCACAACAAACCTGCCAAGAGAGGGCCACCCACCAAAACTCACAGACCAGGCAAGGAGGGCATTAATCAGAGAGGCAACAAAGAGACCAAAGATAACCCTGAAGGAGCTGCAAAGCTCCACAGCGGAGATTGGAGTATCCGTCCATAGGACCACTTTAAGCCGTACACTCTACAGAGCTGGGCTTTACGGAAGAGTGGCCAGAAAAAAGCCATTGCTTAAAGAAAGAAATAAGCAAACACATTTGGTGTTCGCCAAAAGGCATGTGGGAGACTCCCCAAACATATGGAAGAAGGTACTCTGGTCAGTTGAGACTAAAATTGAGGTTTTTGGCCATCAAGGAAAATGTTATGTCTGGCGCAAACCCAACACCTCTCATCACCCCGAGAACACCATCCCCACAGTGAAGCCCGGTGGTGGCAGCATCAAGCTGTGGGGATGTTTTTCATCGGCAGGGACTGGGAAACTGGTCAGAATTGAAGGAATGATGGATGGCGCTAAATACAGGGAAATTCTTGAGGGAAACCTGTTTGTCTTCAAGAGATTTGAGACTGGGATGGAGGTTCACCTTCCAGTAGGACAATGACCCTAAGCACACTGCTAAAGCAACACTCGAGTGATTTAAGGGGAAACATCTAAATGTCTTGTAATGGCCTAGTCAAAGCCCAGACCTCAATCCAATTGAGAGTCTGTGGTATGACTTAAAGATTGCTGTACACCAGCGGAACCCATCCAACTTGAAGGAGCTGGAGTAGTTTTGCCTTGAAGAATGGGCAAAAATCCCAGTGGCTAGATGTGCCAAGCTTATAGAGACATAGCCCAAGAGACTTGCAGCTGTAATTGCTGCAAAAGGAGACTCTACAAATATTGACTTTGGGGGGGTGAATAGTTATGCACGCTCAAGTTTTCTGTTTTTTTGTCTTATTTCTTGTTTGTTTCACAATAAAAAATATTTTGCATCTTCAAAGTGGTAGGCATGTTGTGTAAATCAAATGGTACAAACCCCCAAAAAATCAATTTTAATTCCAAGTTGTAAGGCAACAAAATAGGAAAAATGCCAAAGGGGGGTGAATACTTTCGCAAGCCACTGTACTTTGAAAGGAAATTGCTATAGCACGCTGCTATGTTCCAGCATTCATATGCGTATGACTACAATTCTCCTCAGGTGTGTGGCTCAGATGGGAAGACCTACAGCAACGAGTGTGAGATGAAGAAGGACAGGTGCGAAAGGCAGGAGCACCTGCTGATCCAGAATCAAGGACCCTGTACAGGTGAGCTGCCTGGACATCCCACCATAACTGATCTAAGACTAAGATCAGCCAGAGTAATAACCCATCTCGTACAGAGGATTCAAACAGCTTACTACTTTGTCGTAAAGAAACGCCCAGAAATCCTGTTGTTTTTTCTGAATAGCACTTTAGTGGTAACATATCCAACACAATGTCAAAGCTTGCTGGCGAGAGCTTCATTCCCCTGATTCAATGTGGCTACATATGGCTCAACGTACATGTGGCTACCAAAGGCTCAACATGAAGAAGCTCCTATTTCTCTAGAGACAGCCACCACAGGTGGTAGGCAGTTTAGCAGGGAACACTAGTTATACTCGAGTCTCTGCCTTGGCAGTGCAAACCACGTGCTCTAACTGAAGAGGCCGTATAGAGAGGTTTCTGTAGTAGGCCAGAGCGAAGCCAAAGGCACATAAAAGATTCTGTGTGATCACAGAAGCCTGTTTGATTCCTTGCTGTCCTCAAAAGAGTGAGGGAGCAAACAAAAGGGAGAGAATTGGAGAGAGCGATACGCTCGGGTTTCACACTCGCATCCCTGTAGAGTCGTCCCTCCTAAGCTGGCTTTTTGGGCGCTTTCTGTCACGCTTCTCCACCATCTGCGGAGAATCAATCCCTTTTCTTGTGGAGTGCTATTGGTGCGTGAGCTCTGGGCCCTCTTCTTCTACCAAAAAGCTCAGATCAATGGGAATTCCATTGGGACCTTCTTCATTAGCTATGCATCGAGGAACTTGTCTTTGACCACGTTTTGACCTCCAAGCCTTCAAACTCAGGAAAGCTCCTGATGGCTTTCACTAACTAGACAAAACAAAAATGGTTTGACCTTAACATTTTTTACTGTCTTATGTTGTTTAGAAACAACTTACGTTTTGTGTCTCTGGGAGTTCTTTGATCTATGTCAGCTGTCTCTGAAGAACTTTCAAGCTGTCCTATTTTGCATTTTCTATCAGATAACCTGGTCAGTGATTCCAGTCTTCATGAGGTCTAAAAAAGATCCTGTGGGATATATCGTTGCTACATGCGGAGGCACTCAATTCTCCCCTAGTAGAAATACAAAGGCTACATATACAGAGCCATGTCAGCAGCAGACCTTGAGATAGCGAGAGTAATACTCTCACAATAGAGAGAACTGCATTATGCCAGACAATGGCCACTGAAGAGGAAAAACCCTTGAAGGGTTGAAGAACATATGAAATTAAAAGTTCCCCCTTGCCCTAATAGGCTCAGGACAGTGAGTAGCAGGAGCGCTGAAAAGTGGCAAGTTAATGAACTGTGTCCAAAGCCCATCACTGGAGTGGGAAAGCACTGGAAAAAGAAAGAGCAAGTCATCACCATTAGGCTTCGGCTCATATCCACACCAGTAAGAGTGTGATTTATGGGCCGGTAGCTGCAGCCTCCAAACTCCAAATGAGAAAAACAAGAGAGGAAGAAAGAAAGAGAGAGAGCGAAGGGGAGTGTTCTTCCTCCCATCTCTACCACTGGAGGCCATTTTAATCCAAGGGCTGGAGAGAGTTTGAGCGATAATATATTGCCTTGGCCGTTGAACCACCCCCCTGCCTCCCTCTTTACCCTCCATCCTTCCATCTCGCTCTCTCGTTTCCCTTATACACAAGTCTCTGTTGGGTAACATATTTGTTCAGGGTGTGTTGTATTCGGTTTTCTTTTCGAGCTGTCACGTCGGCGTGGAATCTGGCACATGCACAGACAAAACAACTACACACATTCGCTCACAGATTGGCCCAGTCCATCACATTCAGCCGCAGACTCGTTTTTTTCTGCTTCTGAAAGCTTGTAGAGATGTGTCGCACGCTGCAATTTCACAGGAGAACAACTGAAGAGAATAGGCCTCCTAGGATGTGGCAAATGTCAGCTGTTCCACTAGGATCACCATTGTTTGTTTTCAGGTAATGGCATAATTTCCCCCTGATTTTGAGCCGTTGTCAGGATTGGGAAAGTAGAATTGTTATGTAGAAGCCAGATGCCAGCTTTTCACCTCTGGCCCTCGAGGTGAACCTCATTGTTCGCTAGAAGTTGCATGTTGTTCAGAGATTGTGTCTTCTAATTCCTTTTAAGAGAGCCTTCACTGTCACTCTAAAAAGTTTGTTTTATCTTTTCTTCTCTCCCTCTTTTGTTCCATCCTCGGTCCCATCTCTTCATCAGCGATTTCAGCCACCTCTCTGCCGGAGCTGACAGCACCACAACGCTGCAGTCAGTCAGTCTACGGTTGTTGCCGTGACAATAAGACGGCGGCCCTTGGTGTGGGACTCGCTGGATGCACCAGTAAGTGTGCCGACCTCTTACCTGACATCTGACATCTGACCTCTCACCTCTGACCCCTTGTATTATATCCCTCACAATGGTATTAACTTATTGATCAGATGCACACAAACAGCCTAGCGTACATTTGCTGGAAAGGAAAACCTGCATATAAAGTGATATCTAAAGGTCTACATATAGGGCCGGTTTCCAAGACACAGATTCAAGTCTAGTCCTGGACTAAAAGCTATTTCAGTCAGTGGAGGCTGCTGAGGGGAGGACGGCTCATAATAATGGCTGGAATGAAGTATATGGAATGGTATCAAACACGTGTTTGATACCATTCCATTCACTCCATTCAAGCCATTAAACTCCATTCCAGCCATTATTATGAGCCGTCCTCCCCTCAACAGCCTCCACTGCTTTCAGTTGATATATGCAATTGAACATCTTTTTAATCCTGGACTAAGCTTAATCAGTGTCTGGGAAACCATCTGATCCCCCTCTGGCATTGACTCAGACTGGAGAGGGTCTGCTGTTGCTTTGATGTTGTAGCTGTGTATAATTATGTAATTAATGAAATCATCCAATCAGTCCTGTCCTTGGTGTGTCCCCAGGTACGTGCCAGTGTAACCCGTATGGCTCCTACAAGGGGACGTGTGACCCGTCCAGCGGCCAGTGCTCCTGCAAGCCCGGCGTCGGGGGACAGAAGTGTGACCGTTGCGATCCAGGCTTCTGGAACTTCCGCGGCATCGTCACAGAGAACTTGAGCGGCTGCACACGTAAGAGACCTCCTCGTACTTCGCCGCTTTCTCCATCTGTTTTCTTCACATTAACTGTCCTGATGTAGGGAACAGAAGAGTTTTGGTCCTGTGCAGTGCTTAATTGGTAAATCGGGAGATGCCGGGAAACAAAAAGTGAGCGCGAGAGGGGGGTGACCTGGGGAGCTCTGAGGTACCTTTATAATAAAGCATTGCATGTATATCATCATATTTGCATAGTGGCATAGAGCAGTAGAGTATTACATTTACATTTTAGTCATTCTTATCCAGAGTAGAGGCGCTTACAGAAGTTGCACACATGGGGAACATAATTAGTAGCCTAAGGTCCGGGAAAAATTTGGCCTTTTATAAATGCATTTCATACAATTCTGCACATTTTACATGACTGGAGACTTTGGCAGAATCTTTAATACCGCACAAATGATCTAAATGACGGGCTACTTTGACACTGAAAATCTGAGATCACTAAAAACGACCTTGTCTTGCATCCATCAATAGCCTAGGTGTGTGGAGACACATATTGTAGGCTACAATATGAGGAGAAAATGTCAGTCCTAAAAATGCTTTCCAGTTTCACTGACTCGCCCAATGATGCGCAGCTCACTCGCCGGTGATGGCCGATGCGTTCATGCCAGAAGCCTATCTGTCTCTTGTTTTACTTTGTAAAACACTATTTGGTAGCCTACAGCAGACCGATTAGTCTTCTCTTTTCAGCAGTAACCATTTGCTTTCTAACCTGTGTTTTCCCGCGATTGTATATGAAATAAAGGCCTGTTTTGTCTGCATGCTGTTCACTGACAGATTTGCCGCGCGTTCCCGACTGTAGGCTATGCTTTGTTATTGGGCTACACAAAATCCACAGCTAGGCTATTTTTTAAAAGAAGCTATTGATCCTCTGTGGCTAAATTATAGGCATTCGCATGGTGTGGTAGGCTATTCTGAATTATTTAATTTGTTTCTGAACAGACAGCAGTCATTTTGGCAAATTTATTTCAATTTATCAGGGGTGCTGCGGCACCTCCAGCACCCTTCCCGCGGCTATGATTCTATAACGATATCAATGATGAAGTGCAACACTGAAGAGATTAGAGTTGCAGGCTCATGTCTATCAGAGCAGAGAGAGGGAGAGAGCTCATAGAAAGTTAATCTCATTCTAGTTCTGTGAGAGATACAGCCACGCTTCTCACACAGCCACGTGTTGGTCTCAAACATACACTGAACAAAAATATAAACGCAATATGTAAAGTGTTGGTCCCATGTTTCAGGAGCTTAAACAAATGCTCCTAAGGAATTTTCCTTAGAGCTCCGATACAGGATTGTGTCGAGGCACAGATCTGGGGAAGGGTACCAAAAAATGTCTGCAGCATTAAAGGTCCCCAAGAACACAGTGGCCTCCATCATTCTTAAATGGAAGAAGTTTTGAACCACCAAAACTCTTCCTAGAGCTGGCCGACCGGTCAAACTGAGCAATCTGGGGAGAAGGGCCTTGGTCAGGGAGGTGACCAAGAACCCGATGGTCACTCTGACAGAGCTCTAGAGTTCCTCTGTGTAGATGGAAGAACCTTCCAGAAGGACAACCATCTCAGCAGCACTGCACAAATCAGGCCTTTATGGTAGAGTGGCCAGACGGAAGCTACTCCTTAGTAAAAGGCACATGACAGCCCGCTTGTAGTTTGCCAAAAGGCACCTAAAGACATGAGAAACAAGATTCTCTGGTCTGATGAAACCAACATTGAACACTTTGGCCTGAATGCCAATCGTCATGTCTGGAGGAAACCTGGCACCATCCCTACGGGTGAAGCATGGTGGTGGCAGCATGATGCTGTGGGGATGTTTTTCAGCGGCAGGGACTGGTAGACTAGTCAGGATCAAGGGAAAGATGAATGGAGCAAAGTACAGAGAGATCCTTGATGAAAACCTGCTCCAGAGCGTTTAGGACCTCAGACTGTGTCACGATCGTCTATGAAGTAGGACCAAAGCGCAGCGTTGGTAGCGAACATATTGACTTTAATGCAATACACGAGAATACAAAACAAAACACGATCATGAAGTCCTCAGTGACAACGACTGAACATAGAACAAAAACCCACAACCCCAAGGTGAACAATGACAGTTTAAATATGGCTCCCAATCAGAGATAACGAGCCGACAGCTGACACTCGTTACCACTGATTGGGAGTCACTGGACCAAACAATGAAACAACCAATAACAACCCAACTAATCCCCAAACACAACAAAAATGAACACACCCTGGCTCAATAATACAAAGTCCTGGAGCCAGAGCGTGACAGTACCCCCCCTAAAGGCGCGGACTGCGACCGCGCCTCAAAGAACCCAAATAGGGGAGGGCTGGGTGGGTGTTGCTCCTCGGAGGCGGCTCCGGCTCTGGCTCCGGGCTTGACCACCATCCTACATCCATCCCCCCGTAATGGCCCCGGTCCGATCCCACCCAGCTGGCTGGATCCGGACTGATGACGCGCACCCCTAGCTTGGCGCGTGAGGCAGGGACGGACCGGACCTGGCTGACGATACGCATCCTCGGCTTGGTGCGTGGAGCCGGAACGGACCTCCTCAGGCTGACGACTCGCCTCCCTGGCTTGGTGCGCGTAGCAGGAATAGGCTGAACCAGGTTGACGACTCGCCCCCTTGGTTTGGTGCGAGTAGCCGGAACGAGCTGACCCAGGTTGACGACTCGCACCCTTAGCCTGGTGCGAGTGGCAGGAACAGTCCGGGTTGGGCCGGCGACGCACACCGTAGTTTTGATGCGTGGAGCAGGAACCGGCCGGGCTGGGCTGGCGACGCACCCCTTTGGCTTGGTGCGTAGAGCAGGGACAGGCCGGGCTGGGCTGGCGACGCGCACCATTGGCTTGGTGCGGGGAGCAGGGACGGGCCGGACAGGGCTGACGAAACGCACCCCAGACTTGGTGCGGGGAGCAGGAACAGGTCGAGCTGGCCTAGCGACGCACACCGTTGGCTTGGTGTGGGGAGCAGGCACGGACCGGACAGGGCCGACGAAACGCACCACAGACTTGGTGCAGGGAGCAGGAACAGACCGAGTCGGGCTGGCGGCGCGCACCACAGGCTCCATGCGAGGAACAGGAACAGACAGGACCGCAGTGAGGACTCACACCCCTGGCCCTACACGGGGATCAGGAACGGGCCGGACCGGACTGGTAACACACCCCAGTACCCTTCGCCGTGCCTCCACACCTTCCTTCCCCTTCGTGACCAGTGGCCCCCTTAACCTGGCGGCCTTTTCTGCCAACCTACTGCACTCCTCTAACCCGTACTCCTGCTGCCCCGACGTCGTGAGCCCCCCCCTAAAAATTTTCTGGGGGTCTCTCCTCTCCGTGGACCAGGCCTCTATAGTCCTCTCCCAACCTTCGCTCTTCTGTCTCCACCACTCGTCATCCAACTCCTGGAAACGCTGCTTGGTCTCGTTGTGGTGGGTTTTTCTGTCACGATCGTCTATGAAGTAGGACCAAAGCGCAGCGTTGGTAGCGAACATATTGACTTTAATGCAATACACGAGAATACAAAACAAAACACGATCATGAAGTCCTCAGTGACAACGACTGAACATAGAACAAAAACCCACAACCCCAAGGTGAACAATGACAGTTTAAATATGGCTCCCAATCAGAGATAACGAGCCGACAGCTGACACTCGTTACCACTGATTGGGAGTCACTGGACCAAACAATGAAACAACCAATAACAACCCAACTAATCCCCAAACACAACAAAAATGAACACACCCTGGCTCAATAATACAAAGTCCCGGAGCCAGAGCGTGACAGACTGCCCTTCCAACAGGACAACGACCCTAAGCACACAGCCAAGACAACGCAGGAGTGGCTTCAGGACAAGTCTCTGAATATCCTTGAGTGGCCCGGACTTGAACCCGGTCAAACAACTCTGGAGAGACCTGAAAATAGCTGTGCAGCGATGTTCCCCATCCAACCTGACAGAGCTTGAGAGGATCTGCAGAGAAGAATGGGAGAAACTCCCCAAATACAGGTGTGCCAAGCTTGTAGCGTCATACCCAAAGGAGCTTCAACAAAGTACTAAGTAAAGGGTCTGACTACTTATGTAAGTGTAATATTTCCGGTTTTTATTTTTAATAAATTAGCAAACATTTATAAAACCTGTTTTTGTTTTGTCATTATGGGGTGATGTGTGTAGATTGATTAGAGTGGGGGGAAAACTATTTAATCAATTTTAGAATAAGGCTGTAACCTATCAAAATGTTGAAAAAGTCTAGGGGTCTGAATACTTTCCAAAGCCACTGTATCTGTGTTCCCAGTCATGTGAAATCCATAGGTTAGGGCTTAATGAATTTATTTCAATTGACTGAATTCCTTACATGAATTGTAACTCAGTAAAGTTTTTGAAATTGTTCCATGTTGCGTTTATATTTTTGTTCAGTGTAGGTTGCAATGTTACGCAAACCATAAGCCCGAATCAACTCTTTGAATATCGGGGGGGCAGGCAGGCGAATTAACAAGGGGGAAACTCGAATTAACTTTGATTTGCTTTTATTAGAATGTTCACATTGCAAAAAGTGACAATTATTTATTATTTATCTGGCCAAATTTGTTTCATAATGAAACAGTCCAAAATGGAGAGGTGCCGGATCCTCTTCCGGCAGGATCCAGCTCAAATTTAGCAATGTTCCTGTGTAGTACAGTTAGAAGACTATGGCGCTTGTAATTCAAGGATCATTGGCTCCCGCTGGGGCTGGCAATACGAAAATGTATGCCCTTCTGTAAGACGCTTTGGATAAAAGCTTCGGCTTAATGGCATATATTGGTTATATTAGTTAAGAGTAGCACTTGGCTGTAAAGAGCTGGGCTCCCGAGTGGCACAGTGGTCTAAGGCACTGCATCTCAGTGCTTGAAGCGTCACTACAGAACCGCTGGTTCGATTCCAGGCTGTATCACAACTGGCCGTGATTGGGAGTCCCGTAGGGCGGCGCACAATTGGCCCAGCGTCGTCCGAGTTTGGCCGGTGTAGGCCGTCATTGTAAATAAGAATTTGTTCTTAACTGACTTGCCTAGTTGAATAAAGGTAAAATAAAATAAAAAGAGATTAAGTTGAAAAATCAATGCTTATTGTTGCAGCCAAGGCCGTCAGTAGGCGATAAAAAAATATATATATATTTGACTCATTTTGTGTCCTTTAAAAAAAACAGAGACCCAAGAATCAGAGCTTTGTCAAAGCTGTCAAAAGTTGCACTTGACATTGACTCAATTATTTTGTGTGGCTGTGTGTCCATAATCCTTTTTGACGCGGACTACCAGATTACTTGTGAAAAGAGTTCTTGGCAATACAGTATAAGACCCGCCAAGCTATTTAATCCACAGCAGGAGCTTTTATCGGTCTCCACTGTGGCCTGACATGTGAGGTTTACCTACGGACAAGCAAACCGTACACACATCAGTGCAGAGTTCAGCAGGGGGAAACATTGATTCCAGGACCTTGATGGGGTTGATGTTGTTCCTTGGGGGCTGGAGGCTCTCTGTGATCTTGTTGGCCCATCTACCCTCTCGCCTCAGGACTGTCTGGCTGGCCTCTGCCTGAACTATCCCTGACTCCAGCCCCCGACACAGAGGCGCTGAGATTTACATCAACCTAGGGTTCACTTCTGAGGCGGCCTGAGTGTGTGTGTGTGAGGGGCTGGTTTCTATGACACAGATTAAGCCTAGTTCCGAACTGAAAAGCCCAATGGAGAATCTTGTAGAGTTTTAGGGAAAGAGTTAAGCTGGATAATCAATATCCTTTATCTTGCATTGTGGTGAACAGGTGGATTGTTATTCACTGTATGTCATTAAGTACCACTTACCCTTTTGTGTTTCCATCTCTCTCCCTGTCTCTCTTCCTCCATTCCCTCCTCCTCCCTATTTATATCTCCCTTCCTCTCTTTCTTTCTCTCCCTCTGTGTTCCAGCATGTAACTGTGACGCAGTGGGCTCGGTGAGGGACGACTGCGAGCAGATGTCAGGTCTGTGCTCCTGCAAGACTGGAGTGAAGGGCATGAAGTGCAATGTGTGCCCCGACGGCAGCAAGATGGGCATGAATGGCTGCGACACAGGTACGGGGAGGCCCCTGCTGACTGATGTGCGCCACCTGCTAACTCGCCGCGCCACCGACAGAGCATGGCAAACCCTCGGTTCTCGTCTAGTCCCTGTCACTCCTCTCATCCAGGGAGCGGCCTTGCAGCAATGAATTCATGAACTCAATGGCCTTTTCTCTAAGCCACCTGTTTTATCAGCATTAAGAAGTAGCAGAAACTGTAGAAGCGGCTGCAGTACAATAGCTGTTGTTGTAGCTGTCATTTTTCATTGTGTTATCTGAAGGAAAAACTAATCAGAATGGGAAATATCATGTTAACTAGTTTATTAGGTACACCACCCCATTCACGAAAATGGTTAGCTCCTACAGACATTGAGTCACATGGTCATGGTTTGTTATATAAAGCAGGCAGACCGGCATTGAGGCATTCAGTTACTGTTCAATTTAATGTTAGAATCTGCAAAACGAGTGATCTAAGCAACTTTGAGCATGGTGTGATCGTCGGTGCCAGGCACACCGGTTTCAGTACCTATAATGCAGCAGACGACCACACCGGGTTCCACTCCTATCAGTTAAAAAGAAGAAGAAGCAGCTCCAGTGGGCACGCGATCACCAACACTGGACAATTTAGGAGTGGAAAAACATTGCCTGGTTGCGTCATGCTGATGGCTCCAACCTGCCTGATGTCAACGTTAGGTCTCTTGATACCAATTGAGCAATGGTTGACCGCCACACTTTGCAGAATCCATTCCCCAAAGAATTTAGACTGTTCTGGAAGCAAAGGGGGGTCCGACCCGGTACTAGATGGGTGTACCTAATCAAATATTTGGGCAATTTATCCAGTATCCATTAATTTAGCCCTCCATTCTAATGTCTGGATGAATGGCAACCTAACCTAATGAATACACACAACTCCAGTTGACTTTCCGTCAGCTATTGACAGGAAGTCAAGTGCTTAATGAAGTCAATAGTCCCAGCACAAAGTGGGGGGGGGGGGGCACATGAAAGCCGAGAGGAGGCTCTCTGCACCGCTGTGATGTCAGTACAGAGAGGAGAGCCCACACTCGATGCCTCAAGGGCTCATGGCAATGATTCTTAGCACAAGCCCCTGTTGCTACTGCTGATGCAACCCAGTGGCATTGTGCATCAACGCTTCAAACAGGTTCCTTGGTTAAAGTACCAGTGATCAGTGCTGCGGAGGCGCCTGACGAAAAAAACATGACGGAATGAGATCAAATCCTTATTTATTTATTGTCTTGAAAAGAGTCCACATGTTTAATTTATACTAAAGATTAATCATTAATATAATCCTGTATGGAAAGCGTAACAACTATTCATCTGCACAACCTACTCATGTTTCTATATAGTGAGTTCCAAAAGTATTGGGACAGTGACAAATGTTTTGTTGTTTTGGCTCTGTACTCCAGCACTGGATTTGAAATGATACAATGACTGTGTGAATAATGATTAGTGAGAAAGTTACAGACACATAAATATCATACCCCCAAGACATGCTAACTTCTCAGAGGGGAATATTTGTGCTTATGTAACTTTCTCACTCATCATTATTGACGATTCATTCAGGACTATCCGTAATCATGGTAGCATCCACATTAATGTAGGAGCATTTCAAAACATATTCTATTCTTATTTACAATAGTGACTCCAAATTGACACAATACATTATTTACCATTAATTTGTGTTGGGCACAAAATAATCTAAAACACAACCAAAACAAACTGCAAATGCATCCAACAAATGTGTAGAGTCACAAGCTTGATGTAGTCATTACGTGCTACGAATATTGGACCAAATACTTTACTTTTTAATACACATATAAGTGAATTTGTCCCAATACTTTTGGTCCCCTTAAAATGGAGGGGACTATGTAAAAAAAGTGCTGTAATTTCTAAACAGTTTACCCGATATGGATGAAAATACCCTCAAATTAAAGCTGACCGTCTGCACCTTAACCGCACAGTCATTGTATCACTTCAAATCCAAAGTGCTGGAGCACAGAGCCAAAACAACAACATTTGTCACTGTCCCAATACTTTTGGACCTCACTGTATGTGGAAGTAGTACTGTGCATATAGATTATTATGGTGATTATCAACTAGGGTTAAGAGCAGTTAAGAGCACCAAACTCACATGCTAATGTCAGCATCATGATTTGGACCAGGAATACACATTCATATGAATGGACAGTGATGGTATCCATTGACCCATGAGTTGATTTGAACCCCTTCATTCCCATCCCAGGTGCTGATGCCCCAACCTCATGTGATGAGCTGGACTGCAAGTTTGGCGCGTCTTGTGTTGAGGTTAACAGTCAAGCCCACTGTGAATGCCCCTCGCCCGACTGTGACGAGAAGAACAAGACCAAGGTGGGCCTCTACATTATCTTCTCTATGACCAATCAGTCTATACTGTCAGAAATTCATCACAGAATTCAGAACACAGTATCTGGAACTATTGAGCTTGAGATCGGCATAAAGTTAATGAGTTGTGATCCTAGCCTGTTTCTCTCTTTTTTCCTGAGCAGGTGTGTGGCTCTGATGGGGTGACCTACGCTGACCAGTGCCAGCTGAGCACCATTGCCTGTAGGCAGGACAAGCATATCACAGTGGAACACTTTGGCCAGTGCACAGGTGAGCCCCGTCTGACCTCCATACATCATACTAGGGGATGTCCAACTCCTGTTGTCAGGCCCATATCAAAAGATAATGAATAATGCCACAGGCGTTGGAAAGACCAACTGTCCTCTCTCTATCTATCTGGCTCCTTGTCAAGGGGACAAGGGGATATGGGTTGTGTCCTCTTTGTGGTTGGTGCAGTATTGCTTCACTGTGTCTTTCACCCAGGTTTGTCTATGGATAGCCTGCATGGCTATACTTAAAGTATAGAAACTTTACTTTATACATTACTGTAGTAAACAATTTTTGAGACTGACTGTACCAGATATCGTCAAGGGTTTGTATTGTAGTGTATGGGGGCTCTATATGCCAAGAATTTGCAGTAAAGCACAAGTTTTCTTGTGGGAATAACGAGCAGCTGGCGTGGCGTCAACATACCTGTGAGCCCACACGACGACAGCTTAGGATTTTTTTTTTTTTAAATCAAATCAAATCAAATTTTATTGGTCACATGCGCCGAATACAACAGGTGCAGACATTACAGTGAAATGCTTACTTACAGCCCTTAACCAACAGTGCATTTATTTTAAACAAAAAAAGTAAGAATAAAACAACAACAAAAAAAGTGTTGAGAAAAAAAGAGCAGAAGTAAAATAAAGTGACAGTAGGGAGGCTATATATACAGTAAAATAAAGTGACAGTAGGGAGGCTATATATACAGGGGGGTACCGTTGCAGAGTCAATGTGCGGGGGCACCGGCTAGTTGAGGTAGTTGAGGTAATAATTTACCATCATCCTCCCTGCTTCGGATCGAGGAAGAGGAAAAACTAAGTCTTGGGAGAGAAATGAGGCCTGAGATGCTCCCCTTGAGATAGATAAACTACTGTTTGGCTGCAGTCTGAGCCACTGAATCCCCCATAAAGGGGTGACATTTTACTGTTTGATTCCCTGCCCCCCTGTGCGGATTAGGGAGGTTTAGCTCCCAAATTCTCGGTGGGGAATCCTTCAATCCCCTTCACAGCTTTTAGCTGGATGAGCACCACTATTCAGCTATCAGAGGAGCGATTGGCGAGATGCTTGAGAATGGGGGGAAGAGTAAGCCTTCTGATACCTGGTTTGGAATGGAGGTTGTGGGTAGACGGCTTCACGGGTCCAAAAAGTTGGACCCATTCTGAAATGGATCTGTGGCTTTCCCACCCGACCTGATTCTTCTTCTTTTTTAACGGAGACCCGTTCCGAATTGACCTGAGGACAGTCAGACCCGTTCTGAAAAGGCCTGTGGAAATACGGACCTAAACAGACCCGTGCTGGTTTGGATCCGAGAGACCCGTTCAGATCTTAGAGTAGAAAGAGAGAGAGAAAGAAACCTCCGACTGGGCTCTGCCAGCGCCATCAATAAACGAGCGATAGGCTATTGGCCAAATTTACGTTTCCTTAAAAAATATATATTTTTTTTATTTATAGCATATTCTAAGCTTTAGAGCCTATTGTTTGATTGGTTTTTACTTTCCTAAAACAATAATTGTCCACCTCATGGTTCAGCTGTTGGAGATTTGAGCACTAAATGCATCATGGCATTGCATGGATATAGATAGGCCTATAGGCTTAGGTGTCCACTGTATGATATTAATATATATTAATATATATATATATATATATATACACACTGCTCAAAAAAATAAAGGGAACACTTAAACAACACATCCTAGATCTAAATGAATGAAATAATCTTATTAAATACTTTTTTCTTTACATAGTTGAATGTGCTGACAACAAAATCACACAAAAATTATCAATGGAAATCAAATGTATCAACCCATGGAGGTCTGGATTTGGAGTCACCCTCAAAATTAAAGAGGAAAACTACACTACAGGCTGATCCAACTTTGATGTAATGTCCTTAAAACAAGTCAAAATGAGGCTCAGTAGTCTGTGTGGCCTCCACGTGCCTGTATGACCTCCTTACAACGCCTGGGCATGCTCCTGATGAGGTGGCGGATGGTCTCCTGAGGGATCTCCTCCCAGACCTGGACTAAAGCATCCGCCAACTCCTGGACAGTCTGTGGTGCAACGTGGCGTTGGTGGATGGAGCGAGACATGATGTCCCAGATGTGCTCAATTGGATTCAGGTCTGGGGAACGGGCGGGCCAGTCCATAGCATCAATGCCTTCCTCTTGCAGGAACTGCTGACACACTCCAGCCACATGAGGTCTAGCATTGTCTTGCATTAGGAGGAACCCAGGGCCAACCGCACCAGCATATGGTCTCACAAGGGGTCTGAGGATCTCATCGCGGTACCTAATGGCAGTCAGGCTACCTCTGGCGAGCACATGGAGGGCTGTGCAGCCCCCCAAAGAAATGACACCCCACACCATGACTGACCCACCGCCAAACCGGTCATGCTGGAGGATGTTGCAGGCAGCAGAACGTTCTCCACGGCGTCTCCAGACTCTGTCACGTCTGTCACGTGCTCAGTGTGAACCTGCTTTCATCTGTGAAGAGCACAGGGCGCCAGTGGCGAATTTGCCAATCTTGGTGTTCTCTGGCAAATGCCAAACGTCCTGCACGGTGTTGGGCTGTAAGCACAACCCCCACCTGTGGACGTCAGGCCCTCATACCACCCTCATGGAGTCTGTTTCTGACCGTTTGAGCAGACACATGCACATTTGTGGCCTGCTGGAGGTCATTTTGTAGGGCTCTGGCAGTGCTCCTCCTGCTCCTCCTTGCACAAAGGCGGAGGTAGCGGTCCTGCTGCTGGGTTGTTGCCCTCCTACGGCCTCCTCCACGTCTCCTGATGTACTGGCCTGTCTCCTGGTAGCGCCTCCATTCTCTGGACACTACGCTGACAGACACAGCAAACCTTCTTGCCACAGCTGGCATTGATGTGCCATCCTGGATGAGCTGCACTACCTGAGCCACTTGTGTGGGTTGTAGACTCCGTCTCATGCTACCACTAGAGTGAAAGCACCGCCAGCATTCAAAAGTGACCAAAACATCAGCCAGGAAGCATAGGAACTGAGAAGTGGTCTGTGGTCACCACCTGCAGAACCACTTCTTTATTGGGGGTGTCTTGCTAATTGCCTATAATTTCCACCTGTTGTCTATCCATTTGCACAACAGCATGTGACATTTATTGTCAATCAGTGTTGCTTCCTAAGTGGACAGTTTGATTTCACAGAAGTGTGATTGACTTGGAGTTACATTGTGTTGTTTAAGTGTTTCCTTTATTTTTTTGAGCAGTGTATATATATATACACACAGTGGGGAGAACAAGTATTTGATACACTGCCGATTTTGCAGGTTTTCCTACTTACAAAGCACGTAGAGGTCTGTAATTTTTATCATAGGTACACTTCAACTGTGAGAGACGGAATCTAAAACAAACATCCAGAAAATCACATTCTATGATTTTTAAGTAATTAATTTGCATTTTATTGCATGCGCCCCTGAGTATGGTTTGAGTGCAATTAGCCCTATATTAGGCAAACACAACATTACAATTGGTACTTAATTTGCCCAATGAAAATGGCTCAACAATGAAACAAAACAATTGTTGCATATTTAAAGAACTGGTTTAAATCTTTACAAAAGCTTTGAACAGATAGGCCTGAATTGCAACGATTAAACAAAGGCGACTGCCTACAGGCCTACCCCACAAAAGACAGCAATAGGCTAATTATATTTATTTTACAACAGGCCTATTTTCAACCTACAGTATCTTAAAATAAATACGGAGCACAAAATTAAAAAGACAGTTAAAACTTAATTTAGCCAACGAAAATGTCTAGACAAAAAGAAACAAAACACTTTTTGCATATTTTAATTAACTGCTTTAGATTTTTAAATAGGCCTAAAATAATAATGATATACAATAATAATGATAAAACAAATGATAATAAATATATGTATTTTTTAAGTTAGAAAATTGCATCAAACCTAGATAGCGAGTTGGCCACGCCAATGTTCTTCTTCTCATCTTTGTCCACTACAATATTAAAACTTGTCCCCGAGGACATTCCCCTTGTCGGCTTCTTTTCACTATACTCTTTCTCCTCTATCTTTCCTTTTACTTCAGTGAACAAGGCCTATATCTTCGCAATCAACAGTAGCCAAGACTCCTTTCACTCACTCTCTCTCCTCAGCAGCAGGCTCACGTGAGGTGAGCGGCTGGAGACAGTTTCAGCTGGACATACAGTGGCTTGCGAAAGTATTCACCCCCCTTGGCATTTTTCCTATTTTGTTGCCATACAACCTGGAATTAAAATTGATTCTTTGGGGTTTTGTATCATTGATTTACACAACATGCCTACCACTTTGAAGATGCAAAATATTTTTTTATTGTGAAACAAATAAGAAATAAGACAAAAAAACAGAAAACTTCAGCGTGCATAACTATTCAACCCCCCCAAAGTCAATACTTTTTTAGAGCACCATCTATCATTCCTTCAATTCTGACCAGTTTCCCAGTCCCTGCCGATGAAAAACATCCCCACAGCATGATGCTGCCACCACCATGCTTCACTGTGGGGATGGTGTTCTCAGGGTGATGAGAGGTGTTGGGTTTGCGCCAGACATAGCGTTTTCCTTGATGGCCAAAAAGCTCAATTTTAGTCTCATCTTCCATATGTTTGGGGAGTCTCCCACATGGCGTTTGGCAAACACCAAAAGTGTTTGCTTATTTCTTTCTTTAAGCAATGGCTTTTTTCTGGCCACTCTTCCGTAAAGCCCAGCTCTGTGGAGTGTACAGCTTAAAGTGGTCCTATTGACAGATATTCCAATCTCCACTGTGGAGCTTTGCAGCTCCTTCAGGGTTATCTTTGGTCTCTTTGTTGCCTCTCTGATTAATGCCCTCCTTGATTGGTCCGTGAGTTTTGGTGGGTGGCCCTCTCTTGGCAGGTTTGTTGTGGTGCCATATTCTTTCCATTTTTTAATAATGAATTTAATGGTGCTCCGTGGGATGTTTGGTGGTGCCCCTTGCTTAGTGGTGTTGCAGACTCTGGGGCCTTTCAGAACAGGTGTATATATACTGAGATCATGTGACACTTAGATTACACACAGGTGGACTTTATTTCACTAATTATGTGACTTCTGAAGGTAACTGGTTGTAACAGATCTTATTTAGGGGCTTCATAGCAAAGTGGGGGAATACATATGCATGCACCACTTTTCCGTTATTTATTTTTTTCATTTTACTTCACCAATTTGCACTATTTTGTGTATGTCCTTTACATGAAATCCAAATAAAAATCCATTTAAATTACAGGTTGTAATGCAACAAAATAGGAAAAACACCATGGGGGATGAATACTTTTGCAAGGCACTGTAAGCTATATGTTTCATTGAGTTGCAATTGGCTGACACAGATAACAAGCTTTCACACAGTTCTCATCACCGCACACATTAAATTAACAGAGGGACGTGTCCAATCGGGTCCAGTTGGTAAATCCATTTTAATTGCACATACCTGAGACCCATGGCAATTATATCAGACCCAACCCAGATCCGAGAGAAAAGTCAGAATTTTGGAGCCAGACCCGCTCGGGTCCCGGGTCGGATCTCAGAATTTTGGGTCTATGGGACCCGGAAGACCTCTAGTGGGTACCTTCCATCCCCTTCTGTTGGAGTGTTTAGCCGACTGGATAAAAAAATTATTATAATAATTATGTCCCCCCCACTTCTAAAACCAAAGTTGCGCCCCTGCGCAGGAGTAAGATTAATTTGCTCTATGAGAGCCCGACAGCACTTTGATCTGGTGATTAGCGATCTGACACCGTCGGTTACCAGTGAAATTCACTCCAGACTCATTCTCTGTTGCCTGACGATGGAGACATGGGTAGTATGTAAGACCTTACTTAGTGTGGAGCTTCATTCGGAGGGACAAAGAGTTGTAGCAGGGACTGCTCTCTCTCTCTCGCTCGCTTTCTTTGAGCCCAAGGGGAAGCCAGACGAACACAACAGGCCTCCGACTTGTCACAGCAGTTCTTTTAATTTCTTCCCCCAGATGCGGTCGCGCCGTAGGTAGCGGGCTCCTCATCCTCCCCCAGGTTGGGGGTTAGATCGAGCTCATTTCACGTGTGACTGGGTGCAAATTAGCGTTCCAACATCCTCCCCCCGCCGCCGCTCCTCGCCTCCCGCTGATCTGATGCAGCTCTTAATAAAAATTACAGAAATAACTTCAATGCTAACAGCTAGCGCAGAACCACTACTGAGGGCCTTTGCCATTCCTACAGAAAGCATAGTCGCTAATGGCTAATGTTAATAAATATTGATCCGATCCAAACTCATACCGAAGTAGCTCCAAGGACAAGCCTATTTGATCTGATGTAACTCTCACACCTTATTGTACATCAGTGCTAATAGCTTCACACTGAAGCAAGTTCTGCAGAAACTACATCAAATGGCTGTGAACTTGTGATCTGACACATCTCTCCGCCCATGCTAAGGGACAAGCACTCTGACTCTTCTCTACACGACACAGCATTTCTACTTCTGGCTATGTCGCCTTTCTCAGAGCTAGATGAAGCAATCCATGGGAAAACCAGTGAAAGTGTGAGAGGTACAAGCCACTAAAGTGATGGGGGGGGGGCACCCATATGTAGGTTTAAAGCAAATTGGCAGAGAACACTAGCATATGATATCATTAGTTTTCTGCCTTAATGTCAGTCTCTTGTATTTAATGCCCCTCCCTCAATCCTCCCATTTTCTCAGATGTATTCCTCTCTCTCTCCCCTCTCTCTCCATCCTCATACTTTCCCTGAACACTTTTTTCCTCCGTCCCTCTTTTCATGTCTCTCTTTCGTGCTCTCTTTCTCCCTCGCCCGTTTTTCATCCTCTCTTCAATTTTCTCTTTCCCTTTTTCCTCTCGTCTTTCCAATATCTGATTCCTCCTCCCCACTGAGCATGGCAGACACTGCAAACAATCTTAATAACCGCCTTTCAAAGATAACTACACAGCCCAGACAAGTGAAGATGACAATGATTTCTCTCCCTGCCCGCCCGTCGATATAACCGGGAAAAAAGCAAATGGAGCGTTAAACCTGATTAAGGAAAGCTTCCACTGAACTGACTGCGCTGCCAGTTGTCCTACCCTTCTTTCTGTCTCTGTTTTTTTATTATTTTACCCACCCACCCCTCTTTGAGCGTTTGCCGCCGAAGGACTCCCGGCCGGATCCCAGACACTCACTCCCCTGGCTCCGCCGACGCAAGGCTTGGCACTTGAGTGACAGGTGTAGTCAAGAGGAAAAGCAAAGTATGCCACCGCCTCGCTCACGGTGATAGCAATCGCTAGATGCACTCTGGGGCTAAGCTGACATATTGTATCTCTGCAGGCTGGCTCCTCTGCCTCCCCTCCTCTGGAGCCTAGCAGGGTGGGAGATAGTGGGGTGCCTGCCTGGCTGATAACATCCAGTTCTTCATCAAGGTATCACATTTCACACTTCACGGCGTAATTGCCGATCAAATAGGAGATTATTATTGTGCAATTAAATCCTACACATAATGTTAGCCGAATTCCAATGAGACGGAAATAATAAACCGTAGGAGGTTTTTATTTCGCACTGCACACACAACGGCTGGGGTAAAGTAGGAGCGTCGTTATTTTGTCACGCCTGGCAGGCTCGCCGCCATCCTAGCAGCTACACTTATGAAGTGTCTCCATTCCCTACAGCTCTTGACTCGCTTCTCCTATTTTATCGGTTTTATCTGATACATTTTTGTCTTTGTACCAAAGCCTTGCATGGGTAATGGCGGTCTCTGCTGAAAGAAAAGCGGGTCCTCCTCTCTGGCGACGGCAAGGAAAGGATTTCTGAGAGTGTTTTTTGGATGGCGTGTGTGACTGTGTTGACAAGGCTGCCTTTCGCGGCGGAGTTGACGGATGCTTGTGCGGCTGTGAGCCGAGTCTGGAGTCTTTGAAGCTGGAGTTAAACCGTGCTTTTCCTGCCCCATGTATATTATCATTCATCACCAGAGGCTCTGACTGTCTGTGATTAAAGCTCCGCTACAGGAGGGCAACGTATGAATATGTATATATAATTCATACCCACAGACACACACCAATGCCGACACATATACACACAGACACACTGAACAAACACACATGCCTCACAAAGACACACACACCCCAACACCTACACACACACACCAGTGCAACTGCAGTGCAGCTTAACCCTATATAGGGCACATTCTTCTTCTCTGTACACAAACAGACTTCAGTGCAGTTGAACTCTACAGTATAACATCCTTTGGCATACTTCAGTGTAAGATGTTCTTATTTTCATGCCGTGTTTTGCTTCGTGAGTCATAAGGGGTTCAAAGATTTCATCCAGGTTTTCCGTTCCTATGTGCATAGGGTTTCAATTCTATTTTAGATTTATATTTCATATTGTGGTCCTCTGTAGCTCAGCTGGTAGAGAATGGCGCTTGTAACGCCAGGGTAGTGGGTTCGATCCCCGGGACCACCCATACACAAAAAAATAATGTATGCACGCATGACTGTAAGTCGCTTTGGATAAAAGCGTCTGCTAAATGGCATATTATTTATTATTATTGCAATGAGTCTGGTCTCTGCTCTTGTGTGTCGGTCAGAATTGTGTGCTCAGGTGCTTGACGTGACCAGAACACGCAAGACAACCATAAGGGGTACAGCAGTAGTATGAGGTAAAGGTGTACAATCGAAATGGGGGCTATAGGGAGAAAACAAAATATGATTTTCATCTTTGCTTACCCATTCATCCATTCCTTGCTTCCTCTCCTCCTCCCTTCCCTCCCCATGCAGAAAGCATCACCGAGCCAGCCGGCCGACCCACCCCTTACCCCCCCACCCCCCGCTCAAAAGCCACCACCCCCTCCACCTCCCACGTCAGGCTCACTTCGCCGCGTCATGGCACATCACGCTCTCCCTGGGATGACGATGAAACCGAGGGGCCACCAGCCTCATTCGTGGAGGCCCTGCCGCCCCCCATGGACACTGAGAGAGCGCTCACCACCAACCGCCCCGTCACCACCCCCCACCACACACCTCACTCCACCACCACCCGCCTACCCAGCCACACCAGCCCTGGCTCCTCCCCTGCAGCTTTCGAGGACTCAGGGAGCGGCGAGCCCAGCGGAGACGACCAGGTGGAGGAGGAGGAAGAGGGTAGCGGCGTCAGAGTCCTGGAGGCGAGCGGAGAGGAGCCAGTTGGTAAATCAAAGCTCTTTCACTTCATAACCCATAATGCTGCTCTACAGGGGGTCAAGGGTCAGAGGTCAGTGGGGGTCAGGGGAGGGTTGAATTATAGACATTATACACATTGAGCCTCTTTGCCGCTTTGATTGGCCTACCAGTGGTGTGTATTCATGGATGCCAAGGGAAGCAAGGCAATTTACCAAGAAAAAAACATACAAAATAATGTATCTTTCGTCTCTCTGTGTTTCATAAATTTCCTTCAATTCGCAAGAGGCTGAATGTATATCATCGGAGAAAGCATCCGAGCGAACAAAACAGCGCCCCTCAGTCTCAGTATGTGTAGCGTATCTATCTGATGCTGTCTGGTCAAAAAGAGTATGACATTGTTGCCGCCCGTAACATTGAATGCCAGAGAAGCCAGCGAGCTCCTCCCTTGATAAAAAATATATGAAAAATAGCCAATCAGCGTTGAGCTAAACTGAGTGAGCTCAGCTGTGAATGGTCCTGGCGCACCCAAAATTGGATTGGATTTAGCTTCAGACCAATCACATCAGAAGCCAAACGTCATTGACAGAAAGAAACTTGAATTGTTTCATCTCGTTGTGTCATTGTCCTCTGGTGGCTATCTAGCTAAAATCAGCCCTTTCCTAAATTGACCATGGATAGAGATAGGGATTTGGACTTGTGGTTTTACTTAATTCTCCGTACTGGCCAATGATTATAACTGCGATTCTGATCCACATTTTCCAAATGGCCTTCAGTACAACTTCCACTCCTTTGAGAAAAGTATTTTCCTTTTCGTCCTGACAAATGTTGAAGCTCCTGAACACCAACAGCTGAGTACAATGTTAACGATAATGGTATAGGGTCCATAAATTCATACATTCTGCCCCTGGCCTGAGAGAATGGAAGTTCAACATGTAGCTAGATGTAGTATGCTAATGTTAACTAGCTGGCCTGCCGCAGTGTTGCCCATGAAAGGAAGTTAGGCTAGCGAGCAAGCATTTTAGCCAGGTAGCCTAGGACAACAAAAACTAAAAGTGTGTACTGTGTGACAGAGTCATAGACCGTTTAGGCAACATGAAAGAGGAGGATGACATTTGCGTTTCTCTACCAGTAGGCTGAGTCAACATGTTTTTTTTTCTACTTGCACGCACGCACACACAAAGAAATCAGTACCATGGACAGCCACATCATATTTAACTTACGTTGATTGGACCAAATCGTTTTTGGTATCTTTTAGTTGTCACTGTATTAGCCTAAGCGTAGATGATTAGATGTTGAAATGTTGAAGTTTAAATGGTGCTGGAATAGCGGAGGTAGCACCTGTTTTCTTTGCGACTTGCGGTAACTCTCCATGGTTCTAAATCAATAGTTGTTTAGTAGTCCGAATAATGTCGGAAACTTGCTTGACCATGCTGTAGGTCATGTAACTGTTTGTTACATGCAATATGTTTTGTGGACTTCTCCAGTTTTGTAATGAAATAAATGTATTCTTATTGTCTCGGCCTTAGGCCTATACAGTATATCGCGATGTCAAGGCATATAAACTACCAGGTTATAGAGCAAACAATGCAATTATCACAACACATAGGCTGTAATAGGGATTAATTTTTTCTGGCTTGGATTCCCTGGTGATATTACCCACGCACCACTACTGTGGTCAACATAAACAACAAAAGCTACCAGTCTTTTTTATGGAGCATCATAAAAACTACATTGAGAAGTTTTATTAAATTAATCATTTGAAATGTCATGGTATATCCTTGTATGTAACAATGTCACATGGATATTTTAATTTAATTTAAAGCCTTTTCAGTGTTAAATCAGGTTAAAATAGGCTTAAATTAGGCTATACTTTTTCTATCGCAAAAATGAATACGCAGACAAGTATTTGAATACTAACGTCCATTCGGATATTTGAAAATTCTAATAACCGTGCACATCCCTAGGTTGAATATGGGCCTCTGAACTGACTCATGGTTTGATATGTCATTGCTACATCATACACCATTTAAACATGTCATTGTTTGATGTTATACATGTCATTATCTGATGTTATGTCACCACAACAGAGGTGTGTTTTCAAAGTGTCCTTTACATTCAGTTAAGGTTAATCCAAATGTTAAGCAGAGAAATACAAGAATGTATTCAAAACGCAAGACTGTTGTCACAGAATCCTCCATTCTGTGAAAATATGAAGCTATTTTCATATTTGAAGCGTTTCTCTCCCCACATAACTGATTTTGTAGAAATGGAAAACCGAAAGGTGATGAGATTATTGGCTTATGTTGGGGGGTTGTTTCAAGGCTGAGTTGATAGCTTGATAAGAATATCTCTTACCTTGTCATTGCAACATAGTGATACGGAACACAACTCTCGCTCTACACAGTAAAATCCCTCCACGGCATTGTGGCCTTATAGCTAAACCACTCCACCAAGCACCACACTCCAGAGACCTGTAGACTAACCCTTTTCAATCAGCTTTTTTTTTTACCATTCCAAAGCTCTGTGACCCTTCCAGTCACCCAACAGCTTGCTTTGACGCTCCTGAATTGATGGAACACGAGCCTCATTGCTTCCTCAGTCGCTTTTCCCCCTCGCAGATTTATTCTCTTGTCACCAGCGGACCGGAGCGCACATGACCTGTCTGCCAAGGAGACCTGGGTCACCTCCGTGTCTAGGTCTGTGTGTGTGTAAACAGGGGGATGGTTCTGGTTGTGGTTGGGTAGATGTGTGTTTGCCTCTCAATGGAGCAATACATAGTCCCTGAGTCATAGCACACCTCCCTACCCCGCCATCCTCCCAACTCAATCGCTGTCGTTCGTAAATCCATGGGCCAACAGATGCCCTGTAGACGCCAACACTCCCCTCCCTCCTCTATCCCTCCCTTCCTCCCAATCCCTGTTTCTCCACAGACACCTGTCCTAGCGGCGGGTGTTTCGCTCACGGGGTGACGAGAGAGAGTCCTTGAAGAGACAACCGTCCCCATTTGACGTCTTTACGACTTATTCAGCAAGCCACGGTTGTTTGCTCTACGATCATTTCTAATCATAGGGTGACTGTTAAGCTGCTCCACAGAGGGACCTATCCCCGTAAGAGAGAAACGGGTGCAGGCCATTCCCTGGTGTACTGTGAGAGTAGCCACTTTACCCCATTGGAGATAACGTCAGGGTACTCATAGATTTATAGCAAAGGCAATGTTCTCTGGGACAAAGTCTTTGGAGATAGCCATCTGCCAATCAGTGGACATTTGCAGATAGCAGTCGCCCAATCAGTGGAAGAGATTAGCTGTTTCCGTGGTTATTTACCAGCCCTCATCACAAAGTACTTAGTGCCATTATAACGGTATGTAGCCCATTATGTAGCTACTACAGTATGGCTCTCATTATGGAGATGAGTTCCAGATGCAGCTCTCTGAGGTTGGGGTTAAGAAGGTATTATGAAGTATTATGAAGCATTACAATGCGCTATAAAGCATTATGAACCTTTTCCTCTCTCACCCCTTGTTCCCTAGGCTGCGGCCACCACCGCCAGATTTTAGATGTGTTACAAGTGTTATGAAGCGTTATGAGGTGTTATGAATCTTTATGAACCCTCCTCTCTTTCCCCTAGACCCCACAGCCGCAGCCACCACCATCCCCATGGCGGAGGACCGCTCGTCGTGTGACAACACCCCATTTGGCTGTTGTCCCGATGGCAAGACGGCCTCCAGCAGCCCTGAGGGAGCCAACTGCCCCTGTAAGTACCCTACGACCCCCCTCTTCTTCCCCCTTTCTCCTGTTCCCCTCCTATACCACCTCACCCCTCTTCAACCCATTTAGGAGGCACACTTGAAATTGAGGAGGACTTTTGGATATGAAACAATGTGCTCATATAAAATCTAGAGCTGTGTTGCTTCTTTCTCGTCACACAAACACCAACATTAACAGTCGCTGCCATCCATGAAATGGAAACGTGAAATCACGCTATTAGCACTACAATACATTCTCTGTACAGTACATTTGCAGCACGCCACATCACGCAATGACGAAATGCATCACAAACATCCGTTTGTGTCAGCGGTGGCGAGGCGCTAACGATGTCACACCCACACATTGTCGATCGATAGCTCATTCTGCCAAAGTGTTACCGATTTATAGAGTGTATCGCTCCTTAATCAATATGCCAGACCTAGTTCTACTCCCAAGAAAGGCTGATATCACACTCAGTAGGATGGAAATGACAAGTCCATGGCGACCGGCAAGGTGTAATATCTATCAGCGGAGCGTCTCACTGTATTTTCCTCCTGTATTGACGGTGTCAGTGATCTCTCTGAGGAGAGGAGCTAACCACTATTTGCTAATGCTTAGCGAAAAAAGGCGTAGTTAACTTTAGATTGCCCGATAAACGGTAATCAGAAGGTGTGGACAAATTGTGGTGGTGCGCAAATGGACATTTTGATCATGTTTGTGTTCCTTTAACCGTCCGAATCCCCACAGTACGCCCAAACATTTTTATGCATCCACGTAGTCACAAGATTTTGTTTTTTTGTCTAGCCCAGATAAGCATCAGTGGGAGTGATTCTATTTTACTATGACTTTGTTGCCACATCATTGAAACATCTGAAAAGTGTAATAACTTGTCAGTTACAGAATATGTATCATGTGCATGATTTCCCATTTAACAAACTTTTTTGTTGTCAGAAAATAGAATGTGACATACCATTTGAAAGCTAAGCCATGGTTATATTCATAGAGTATGCAATGTAGGTCAAGTCACCAAAAGTGCAAACATTTAGTATGCATGGAAAGGGTACATTGTAAAGCAATGCATTTCCTTCTCCATCCACATTAGCTTGTATGCATCCTCCACATCTGCCATTCATCTATCTCACTCGTTTACAATAGGAAAAGTGAATGGGAAAAGAAGTTTGCAGTTTCCTCACCTGTCGGTGTCTTATTTCAACAACAACAAAAACGTGATAATTTAAAAGTCCTGATTGCTATGGTCATTTTAAGATGTTAGGCTTGAAAATCTGTTTAGCCATTTTGGCACAATGACTACCAAACCAAACTGGTTTCATGTGGCCAAAATACGCCATGTGCTCATGTAATCTCCTACTGCTTTCTAATGGACAAACTGGGAATCAGACGGGATATATTTACATCAATTGATAGGTAGAGACTTCAGCTTTCTCCTCTTATGTATATCATTCCTGAAGACAAAAAATGATTCCTGTAAGACGAGAAATTACGTTGCACAAGCCCTGCTCTTTAAAAATATCTATGTTCCTATGGGAATGTGTGCATCTTTAGAGCAACACCATTAGGTAAAAGATCTGACTTATTTTTTTCTTCATAAAAAAACTACCTTTTGGAACAGTAATTGTTGACATATTTTATGTAAAACCTAGACTTTCAAAACTCTTATTCTCCAACATTTGACAATTGGGACCCCCCCCCCAAAATCTGATCTATCGCTCTCCTCTCCTCTTTTTTTCTTCTCTCCATCCAAACGTTCCCCATTTGTTCCTATTTGATAGCTGCCCCATCATATTTGAATCGATGTGTGTCGGGCGGAGACAACGGCAAAAAAAAGTCCTTATCATGCAATTTGAACCAGCCTATGTCAGTCACCGGTTTGGCGGCATTAGGAGACAATTACGGCTATCTTCCACGATAATCATACAAGTGCTCTTCGCTTTTTTCCCAGGCGAGCTCCAAGCAGGGCACCATGATTGATTTGGGCAATTTGTTCAGTTGATTATGAGCCGCAGCATGAAACCTCAGCATCAGCGCCTCTCATCATCTCCTCTCCAGCCCCCTTTCTCTCCTGCTTTCTGCTTTATTTCACTCTTCTCTTTCACGATGTCTTGAGTCTCGCTGCCGTTGTGTTGCCGGAACAACAGCAAGAGGCCATTGGGGGTTGATGGATTTTGAACAGAGAAATGGGGATGTTTAAGGGCAAGGCGGGGCACTGTCTTTGCCAAAGCTGGAAACTTTTAGAAAATGTTCTTCATTTTTGCTATGTGTGTTGTCTTGTCTGTCCCTCTCTGCTCTTTGTAATATGTATGTCAATGTTTCCTGTCTGTCTAACTGATCTCTCTCTATCCAGTCCTCCATGCCTCTGCCAACTTTTGGGACAAGTCTCGGTCTGGTAAACTCCAGTCCATTACTCCACCCCCTGCCCTTCTCCTCTTCCTCTTCCCTTCTTCTGTCACTCCTCCTCCATATCCCACAATCCACTCTTTCCACTTCCACTGCGGCCAATCACAGGCTCAGCCCCCTCAACTCCACAGCCACACCCACCATAAAAAACAACCACACTAACCCCCCCCCCCCCCCCACCCACCCCCCCTCCCCATACACACACGCACACACACATGCGCACACACTCCATCACTAACCCAGACTGGCACTACCCAAACGGTCACTGTCTGAAGCTGAGGGCGGGTAGTTGAGGGCACCGCATGCCTCACAGGTACAGAAAGTAAAGGTTTATAACGTGTGTGACACCATTTCCTCCCAGCCACCATGCGGTTCAACGGCTTCCTGCACTTGGACCAGGTGGAAGGCCAGGAGGTCTTCTACACCCCTGAGATGGAGGATCCCAAGTCTGAGTTGTTTGGCGAGACGGCCAGGAGCATCGAGAGTGCTGTGAGTAGCAACCCCCCTACATACAGAACTAGCTGCCATAGAAGGCTGCCATAGTCAGTTGTTCAACAACAGTCTGTCGAAGAAGTGTGGGTTGTCAAAGTTAATGCTCGCTCTTAAACGGGGACATTGCATGTGTGTATGTGGGCAACGCGCATACGTGTGCTTCTCGACAGCTATTGAAATGGTGTCACTGGCCCCCGTCAAAGCCTAATCTACCGCCTCACATCACTCTGTGTGTGACTGTGTGTCTGTATGTGTGTGCATCCTACGCCTCGTGGGAGCCAGCTGTGGCAATAGATAGCAAAACCATCCCCCCTCTAGCCTCTAGTGTGTGTTTGTCTGCTAGAGACTGTGTGTGGATATCACCTGAGGTTAAAACTAGAGAGGGGGAGAAGTGGACATGTTTCTGGGTCAGTGTGGCCGTGGTGGCCTGGCTTGTGTCTGGGCACACACACAGATTGGTTTTGCTATGCTACCTGCAGTCCCGCCCACCACCCAGCAGGGGTACCTGAGGAGTATGTGCAGAGACATAAACATACAGTATGCTAGAATAGAAAATGGAGTATAGTATTATAGAAGTGTAGTGGGAGTGATGTCGTTCACCCCCAGACAAATCATTTGAGGTGAACAGAGGAGGAACAGGCCAATTGTGTGTGCTTCAAAAACGTGTTCATGTAATTATACCTTAGCTACAGCTAAATGTCAATTTGTGCACCTAGACCAGGCCCAATGTGGTTCTACACAGTAGTAGACCTATCCACTGACATAGGGTGTGTCCCAAATAGCATAGTACACTACTTTTGACCACGGCAATGTCTTCCCCCAGCCTTCTGGTAAATGAGTTCACTGCACTCAAATTGGATGAGCCACTGCCCAGAGCTCATTACCTCGCTCATTCATCATCCTGGTTGTATTCATTATGCACAAAACAGAACAAAACGGACTGAAACAGGGAGGGACTACCTGATCTTGTCCAATAAGAAACGCTCATTTTCTGTTGCACAACATTTTGCTATGTTATGTACTAATGAATGTGTTTCTCCTCCCTGGCTCAGCTGAACGAGTTGTTCCGTAAGTCAGAGGTGCAGAAGGAATTCATGAGCGTCCGAGTCCGCAGCCTGGCGCCCAGCAACTCCATCCTGGCCTTCGTCGAGGCCCACTTCGACCCAGGTAAAAACTGTTTGATAAAAAGTAATGGTGAACACACTCTGGGCCAGTTTCCCGGACACAGATTAAAAAGCATGTTCAATGGAGGTTGGCCTTTGAAAGTGCTTCTTAGTCCAATAAACCAGTCTTACTGTATGGTATAGTATGGCAAATGTACTGTTATGGCTAGTGTCGCACAGTCATTAAACATAGAAACAAGTTTCTATATGCCAATGTCAGCAAAAGGCTATGATCTCTATGGCAAGTGTATCACTGCACTGGCATTATTTTTCAGAAAGTCATTCCATTTTATTAAAAACACACTAGACAGTGGCTATGTTATTTTAGTTTTTATTCTTTTTGCTGGACGTGGGCTGTATTTGTAATTTGTAAAAGCCAGGGAAAAACGAACAAACCAACAACAACGAAATCCTCTGTGAGCTTGGTGGCGTTGTCTTTCAGACCTTGGTTCATTTCAGGCCCCAGAGTACTGTTAAGCATTGTTCAAACTGCAGGCCTTAATGCTCAAATCAGTTTTGTTTTGGAATACTGATTGTCCAAACAGCAAGTTACAAGTGACCAAATCGGATTTGTGTGTGTTCTGACATCAGTAATTTGCTGACATGGCTACGCTAGTTGTCATAGTAATGACGGGTGTGTGTGCAGTAGTGTAGGCTGATTAGTGGTGGTGCTTGTGCTTCCTATCACTCATAAGTTATGTAGCAAGCTAAGGTGACAACAATGCCTGCATTGGACATTTCCCAGTTGCATTGAATGTTCAAAATCATAGTGTAAGAACACTTTTAAAGCCTCAAAGGATAAGATGATCCAACTTTGAAAACGAGTCCTTTTTGGCTAGGCACAGCAGAAATGGGTTTCCTTGGCCGTGCAGCAACACACAAGCCTAAGATCACAATGCGCAATGCCAAGCGTCGGCTGGAGTGGTGTAAAGCTTGCCGCCATTGGACTCTGGAGCAGTGGAAACACGTTCTCTGGAGTGATGAATCACGATACACCATCTGGCTGTCCGACGGAGGAATCTGGGTTTGGTGGATGCCAGAAGAACGCTACCTGTTCCAATGCATAGTGCCAACTGTAAAGTTTGGTGGAGGAGGAATATTGGTCTGGGCTGTTTTTCATGGTTCGAGCTAGGCCCCTTAGTTCCAGTAAAGAGAGATCTTAACGCTACAGCATACAATGACATTCTAGATGATTCTGTGCTTCTAACTTTGTGGCAACAGTTTGGGGAAGGCCCTTTCCTGTTTCAGCATGACAATGCCCCCGTGCACAAAGAGAGGTTCGTACAGAAATGTTTTGTTGAGATCGGTGTGGAAGAACTTGACTGGCCTGCACAGAGCCCTGACCTCAACCCCATCGAACACCTTTGAGATTAATTGGAACGCAGAGTGCGAGCCAGGCCTAATCGCCCAACATCAGTGCACAACCTCACTAATGCTCTTGTGGCTGAATGGAAGCAAGTCCCCGTAGCAATGTTCCAACATCTAGTGGAAAGCCTTCCCAGAGGAGTGGAGGCTGTTATAGCAGCAAAGGGTGGACTAATTCCATATTAATGCCCTTGATTTTGGAATGAGATGTTTGTCGAGCAGGTGTCCACATACTTTTGTAGTGTAGCTAGCTAGGTAGCTTTTTAGTTTTCTACCACATTCACTAATTTTTTTGTAAACAATTACAAGCTAGTTAGCTACCACATGTTCTTGTCTAAATGTCAACAGAGTAGCTAGCAAGCTACAAAATATGCCAAATAAGTATAAAAACCACTTGAGGGCAAATAAATCAGATTTTACCATTCAGACACAAGTCGCATGGCCAGGAATCTATGAAGGTGGTTTGAAATGTGGCTTGTAATATCAGATTCCATGGGCTTTTTAGCCGTTCAGACTGCAGGAAGAATAACAGATTTGAATCGGATATTCCCCAAAATTCTATTTGAACTGCCAATGTGAACAAGGCTTTAGTGCCTCTCCCCTATTGGATAAAACCCTCCAAAAACCTTGCCCTCCTCGCCTCTTCTCTTTTTACTGGCTCCGCTCAGTGTCTTTTACAGCCGCACAATAGATGCTGCCATAAAGGAACTCTGCGTCGGCCGTTTAAAATAGCCATCTGTGGAAAACGTTATGAGAAAGATTCATCTGAACTTCAGTGAAACTTCGTTGGACGGTTGGAGGACGACTGGTCCCCTTGGGTGTGTCGTTGTCTCCTAGCAAGCGGTCTCGATCGCTCTCGTAAATATTTACTATAATGGGATGGAGGGAGGGGAGTTACATTCCTATTTTCCTGCCGTTTCAGGACATTGCTTCTCTGCCTCCTAGTTCAGTGTCTCTCAAACCTCTCCTCTGGGACCAAATGTTTCACAGTTTTGTTGTAGCCGTCGACTAGCATCCCTAATTAAACTAGTCAAGGGCTTGATAATTAGTTGACAAGTTGAATCAGGTGTGCTAGCTCTGGGATAGATAACATACGTGGAAGTACATGGAACAGCTGTCCTAGTTGAGTGGTGTCCTGGGGGTTGTTGTGAACGTCTTTGTCCTCTGTGTTGTCCCACAGAGACCAGGTTCATGGTGGAGGACATTGAAGGAGCCCTGCTCAAGCAGCTGAAGGCGGCCAAGGAGACAGCCATTGTGGTGAAGAAGCCAGAGGAGGAGAATATTCGCTTCAACAACTATGGTAGGACACACCCAGGGGATTGGCTTGCATTGTTTACATGTAATTACAAACATGAAGCATGAGAAGGACATGAAATGTTCTTATGAAGGACGATGTAAGCATGATTAGGCATTTTTTGGTTTTTGTATGTCAAAGTCCAAGACTGACACGCTCCTTGACATTTGCTCTCTCTCTGAATCTCCCTCTCTCCATCTGTCTACCAGGCCTGTCCATCCTCCCCTACTTCACCGCCACTACCACGGCTACCGCCACCACCCCCACTGCCAGCACCGCCACCAGCACCACCCTGCCGCCCCCCACCTCCCCCTTCATCCCACGCCGTCCCCTGGGCACCACACGCCGCCCCTACCCCAGCCGCCGTACCACCGCCGCCCCCTCTCCAGTGACCACTACTACCATGGCCCCCACTCCCACTCCCACCCCTACTATCACCCCCCTCCACAGGACCAGGCCTGTGCCCCACCACACCAAGGCCCAGCGGCCCTGCGACTCCCACCCCTGCCGCCACGGCGGCACCTGCGAGGACGACGGCGCCGACTTCAGCTGCATCTGCCCCGCCGGGAGAGGGGGCGCCGTCTGCGAGAAATGTGAGTGGAGCCCCCTCGCCCTCTTCCTTGACCGACATACACACACATACAAACCCTACTTTGAAAAGGAGATGAAAATGAACACAATCCTAAAAGAGAACAGTAGGTTCCTATTGATGTCTTGAAATTACAGTGCTGAACTGGAACTGACCAATACCTTGCACCAAAGACAATACCCGAACCCATACAACTTACCTTCCGGTCTATTTAACTCAATAGATATCCAACCTCTATCAAAGTTGCTACACCGCTAGCTAAATAACCAAAGAGGTTATCAACCACTGCGCATTCTACTAGTCAACGCTAAAGTAAACTGATATCAAATCAGTGTCTGCTGCACCGAGCAACAAAATCAAATGTTGAGTGCTGTCAGAGCAATCTCAAGAGCTTTTTTCACTTAGTTTCTCCCACTCGGTGGTCTCTGATAAGAAATTACCTCACGCAGCTGCATCTTAAAATAATTGACACTAAGTGCTTTGATCGGGATTAGCTGGTGGAAATCAGCGTGTGTTTGAGTCAGAGTGTGTGTGAGTGGCTAAGTGACAGCCCCATAGCCTCCCTCGAATCAATCAAATCATTAGACAAGATAATTTCATCAGCCTACATTCTCCCAAGACGACTAGAGGCGGACAGAGATGATAATGATGATATAATGACAGAGTGAGAGAAACAAGTGTGCGTGTGTACGTGTTTTGTGTATGTGTGCGCGTTCATGTGTGCATTCGTGTCAAAACTCAAAGTATACAATCGAAAACACATCATCAAGCCGTCCTTTTCTACCTGACGATACACACCAGCACATATTCTTTAAGTCACGGGTTCTCTCTTTCCACACATCTGTCTGTTGAGCTTACTGTATGACCTCCCGAGCTAGGCTAGGCTATGTTAACTTAACTTAACTAGGCTCTTGCCTTCAACTGTTTGACATGTACCAACCATAGCGTTGCCATTAAATGCTTTTGTGACAAGCTGTGTGATTAGCACCCTCTATCCAACCTATGGTATCAACATTACACCTAGTATGTGACACCCTTCCGTCCACTCTCTTCTTCCCATTAAAAAAATATATTACTATTACCCCCCCAAAAAAAAAAATCCACTCCACAAACAAAAGTATACATACTGTACGAACAACAATTTACAGACCCACAAAAACAATGACTACATCTCCTCTGCCCAGACCCGTATGCTCACACAAACCACCTTCCCTAGTGTCTGCATTATTGTTTGCCACTTGGCCTTAAATCATACCAATGTATTTTTCTCGGTTGCCGATGCCATTTCAATATTTCAATAATAAATCATTCGATTTTTCCATTGTGTCAATGATGGCGGATTGATTGATTTCCACGTTTTTAGTATATGTTTTTTTCAAGTTGAGTGATAACAAGAGAATCGTCCAGCCAATTGGGTATCTCACTCCACCCCCATAAGCCATATCTTGAAATATGCAGACAGACAGATTAAAAGTAAGTTTACATTTTAATACTTCTGACAGCCAACTTTCTAGCTCCGCCCACAACTTCCGGACTTTATAGCATTCCCAGAAAGCATGGATTATTGAGTCGTTATTCGTTTTACACTTGAGACATGACTCTGCCATTGTGCTGTAGAATATGTGAATTTTGTCTCTTGTATAATACATTCTATACATTAGTTTATACTGGATTAAGCGTACATTTTCATTAACTGTAATTTCGTTAGTTATGCTCCAACTCTCCTTCCATCTTGTGCCAACATCAGTTCTTGGTTCCAATAGTTTATTTTTTTTCTAAGAGATTGTCAGTTGGATATGCTCTCTGCAAGGTTTTGTATATCTTCCCTATAATATGAACATCCTTTTCTGACTCAAATAAGATTCCCTCAAGGTTGCTCTAATGTACAAAAGATTTCAAATCTATATTTCGTGATATGTAACTTTTAAGTTGCATGTATTTGAAACTATCTACATTGGTCAGTTCAAAATTACTTTTTAATTATGTTATGGAAATACATGTATTTCCTGTTTAAAATAATTTACGGTGGACCAATTTATCTTTGAATTCTGAAAAGCTATCCAAGGATTGTTCCATAAGGTTGTTTTTAGGGAGTGATATTGGTTCTTGTTGAATATGTTTCATTTTCTTCCATATTGTTATAGTGTTCTTAACTATGAAGTTGTTAATGTTCTTAACTTTATCCTTTGAAAATAGACATGTACAAATATTCTGGGGATGAGCATGTGAATCTTCAATATGTACCCATTGTTCCTCTTTAATGCATTTAACTATATGTCGCAAGTAAAAGCCTTGGGTAGCGAGTTGATACAATTCCAAGGCTGGAAGGTTAAAACCACCCTCAGACTTAGAAAGATGTAAAACTTTCCTTTTTATTCTATGAATTTTATTTGCTCTTATAAAGTCTGTTATGACAGAGTATACTTTTTTAAAGAATGTCTTCGGTGGGGTAATTGGAATTACCAAAAATAAATACCCCTCTCTTCTTCCCAGTGATCACATACTTCATCCCGTCATTCGGGGGTAAGTCCTATCTGGCCTTCGACACCATGAGGGCCTACCACACGGTCCGCATCGCCATGGAGTTCAGGGTGGCCGAGATGACGGGCATCCTGCTCTTCAATGGCCAGGATGGCAAGAAGGACTTCCTGTCTCTCACCCTGGTCAATGGCAAAGTGGAGCTCAAGTGAGTGGACAGGTGGAGGGGATTAAACAGGAAGTGACAAAACAGGAAGAGGTTCAGTTGTGTCAAAGGGCATTGATAGCAAGCTGTAGATCAGGGTGTCAAACATACATCCCGGATCCGGCCCGCGAATGTGTCCTATCTGGCCCGCGGGTGGTTTGAGTAAAAAAAGTATATATACACTACATGGCCAAAAGTATGTGGACACCTGCTTGTCGAACATCTCATTCCAAAATCATGGTTATTAATATGGAGTTGTTCCCCCTTTGCTGCTATAACAGCCTCCACTCTTCTGGGAAGGCTTTTTCCACTAGTTGTTGGAACATTGCTGTGGGGACTTGCTTCCATTCAGCCACAAGTGCATTAGTGAGGTCAGGTACTGATGTTGGTTGATTTGGCCTGGCTCGCAGTTGGCGTTCCAATTCTTCCCAAAGGTGTTCGATGGGGTTGTGGTCAGGGCTCTGTACAGGCTAGTCAAGTTCTTCCACACCGATCTCGACAAACCATTTCTGTATGGACCTCACTTTGCACGGGCGTATTGTCATGCTGAAACCGTTGCCACAAAGTTGGAAGCACAGAATCGTCTAGAATGTCATTGTATACTGTAGCGTTAAGATTTCCCTTCACTGGAACTAGGGGGCCTAGGCCAAACCATGAAAAACAGCTCGAGACCATTATTCCTCCTCCACCAAACTTTACAGTTGGCACTATGCATTGGGGCAGGTAGCGTTCTCTTGGCACTCACCAAACCCAGATTAATCCGTCGACCTGCCAGATGGTGAAGCGTGATTCATCACTCCAGAGAACGCGTTTCCACTGCTCCAGAGTCCAATGGCGGTGAGCTTTACACCACTCCAGCTGACACTTGGCATTGCGCATGATGATCTTAGCCGGATGCTCGGCCATGGAAACCCATTTCATGAAGCTCCCGACTAACAGTTATTGTGCTGACGTTGCTTCCAGAGGCAGTTTGGAACTTGGTAGTGAGTGTTGCAACCGAGGACAGACCATTTTTACGCGCTACGCGCTTCAGCACTTAGTGCTCCTGATCTGTGAGCTTGTGTGGCCTATAATTTCGCGGCGGAGCCGTTGTTGCTCCTAGACGTTTCCACTTCACAATAACAGCACTTATAGTTGACCGGGGCAGCTCTAGCATGGCAGACATTTTATGAACTGACTTGTTGTAAAGGTGGCATCCTATGAAGGTGCCACGTTGAAAGTCACTGAGCTCTTCAGTGAGGTCATTCTACTGCCAATGTTTGTCTATGGCGATTGCATGGCTGTGTGCTCGATGTTATACACCTGTCAGCAACGGGTGTGAATGAAATAGCCAAATCCACTAATTTGAAGGGGTGTCCACATAGTTTTGTGTGTGTGTATATATGTATGTATATACACTATCGGTCAAAAGTTTTAGAACACCTACTCGTTCAAGGGTTTTTCTTTATTTTTAATATTTTCTACATTGTAGAATAATGGTGAAGACATCAAAACTATGAAATAACTCATATGGAATCATGTAGTAACCAACATTTTTTAAACAAATCAATATATTTTTTTATTTTGAGATTCTTCAAATAGCCACCCTTTGCCTTGATGACAGCTTTGCACACTCTTGGCATTCTCTCAACCAGCTTCATGAGGTAGTCACCTGGAATTCCTTTCAATTAACAGGTGTGCCTTCTTAAAAGTTAATTTGTGGAATTTCTTTCCTTAATGCGTTTCAGCCAATCAATTGTGTTGTGACAAGGTATACAGAAGATAGCCCTATATGCTAAAAGACCAAGTCCATATTATGGCAATAACAGCTCAAATAAGCAAAGAGAAATGACAGTCCATCATTACTTTAAGAGATGAAGGTCAGTCAATCCAGAAAATGTCAAGAACTTTGAAAGTTTCTTCCAAGTGCAGTCCCAAAAACCATCAAGGGCTATGATGAAACTGGCTCTCATGAGGACCGCCATAGGAATGGAAGACCCAGAGTTACCTCTGATGCAGAGGATAAGTTCATTAGAGTTACCAGCCTCAGAAATTGCAGCCCAAATAAATGCTTCACACAGTTCAAGTAACAGACACATCTCAACATTCCTGTTCAGAGGAGACTGCGTGAATCAGGCCTTCATGGTTGAATTGCTGCAAAGAAACCACTACTAAAGGACACCAATGGGAAGAAGAGACTTGCTTGGGCCAAGAAACACGAGCAATGGACATTAGACCGGTGGAAATTTGTCCTTTTGTCTGGAGTCCAAATGTGAGATTTTTTGTTCCAACCGCCGTGTCTTTGTGAGACGCGGTCTGCAGTGATATGCCATCCCATCTTAGTGGGACTATAATTTGTTTTTCAACAGGACAATGACCCAACACACCTCCAGGCTGCGTAAGGGCTATTTTACCAAGAAGGAGAGTGATGGAGTGCTGCATCAGATGACCTGGCCTCCACAATCCCCCGACCTCAACCCAATTGAGATGGTTTGGGATGAGTCAAACGGCAGAGTGAAGGAAAAGCAGACAACAAGTGCTAAGCATGTATGGGAACTCCTTCAAGACTATTTGAAATTGCATTCCAGGTGAAGCTGGTTGAGAGAATGTCAAGAGTGTGCAAAGCTGTCGTAATGGCAAAGGGTGGCTATTTGAAGAATCTCAAATATTAAATATATTTTGATTTGTTTAACACTTTCTTGGTTACTACATGATTCCATATGTGTTATTTCATAGTTTTGATGTCTTCACTATTATTCTACAATGTAGAAAATAGTTTTTAAAAAAACGTTATTCAGTAGGTGTGACCAAACATTGGACTGGTATTGGGGGATTCTGGAGGCAAGGTGATCTGATGCAGCACTCCCTCACTCTCCTTCTTGGTCAAATAGCCCTTACACAGCCTGGAGGTGTGTTGGATCATTGTCCTGTTGAAAAACCAATGATAATCCCACTAATCCCAAACCAGATGTGATGGCGTATCGCTGCAGAATGCTGTGGTAGCCATGCTGGTTAAGTGTGCAGCAAAGCGCCCCCACACCATAACACCTCCTCCTCCATGCTTTACGGTGGGAAATACACATGCGGAGATCATCCGTTCACCCACACCGCGTCTCACAAAGACACGGCGGTTGGAACAAAAAATCTCACATTTGGACTCCAGACCAAAGGACACATTTCCACCGATCTAATGTCCATTGCTCGTGTTTCTTGGCCTTCTTATTGGTGTCCTTTAGAAGTGGTTTCACTGCAGGAATTCGACCATGAAGGCCTGATTCACACAGTCTCCTCTGAACAGTTGATGTTGAGATGTGTCTGTTACTTGAACTCTGTGAAGCATTTTTTTGTGCTGCAATTTCTGATGCTGGTAACTCTAATGAACCTATCCTCTGCAGCAGAGGTAACTCTGGGTCTTACATTCCTGTGATGGTCCTCATGACAGCCAGTTTCATCATAGCACTTAATGGTTTTTGCGACTGCACTTGAAGAAACTTTAAAAGTTCTTCAAATTTTTTGGATTGACTGACCTTCACGTCTTAAAGTAATGATGGATTGTCGTTTGTTTTTGCTTATTTGAGCTGTTCTTGCTATAATATGTACTTGGTCTTTTACCAAATAGGGCTATCTTCTGTATACCCCCCATACCTTGTCACAACCCAAGTGATTGGCTCAAACACATTAAGAAGGAAAGAAATTCCACAAATTAACTTTTAAGAAGGCACACCTGTTAATTGAAATGTATTCCAGGTTGAGAGAATGCCAAGAGTTTGCAAAACTGTCATCAAGGCAAAGGGTTGCTATTTGAAGAATCTCAAATATAAAATATATTTGGATTTGTTTAACACTTTTTTGGTTACTACATGATTCCGTATGTGTTATTTCATAGTTTTGATGTCTTCACTAGTATTCTAAAATGTTACAAATAGTAAAAAATAAAGAAAAACCCTTGAATTAGTAGGTGTGTCCAAACTTTTGACTGGTACTGTATATGTGTGTGTGTATATATATATATATATATATATATATATATATATATATATATATATATATATATATATATATATATATATATATATACACAGTATGTATATAACTATATATTTTAAAATGACTAAAATCGAATCGAAACTGTGTAGAAATGATAATGGACCTACAGCATTAGAGAACATAAGTTGAGGGCAATTGAATATAAGAAATATAATACCATCAATTCTCAACTAAGTTTTACTTAGGTACATGTAGGGCAGTTAGTCAGGTGTAGCTGTGCACCAATGAACCTCTAAACTGCTTCCTTCGAAAAAATGAATATGCTGAAAAACATATGCAGTATTGGCCAGTATCCTGGATCCAGATTAAGCCTATTACTGGATTAAAAATCCTCTTTCAATGCAGATACTCCATTGAACATATTATATGAAGATGATAGTTTGCTTCCCACCCTAGGTTCAACACAGGCTCGGGCACAGGCACACTGGTCAGTAAGGTCCAGGTGAAGCAGGGTCGCTGGCACCAGCTGGTGGTGACGAGGAACCGGCGCAACGCTGTGCTGAGCGTGGATGACGAGCCCCACATCGAGGGCTCCAGCCCCCCCGGCACTGACGGCCTCAACCTGGACACAAACCTCTTCATCGGAGGGGTGCCCGAGGACATGATGACAGAGTAAGGCCTAACATGAAGATGGCGTTAGTATGGTTGTATATTAGCAATATATAATTAGTAATATGTTAGTATATATAGAGAAAAGTAGATTGATGTAGAAAGAAGATTTTAGTTGTTGAGTTATATGAAAACAGTTATGTACGGAACTCTCCTATACCATAGTGGTTTATTGAGACGCATACACAGTGAGCATTATCAGAGTTGCAGATATTGCTTTTTTCATATTATTTGTTTGTTTTTTCTGTCCAGAACCTGTGTGTATTTTTCCTATTTTTCACTCAATTGAGTTGAATAACTGTCGAATGGCTGATGGTATATTATCATTCACGCTTTTTCTCTCTCTCCCTCTCTCCGTCTCTCTCACTCTATGTCCCTCTTGCTTCCCCCTCTCTCTCTCTCTCACTCCCTCCTCTCTCTCTCTCTCTCCCTCCAACACTTTCTCTCCCTCCTGCTCTCTCCATCCCCCTCTCTCTTAGTGTGAAGGAGAGGACCTCCGCCGGTACAGGTCTTGTTGGCTGTGTTCGCACGCTGGACGTCAACAACCTGGTGTACAACCTGCAGGAGAAGGGTGGCACCGTGCTCTATGGCACCGGCGTAGGCGAGTGCGGCAACAACCCGTGCCAGCCCAACCCCTGCAGGAACGGCGCCTCATGCCAGGTCAAGGAGGCCGAGATGTTCCACTGCAAGTGCATCAACGGCTACTCCGGTCAGCCAAACACTTTTTCTTTCTAACAACAGGGTCATAGTCATTAGGCACCAAACGGAAGAAAGTGGACCGCAACATCGAAGGACTACATGGACTTGTCCACAGAGAAACGCCCTTTTTGGTTTTCCGTTGCAACAAGTTTCAAAATGTTTTTTGTTGCATGCCCTAATGAACATGACCCAGACCTCAGTTCATGGCACCGTAGGTCTGGGTTCACAAATAGTATTTGGTTTTGTTTATTTGAATAATTAAACTGCACTTGATTGAGCTTGCCTGGCCCCATAGAACCAAATGACATATTCCCCACAGTAGAAGTCTTCATGGATCCACCTGTACCTGAACACCTGAGACCCGGTCCGGGACCCGAGCGAGTCCAGATACAGATTTCTAAAGAATATCACGGGTCGGATCTTAGATGATTGTCACGGGTCTCGGGTATGTGTAATTGTAACTGACTTGTTTGGAAGGGCCAGTACAGATCCCAACGCAACTGCTGCAGTAGAGAGAGAGAGAGAGAGAGAGAGATAAATGTCGTCATTTATGCTGCTGCTCTTGCTTTTCACTTGAGTGGACCGTGGCGTGTGTAGCTTGTGGTTGGCCAATCATAAGTCATCAAAGCTGCAATAGGCTACAGTCATAGAGCCTCGCTCCGTGTATGGCAAAATTTAGGAGATATCTAATCAATGGAAGATGGAATTAAAATGAGGGAGTTAAAAGAGAGCTGTCCTCCTGTAGGGGTGGGAGGGCCAAGAGACCAGAGGTGGCGGAATGGAGTGCTCGGTTTGGGATGTAGGGTTTGAGCATAGCCTAATGTACGAAGGGGCAGTTCCCCTTGCTGCTCCGTAGACAAGCACACCAGGGTCTTGAAGATGATGCGAGCTTAGACTGGAAGCCAGTGGAGTGTGCAAGAGGAGCGGGGTGACATGGGAGGACTTAGGAAGGTTGAACACAAGGTGGGCTGCGGCATTATGGTTTGATGGCAGAAGCGGGGATCCCAGCCAACAGAGAGTTGCATTAGTCTAGACGGGAGTTGACAAGTGCCTGGATTAGGACCTGCGCCACTTCCTGTGTGAGGAAAGGTTGTTTACTCTACAAAGCAGTGACTGCAGGAGTGCGTCACTGCTTTGGTGTTTGCAGAGAACGAAAGGGTCTTGTCCAGGGTCACGCCAAGGTTCTTTGCACTCTGCGAGAGGGACACCGTGGAGTTGTCAACCGTGATGGAGAGGTCTTGGAGTGGGCAGGCCTTCCCCGGGAGGAAGAGCAGCTCCGTTTTGTTGAGATTGAGCTTGAGGTGGTGGTCCGACATCCAAGCTGAGATGTCTGCCAGGCACGCAGAGATGCGTGTTGCCACCTGGGTGTCAGAATGGGGGAAGGAGAAGAGTAGTTGAGTGTCATCCACATAGTAATGATAGAAGAGACCATGTGAAGATATGACAGAGTCAAGTGACTTGGTGTAAAGAGAAAAGAGGAGAGGGCCTAGAACCGAGCCCTGGGGGACACCAGTAGTGAGAGCACGTCGCCGCGCCACCTGGTAGGAGCGACCTGTCAGGTAGGATGCAATCCAAGAGTTTGCAGCGCCTGAGACGCCCAACCCTGAGAAGGTGGAGAGGAGGATCTGATGGTTCACAGTGTTGAAGGCAGCGGATAGATCTAGGAGGATGAGAACAGAGGAGAGAGAGTCAGCTTTAGCAGAGCGGCGAGCGTCTGTGACACAGAGGAGAGCGGTCTCAGTTGAATGAGCTGCCTTGAAGCCTGACTGGTAAGGGTCAAGAAGATCGTTCTGAGAGAGATAATGTGAGAGTTGGTCAGAGACCAGAGAGAGGGAGATGGAGTAAGAGGGAGAGTGTGAGAGGGAGAGTGTGAGAGGGAGAGTGTGAGAGGGAGAGTGAGAGAGAGAGAGAGAGAGAGAGAGAGAGAGAGAGAGAGAGAGAGGAGATGAGAGAGAGAGAGAGAGAGAGAGAGAGAGAGAGAGAGAGAGAGAGAGAGAGAGAGAGAGAGAGAGAGAGAGAGAGAGAGAGAGAGAGAGAGAGAGAGAGTAATAGATAGCAATGGGAGAAAGCCTTCCTTCAGCATTCTCCTCGCTTCAGGCAGCTCTGGCTACTGAAATAATGACAGCTGAATGGCTAGTGTAGGGCAAAGCCATTTCAGCCATCCGGGAGCCATTTCAGCCACCTCTCCCACAGCCAGGAACTAAGTCTCCATACGCATGACTGCAAGACAGTGTGCCTGGGTCTTTCCTTAATCTGCACGTTTAATATTTCTAAATTCTATCAGAAAATGACCTCTCTTACTGAGGAAATCCATCCTCACCCTCGACTCACATGGAATGGAGGGAAAATGGTCTGAAAGGCCTAGGTTGTATTAATTAGGGCATACCGTAGCAAAACGGATTGAAATAGAAAATGAACGAGTTTCTTAGAATACAACTTCATTGTCCATATGTTACAGCATGTCACGCCCTGGTTCTGGGACTCTTATATGTTGAGCCAGGGTGTGTAGTTTCTATGTGTTTGTGTTCTGTGGTTAAGTTCTAGTGCTTGTGTTTCTATGTTGGCCGGGGTGGTTCTCAATCAGAGGCAACGTGAATCAGCTGTTGCTTGTTGTCTCTTATTGGGACCCATACTTAGGCAGCCGTTTGGGCATTGTCATTTGTGGGATCTTGTTCCGTTTGGTTTGTGTAACCGTAGGACTGCACGTTTCGTATCGTTTGTTGTTTTGTTCTGGAATAAAATAAAGTATGTTCACATTCCACGCTGCGCATTGGTCCACTTCTCAAGACGATCGTGACACAGCAAACAACGTTAACTTGTCTTCTGCCCCATTCTTGTCTTATTGGACAGGTTCAGGTAGTCCCTCCCTTTTTGTCATTTATTTCCCTTTTTGGTGCCTAATGAATACAACCCTGGTTTTTATAAGAGAAGATGGTTTAAAGATTCTGTATTTTGAGTTCTGACTTGTTTTTTTTTCTTCTGGTGAAATACAGGTCCGACGTGCGCCGACACCCACAATCCATGCGAGCCTAACAGATGCCACCCATCATCCCAGTGTCAGGTGCAACCAGAGGGAGGGTACAAGTGCGAGTGTCCCATGGGCCGCGAGGGACGTCATTGTGAGCGAGGTACACTCACTCACACACACACACACACACACTTTCCTAACCCCACTGGGTCGAGAAACACCTGAGGAACCGCCTCTTGCCTCAACACAAGTCCCAGTTAGCAGGTGATTAAAATAAATTGGGGTGAACTGAAAATCAATGTGAGGGAAAGAGCGTCTCACACTCTGAGGGCTTCGATTAAATATGTGAGATAACTAATGGCATCAGTCCTCCCATGGTGATTAATGACAAAGTCACTCATCCTGAGTGTCTGGCCGACACAGGATCTGGATCAGATAACAGAACCATCATTCAGCTGAGTATGCTTTAAGGGCTGTACTGGGAACAGTTAAAGACAGGATCTCTCGGATAAAAATACATAATCCAGTGGCGTATGCTTTAAAGGCTGTACTGGGAACAGTTAAAGACAGGTGGTGTCGCCAACCGCCTACTCGAAGGAAGCCCTTGGTAGACATAGTTATACTAATAAGTATAAAAGTGCCTTTCCCTAGTAGTTGGCTGCTGTCCCCAATTCAACTACATAGAGTTGCTTCACTGGAACTCGGTGTGAGATTTTCAAATCCAACTGTCCATCTCCCTTTACCTTGTCACTCACTTATCTGAGTCCTTGTACATTATGGCAGAAACATAGCCAGTCCTTTAAACTATAGGTGCAATTCTCCGCTCAAATTTGCTTATGACAAGTAGTGTGTGTGTGTGTGTGCATGCATTCAGCTAAAGAAACCAAAATCTTCTCCCGCTCCACTCTGTAAACAGGCCGAGTTCCGAGGTAGCTCTTTCCTTTCCTTATTATGACAGCTGCTTTGACGACACACTTCCTTGTTGTGTCTGCAGCGGTGCTCCTATTCTCCTCTCCTCTGTTAACGTCATTAGCCGTTTCCTGAACAATGGCTAATTAGCGTTCTCATCTCCGTCTGCCTCCCCTCCCCACCCTGACTCAGTTAGCTAATCCTGCCTAATTACCAATGAAAAGAGCCTCGCAGCCCCAAACTGTGTGTGTGTGTCTGGGTGTGTGAGGACTAGGCCACCATTGTTATTTGAAATGGAACCCCTGGTTGGGTAGCACTGACTTCACCCAATGTGCCCCTGACAGACTGCATAAGCCTTCTTACTGTCATAAGTGTGCATAGTGCTATCGTAAGGATGAAATAATGCCTGTTGTAATGCATTCTGTTTGTGTTTCATCTTCAGTGTCGGACAAGAAAGGGACCTACATGCCGTTCTTTAGCGGTGACTCTTATCTGGAGTTGAAGGGATTGCACACCTACGGTCACGATCTCCAGTAAGTCAAATGCAAATTTCACTACACACAGGCATACAGACACACACACACATACTCACACACACACTCCATACATTACATACACAACACCATATGTTTCCACAAAGACACTGTCACTGATATTTGAGTGTATTCTGGTCCTGTATTGTAAAGGCATATTGATCTCCAGGAGTAGGTACTCAGGAGTTGTGAATTGATGTAATGGCAGACAGATACTTAAAGCTGTGCCTCCAGCAGAACAGTCTTGTGATGGATTAAATATAATTAAATGGAACAGATAATTGTCCTCCTTAGAAATAGTATTCCATAGAAATATAATTAATAACATTTATATGTTGTCCTCTATGGTGGGAATTATTTTCAGTCTTGTGTAGGTTACACAAAAGAACACACAAGTACAGCTACCGTCACATACAAAATTGTCACATTATGAAAAGACCAGATAGACATAACAGTAGACAGACAGGCATGGTAGACAAGTGTTTAATATCAGGTCTGGCCTCTGTTCAGCGATGGTGTTTGTTTACCATTGTTCTTGGTCTTCTGTCTGGTGTTTGTTTACCGTTGTTTTGTGTTTAGTCTGGCGCTTGTTTACTCATGTTGTATGTGTTTTGTCTGCAGCCAAAAGGTCAGCATGACGGTGGTGCTCATGGCCATCGAATCCAACGGCATGATTTTCCACAATGGCCAGAAGACCGACGGCAAAGGGGACTTCATCTCCCTCTCCCTCAATGACGGCATCCTGGAGTTCCGCTACGACCTGGGCAAGGGCCCAGCCGTCATCAGGTGGGCACCACACTAGAACCCCATAGTGACTCTAGTCTAAAACCCCATAGTGACTCTAGTCTAAAACCCCATAGTGACTCTAGTCTAAAACCCCATAGTGACTCTAGTCTAAAACCCCATAGTGACTCTAGTCTAAAACCCCATAGTGACTCTAGTCTAAAACCCCATAGTGACTCTAGTCTAAAACCCCATAGTAACTCTAGTCTAAAACTCCATAGTGAGTCTAGTCTGAAACCCCATATTGACTCTAGTCTAAAACCCCATAGTGACTCAAGTCTAAAACCGCATAGCGACTAATCTAGATCCCCATGTTGACTTTAGTCTAGAACCCCATAGTGATTCTAGTCTATAAACAAATAGTGACTCTAGTGTAGAACCCCATAGTGACTGGTCTAGAATCCCATAGTGACTAATGTCTAGAACCCCAGAATGACTCGAGTCTAGAACCGCATAATAACTAATCTAGAACCGCATAGCGACTCTAGTCTAGAACACCATAGTGTGGCAGGTCTTAAACCGCATAGCGACTAATCTACTACCCCATAGCGAATAATTTACTACCCCATAGCGACTCTAGTCTAGAACCCAATAATGACTCTTATCTAGAACTCCATAGTGACTCTAGTCTAGAACCCCGTAGCAACTCTAGTCTAGACACCTATAATGAATCTTGAACCTCATAGTGAGTCTAGAACATAGTCTGTAGTCCTTGTTAACTGGGTTATTGTCATCTCTTGATTTTGGATTGTACTTGAGTGTGTTGCTTTGAGATGTCCCTGACCTCTTGGCTCATTTGTGTCTGCTCCTCTCATGCAGGAGTAAAGATAAGGTCAAGATGGGTGTGTGGAACACAGTGAATCTGGAGAGGGCCAGTCGCAAGGGAGAGATCAACATCAACGGAAAGGACCCAGTCAGGGGAGAGTCGCCGGTGAGACAGAGGGAGAGAGCTAGCATGCTAGGCTAATCACGCTTCTTTATGATTAGCCTAGCTATTAGCATGCAAGGCAAACCGGATATGAATATACTCTGCATAGCTGCTAGCATGCAAGGCAATACCCAGCCTTGCTTATGCTTAGCCTGCGCTACTGTGTGTGTGTTTGCGTATGTGTGTGTCACTGTAGCGCCACATCCTTGGCCATGCATATATGGCCTTATCAATGAAGCTGTTCAACTCAGTGCCCAGAGTGCACTGATGATAACACACCAGAGCTGACTCTGCAAAACGCTTCCCTAGTTGAGGTCGTCCAAAAGGGCATACACGCTACTGAAAAAATTTCCACTGTATTCTGATATCTCGTCAAGGTGAGAAATAGTATGCTGGCGACGTAGAGGGCACGTTTGACAGGCGGTCTCTGATTTGGAAATGCCTTATTTCCCTCCTTTTTAAAATCCTTTTTATCTGCCATCTTTGCATCTGCTGAAATGCCTACACAGTAGCATGATCTTGTTCTTATTTGTTTCAGTCACGAAAAACAACCTCTATGGCCTGAGTGGTATACACCCATTAGTATGACTTAACATATTCCTTTTAGCTCCTAGTGAAGCAAAGAACCCCAATAGTGCAGCCCATTAATGTGTACACGCATTAGTTCAAGTTCAAGTTTTATTGTCACATGCACAAGTACAGTTATTATCATTATTACATTATTTTAACCCATGCTCTTAAAAACTCTAGGGAGATGGATACAGTAGGGAGAACAAGTATTTGATACACTGCCGATTTTGCAGGTTTTCCTACTTACAAAGCATGTAGAGGTCTGTAATTTTTATCATAGGTACACTTCAACTGTGAGAGACGGAATCTAAAACAAAAATCCAGAAAATCACATTGTATGATTTTTAAGTAATTAATTTGCATTTTATTGCATGACATAAGTATTTGATCACCTACCAACCAGTAAGAATTCCGGCTCTCACAGACCTGTTAGTTTTTCTTTAAGAAGCCCTCCTGTTCTCCACTCATTACCTGTATTAACTGCACCTGTTTGAACTCGTTACCTGTATAAAAGACACCTGTCCACACACCAATCAAACAGACTCCAACCTCTCCACAATGGCCAAGACCAGAGAGCTGTGTAAGGACATCAGGGATAAAATTGTAGACCTGCTACAGGACAATAGGCAAGCAGCTTGGTGAGAAGGCAACAACTGTTGGCGCAATTATTAGAAAATGGAAGAAGTTCAAGATGAGGGTCAATCACCCTCGGTCTGGGGCTCCATGCAAGATCTCACCTCGTGGGGACATCAATGATCATGAGGAAGGTGAGGGATCAGCCCAGAACTACACGGCAGGACCTGGTCAATGACCTGAAGAGAGCTGGGACTAAACTATAGCTTTTTGGTCTAAACTCCACTCGCCGTGTTTGGAGGAAGAAGAAGGATGAGTACAACCCCAAGAACACCATCCCAACCGTGAAGCATGGAGGTGGAAACATCATTCTTTGGGGATGCTTTTCTGCAAAGGGGACAGGACGACTGCACCGTATTAAGGGGAGGATGGATGGGGCCATGTATCGCGAGATCTTGGCCAATAACCTCCTTCCCTCAGTAAGAGCATTGAAGATGGGTCGTGGCTGGGTCTTCCAGCATGACAACGGCCCGAAAACACACAGCCAGGGCAACTAAGGAGTGGCTCCGTAAGAAGCATCTCAAGGTCCTGGAGTGGCCTAGCCAGTCTCCAGACCTGAACCCAATAGAAAATCTTTGGAGGGAGCTGAAAGTCCGTATTGCCCAGCGACAGCCCCGAAACCTGAAGGATCTGGAGAAGGTCTGTATGGAGGAGTGGGCCAAAATCCCTGCTGCAGTGTGTGCAAACCTGGTCAAGACCTACAGGAAACGTATGATCTCTGTAATTGCAAACAAAGGTTTCTGTACCAAATATTAAGTTCTGCTTTTCTGATGTATCAAATACTTATGTCATGCAATAAAATGCAAATTAATTACTTAAAAATCATACAATAATTTTCTGGAATTTTGTTTTAAGATTCCGTCTCTCACAGTTGAAGTGTACCTATGATAAAAATGACAGACCTCTACAGCTTTGTAAGTAGGAAAACCTGCAAAATCGGCAGTGTATCAAATACTTGTTCTCCCCACTGTATATAGACGGAGAGATGGGAAAAATTAATAATGATACTCAAGCAATAAACCAGGTACATGGGCCTAAGTGAGAGCAATCTAATAGCCAGATACAGTATGTCCGCAAGTCATCCAATTATATTAAATGGTGTAATTTGTGATTAGGAAAATGTACACCCGCACGCAAGTCAACTCCAAAGCCGCCACCTCCAGAATGCGCTGCTGAATCTTTTTCTCTCTTTTCTTTTTTTCTTCCCGTCCTCCGTATAGTAATTGTGTTTCCCTCCGGCAACAGAGGCAGACAATCGTATTAAAAGACGAGAACAGGGAGAGGGAGAGAAAGGTGGAGGGATGAGCGGAGGCTAATGATGGAGGAGCTCAATGCATAGAGGCCCCATGCAGGATATAGCTGGCAGCTAATTTTCTCCTACTCCTGCATACAATGAAGAGGGGAGCAAGGAAGTCCCGCTGCACTCAGAGAGCCTAGCATCTTTGATATAGATACCTTATATAAAGTTATTATACCTGGGATGTGAATGTCAGTGATTCAGGACATCTAAAAAGAGAACATGTCAGTATATCCAGAAGGACAATTTCACGACAAATCCATGCATGCTTTCTCACACAAACAGAAATAACACTGTCTGCAGTGGCTGGCTATATGGTGGATCCAAATTCTGTTTGAGCTACAGCTACAACTTCCTTAAGCACACATTTTTTTTATCATGTATTTTGAGTGGCAGCCTTTGTCTTGTGCATGACCTTCGGGCTTCACAGTTTGTGTTGTGTTATGTGGTTTTATGTTGGTCCGGGGTGTGTGTTTGAGTGTGTGTGTTGCCTGTTTCTCCGCACACCAATGTCTGTTGATCTCTCTCTCTCTCTCTCTTCTGATAACCTTTTTCCCTCTCCCGTGTTCTGTTCTCTTACTGTGTGCTGTCTGGAAACTAAGAAATCACGCAAGGTAATAAGACAAGTCCCATCCACCTCCTTAGTCATATTTCATATCACCATTTTCAGCTCCAATTTCAGTTTGCCACTTCTCATCCACATGCTCCACCATGCTCCACCATACGACAGTTATTAGACTATAGAACTGAAAGGGGAAACGGTCTATATTTAGTACTACCATTTCATACACCGTACCGAAGTAGAGACATTTGTTAAAGAACTAGGTTTGGCTTTCACCTCAGTCCATCTGCTGGAGGCGGAAGGAGGGAGGGAGGGAGGCAGTTATCTTTCTGACCACCATTGTTCCTGGCAACAATGAAATGTCTTCATTAAGGCCCTTTCTCACCAAGAACGTTATTTTCGTCTGAATAATTGGGACGATTATTTTTTTATAAGAGCACGTCATCTTTATGATGCTGTTCACACCAATTGCGAAATATTGTACTGCCGCAATCCGTCAATTATTTATTCGGAACAGGTTCGATTTTTGTGTATTTTCGCATGTGAAAATAAGCTGTTGGCCAATAGAAATTGTTATCTGGGACAGTGCCAGTCAGGCCGCGCCCTGACAGGTCTGTGGGTTCACTGTGTGAATTAATTAATTAATTAATTTCTCTCTGCCTGTTTTTTTTTTACATTTGCAATGCATCAGTGCAGCACTGTATCAATTTAGCCAAATTGCTACACGTCGCTCTCGCCATTCAAACTTCCCCGCCAGTTCAATGCCAACGATTTAGCCTAATTTATAGCCATTCAGCAAGCAAGGGGATCGATCAATGCTTCTCTCCTTGAATAGGCCTAGGTCTAAACATTTTTTATTTAAATACATTTCAAACTATATCGTTGATCATTATCTAAATATAGAGGCTACTTGTTCAAGAGCTAGAGAGAGGGGGAAGAGAGGCTGGTGAAGTTACCAGCGGAGATGTGTGAATTGCGCAAGGAGTGAAGAAGGAGATGTGCAAATTAAGTTACTATATGAATGAATAATTTGTATAGCCTATACGTTAGGCTAAATATTATAGGCCTGCTAGTGAATCTAGGCGACCACCTGTGCTAATATCTGCCAGAGTTGACCCTTTTCAATAAGTGGTTGCACAGATTTAGATAAAGCACTTACTCAAATGTAAAATGTAGTGTTAACATAACCACCCATTGCTTCACAAAAATGTATCAACGGCTGATCATTAGGCTATGGATAAGTTGTGTGCATGTGTTTCTATTTTCTAATGGTTGTCAATTACATCTTCATATAGCCTATATCACAGTTGTCTCTATATCTCCCCCTTAAAAATGTCCTCGTCAATTTATGTGATAGGCTACATTGATTTAGCATGATCCTATAGACTTGTTTTTATAGCTTCAAATCCTTTCTGTAGGTTAAGGCAAGGTTATTACAGTAATACGTTTTTGGGAAAGGAGAAATGTGATTTGCTTATATGTCTGATTGAGATGCGCTGCAGGCGGCTGTGATTGATGGGTCATTTTAGGTGGGTAGGTGTGCGTGTATGAGTTTGCTAATTCTCTATGTCCATTCAGAAATTTTCCTAAAATAGGCCTAGCCTGTCTAGACTTAATCTCTTTAATCCGACAGAAAGAACTGTAGTCAGCAAATGTCATGATTTACAGCATATATGCGAGGAATGACGACAGGTTCCAGTTTTGCATCTCCTCACTTATTGAATGAAACGTAGCCATTCGCCATTCATGATTTTATTTTTTTAAAGGATTTCGTTCATTTTAAAAATTTGCATATATATATATATATACATACATACATATAATGTGTGTGTATAATAGTGTGTGTGTGTGTTTTTCATCTGATAGATTGTAAATTACTGTTCTATATCTTTACTGTTTTATATCATTATATCCTCTTAGTATGAATAGATTGTTTTGATATCCTTAGAGATTGAAAGTAGTGTTAGGTTCAAGCTCTTTGTGTATGAGAAGTGTAATTATTTAGTGAACTATAGGAATGTGTGCTCCCAAAGCCTCTCCTGACTGATAAGAAGTCTTATGATATGCACGGAGAAATCCTGGGTGATGGGAAAAGTACTGACGTATATCTTTGTGGAAGGGAGGGTGTGAGAGCTAAGGTTATAAGTGGACACTATTGAATGTACACCGTGGGCCCCGTGTAGCTCAGTTGGTAGAGCATGGCGCTTGCAACGCCAGGGTTGTGGGTTTGATTCCCACAGGGGGGCCAGTATGAAAAAATTTAAAAAATTAAAATGTATGCACTCACTAACTGTAAGTCGCTTTGGATAAGAGCGTCTGCTAAATGACTAAAATGTAAAAAAAATATATATAAATACATAAATATACACTACCGGTCAAAAGTTTTAGAACACCTACTCATTCAAGGGTTTTACTTTATTTTTTACTATTTTCTACATTGTAGAATAACAGTGAAGACCTCAAAACTATGGAACCAAAATAGTGTTAAAACAAATCAAAATATATTTTATATTTGAGATTCTTCAAATAACCACCCTTTGCTTTGATGACAGCTTGGCATTCTCTCAAAACTTGCCATATCATAAAGTCACTCACTCAGTTACTCACTCGATCACTCACTCACTTGATCACTCACTTACTTACTCACTCACTCACCCATAACGGCGCTGGCATTACCAACAACACCCATGCCATTAAATATACTGGTCTGTTAGCAGAGTTAGAGTATATCATTCCAATTCACTCCTATTCAGGAGTCTAATATGACCTTTCAAATTGACAGAAGCCATGTTTATTATATGATGGCCAAAGTACAACTTAATAATAATGGATAATGGACTGGATGTATATATCCAAAGCGTTTTACAATGTAAGTGGAAGAATTGCATGTCAGCTTGAATCGAAATACAAGTAGAGTTGATCCCAACCCGTGACTCTTCACTTGAGCATTGCCTTCAGCTAAAGTGGGCACTTAGTCCTTCCCACAAGAGGCAGCCATAGCTGGGCTGGAGGTGACCCACCTGACTGGGCTCTTGGAGCCCACTCCAGGTGCACCACACAGCCGTGGGGTTAGCAAAGCCCCACTGGCCTCCACTCTCCAGCTTCCATCTCAGATAGAAGCACAACCCCATGCCAGCTCTCTCCACACACAACCCATGTTTACTTGGCAACTTCCATAATTTTTACACCAATTACCTCATCTTTTCCCTCTGGTAATTACTGGCCTACATAAAAATAAAGATCCGCAATTCTTCCCAAAGAGGGGGCCTGTACTTTCTCCGCAGAAGAAAGAGTTCTGTCGTAATTGAAGGTAATTCCCCTGCGGGTTGCTGGATGAACCTGATTTCATGGTCCTCCACTGCACAAATTAACGTCCAATTATAGGCTGTGGCTCGCTCGGCGCCGGAAAGGTCGCCGGTACAATCACTCATTCATTAGAGAGACTTTCATAAAAATAACGGCATCCATATCGTAACTCCAGCCGCACCAGCTGACTCTCTTTGTAGCCCTTTTCTTGTGTTTTGTACCAGATAACGAATAATTGACTGGTTGGAGAGTTGCACAGAAATCAATTAAGTTTTGTAATATATCAAGTTTATTGATGTGGAAAAGTAGGTAGCGCAGTTATAGTGAATTGTCCTGCATGCACTATATAGATATATCTTTCAAAGGATAAATATTTTCACTGGGACAGCTATTAGTCTCATTGTGCTACAGTCTGTATGGTTCAACAACAAAAAAACAAGTCTCATTTGTATCAAAACAGAAGAGATTGGTCGGGTGTGGTTCTAATCCCTGTGGTAGGGTTCTAGACCATGTGGTAGGGTTCTTGTCCTTGTGGTAGGGTTTTAGTCCCTGTTATTCTAGAGTTCTAGTCTCTGTAAGGGTTCCATACCCTGTTATTATAGGGTTCTAACACTTGTGTCCTATCTCCAGAACCAACACACCGCTCTCAACCTGAAGGAGTCTCTGTTTGTGGGTGGTGCGCCTGATTTCAGCCGGCTAGCGAGGGCCGCCTCGCTCAAAGATGGCTTCAAGGGGGCCATTCAGAAGGTGAGTGTCCTGTCCACACACACAATATTCACACAAAAGCAGATATTTTTTGACAGACACCCTGTTCAAAAGGTTGTGCAAAAGTTTCTATACATTTTACCAATTATCAACAACTATAGATTATTTCATTTAAAATAGGTAGGTATTTGACATCTTTTAACTGTGACACAATGTTGAATCCACATTATACATGGAAATATATATTTCGACACGATTTAGTGATGGACAACAGCTATCATCTGCCTACACATGATGACCTTTACAGTGACCCCAACTATTGTAAGGTCAGCTCTGTCTGAGTGTTGCTTTTAGTGTTGTTGGGCGAGAACTGTACTGACACAGTACCACAGAACGAAATACAACGCAGTAAAATCTGTATCTACAGTTGAAGTCGGAAGTTTACATACACTTAGGTTGGAGTCATTAAAACTCGTTTTTCAACCACTCCACAAATTTCTTGTTAACAAACTATAGTTTTGGCAAGTCGGTTAGGAAATCTACTTTGTGCATGACACAAGACATTTTTCCAACAACTGTTTACAGACAGATTATTTCACTTATAATTCACTGTATCACAATTGCAGTGGGTCAGAAGTTTACATACACTAAGTTGACTGTGCCGTTAAACAACTTGGAAAATTCAAAAAAATGATGTCATGGCTTTAGAAGCTTCTGATAGGCTAACTGACATAATTTGAGTCAATTGGAGGTGTACCTGTGGATGTATTTCAAGGCCTACCTTCAAACTCAGTGCCTCTTTGCTTGACATCATGGGAAAATCAAAAGAAATCAGCCAAGACCTCAGACAAAAAATTGTAGACCTCCACAAGTCTGATTCATCCTTGGGAGCAATTTCCAAACGCCTGAAGGTACCACATCAACAATAGTACGCAAGTATAAACACCATGGGACCACGCAGCCGTCATACCGCTCAGGAAGGAGATGCGTTCTGTCTCCTAGAGATGAACGTACTTTGGTGCGAAAATTGCAAATCAATCCCAGAACAACAGCAAAGGATCTTGTAAAGATGCTGGAGGAAACAGGTACAAAAGTATCTATATCCACAGTAAAACGAGTCCTATACCGACATAACCTGAAAGGCCGCTCAGCAAGGAAGAAGCCACTGCTCCAAAACCACCATAAAAAAAGCCAGACTACGGTTTGCAACTGCACATGGGGACAAAGATCGTACTTTTTGGAGAAATGTCCTCTGGTCTGATGAAACAAAAATAGAACTGTTTGGCCATAATGACCATTGTTATGTTTGGAGGAAAAAGGGGTCTGCTTGCAAGCCGAAGAACACCATCCCAACCGTGAAGCACGGGGGTGGCAGCATCATGCTGTGGGGATGCTTTGCTGCAGGAGGGACTGGTGCACTTCACAAAATAGATGGCATCATGAGGAAGGAAAATTATGTGGATATATTGAAGCAACATCTCAAGACATCAGTCAGGAAGTTAAAGCTTGGTCGCAAATGGGTCTTCCAAATGGACAATGACCCCAAGCATACTTCCAAAGTTGTGGCAAAATGGCTTAAGGACAACAAAGTCAAGATATTGGAGTGGCCATCACAGAGCCCTGAACTCAATCCTATAGAAAATGTGTGGGCAGGACTGAAAAGGCGTGTGCGAGCAAGGAGGCCTACAAACCTGATTCCGTTACACCAGCTCTGTCAGGAGGAATGGGGCAAAATTCACCCAACTTATTGTGGGAAGCTTGTGGAAGACTACCCGAAACATTTGACCCAAGTTAAACAATTTAAAGACAATGCTACCAAATACTAATTGAGTGTATGTAAACTTCTGACCCACTGGGAATTTGATGAAAGAAATAAAAGCTGAAATAAATCATTCTCTCTACTATTATTCTGACATGTCACATTCTTAAAATAAAGTGGTGATCCTAACTAACCTAAGACAGGGAATTTTTACTATGATTAAATGTCAGGAATTGCGAAAAACAGAGTTTAAATGTGTTTGGCTAAGGTATATGTAAACTTCCGACTTCAACTGTATATGTACAGTGCCTGTCGACGGAGCTTCTCCTTGTGTTTCCCCTAGGGGGGTAGTGGGCATTGCCAATGGTGCGGTTTTATAGGCCCTTCTCTTTGCCGCAGAGACAACATTTAGCAGTTTTAAATCACATTTCCTGCAATTCTACACATTTTGCCATGACTTATGCCGTGTTCTTATGCCATCTGAGTGACTCAAACATTATAACAAAATCAACTGGGCATGCCATGACATTTTTGGAATTTTAGATTCTCCCTAACTGTCGAGTTTTAATTTGGGTTATTGTTAGTTCTCAAAGATGATCTTATAAAAATATACACTGAGTGTACAAAACATTAAGAACACCTGGTGTTTTTTATGTTTACACTGAACACGTTTTACCATCCTGAAAATTACTTATTTTGTATCATATTCTTCGGAGTGGTGGGGAAACACTGTAGGCATTCTCTCAACCAGCTTCATGAGGTAGTCACCTGGAGTGTATTTCAATTAACAGGTGTGCCTTCTTAAAAGTTAATTTGTGGAATTTCTTACCTTCTTAATGCGTTTGAGTCAATCAGTTGTGTTGTGACAAGGTAGGGGAGGGGGGGGGGGGGGGGGTATACAGGAGATAGCTCTATTTGGTAAAAGACCAAGTCCATATTATGGTAAGAACAGCTCAAATAAGCAAAGATAAATGAGAGTCCATCATTACTTTAAGACGTGAAGGTCAGTCAATCCGGAAAATGTAAAGAACTTTGAAAGTTTCTTCAAGTGCAGTCGCAAAAAGCATCAAGCGCTATGATGAAACTGGCTCTCATGAGGACCACCACAGGAATGTAAGACCCAGAGTTACTTCTGCTGCAGAGGATAAGTTCATTAGTGTTACCAGCCTCAGAAATTGCAGTCCAAATAAATGCTTCACAGAGTTCAAGTATCAGACACATCTCAACATCAACTGTTCAGAGGAGACTGTGTGAATCAGGCCTTCATGGTTGAATTGCTGCAAAGAAACCACTACTAAATGACACCAATAAGAAGAAGAGAGTTGCTTGGGTCAAGAAACATAAGCAGTGGACATTAGACCGGCGGAAATTTGTTCTTTGGTCTGGAGTCCAAATTTGAGATTTTTGGTTCCAACCACCGTGTCTTTGTGAGACGCGGTGTGGGTGAACGGATGATCTCCGCATGTGTATTTCCCACCGTAAAGCATGGAGGAGGAGGTGTTATGGTGTGGGTGTGCTATGCTGGTGACACTGTCAGTGATTTATTTAAAATTCAAGGCACACTTAACCAGCATGGCTACCACAGCATTCTGCAGCGATAATCCATCCCATCTGGTTTGGGCTTAGTGGGACTATCATTTGTTTTTCAACAGGACAATGACCCAACACACCTCCAGGCTGTGTAAGGGATATTTTACCAAGAAGGAGAGTGATGGAGTGCTGCATCAGATGACCTGGCCTCCACAATCCCCCGACCTCAACCCAATTGAGATGGTTTGGGATGAGTCAGACCGCAGAGTGAAGGAAAAGCAGCCAACAAGTGCTCAGCATATGTGGGAACTCCTTCAAGACTGTTGGAAAAGCATTCCAGGTGAAGCTGGTTGAGAGAATGCCAAGAGTGTGCAAAGCTGTCATCAAGGCAAAATATATTTTGATTTGTTTAACACTTCTTTGGTTACTCCATGATTCCATATGTGTTATTTCATAGTTTTGATGTCTCCACTATTATTCTACAATGTAGAAAATAGTAAAAATAAAGAAAAACCCTTGAATGAGTAGGTGTGTCCAAACTTTTGACTGGTACTGTATGTTCAGTGCATTCTGAAAGTATTCAGACCCCTTGACTTTTTCCACATTTTGTTACGTTAAAGCATTATTCTAAAATTGATTAAATAAATAAAATTCCTCATCAATCTACACACAATACCCCATAATGACAAAGCGAAAACAGGTTTTTAGAATTTTTTTCACTTTTATTAAAAAATAAAAAACTGAAATAGCTTATTTACACATGGATTCAGACCCTTTGCTATGAGACTCGAAATTGAGCTCAGGTGCATCCTGTTTTTCCATGATCATCCTTGAGATGTTTCTACAACTTGATTGGAATCCACCTGTGGTAAATTCAATTGATTGGACATGGAAAGGCACACACCTGTCTATTTAAGGTCCCACAGTTGACAGTGCACGTCAGAGCAAAAACACAGCCTGCTTGGAGTTTGCCAAAAGGCACCTAAAGACTCTCAGACCATGAGAAACAAGATTGTCTGGAGGAAACCTGGCACCATCCCTACGGTGAAGAATGGGGGTGGCAGCATCATGCAGTGGGGATATTTTTAATTTTTCAGCGGCAGTGACTGGGAGACTAGTCAGGATCGAGGGAAAGATGAACGGCGCAAAGTACAGAGCTCCTTAATGAAAACCTGCTCCAGAGCGCTCAGGACCTCAGACTGGGGTGAAGGTTCACCTTCCAACAGCCCTAAGAACACATCCAAGACAACACAGGAGTGGCTTCGGGACAAGTCTCTGAATGTCCTTGAGTGGCCCAGCCAAAATGTCTGTAGAGACCTGAAAATAGCTGTGCAGTGACGCTCCCCATCCAACCTGACAGAGCTTGAGAGGATCTGCAGAGAAGAATGGTAGAAATGTCCCAAATACAGGTGTGCCAAACTTGTAGCGTCATACCCAAGAAGACTCAAGGCTGTAATCACTGCCAAAGGTGCAACAAAGTACTGAGTAAAGGGTCTGAATACTTATGTAAATGTGATAATTCAGTTTTTAAATGTTTATACATTTGCAAAAATGTCTAAAAACCAGTTTTTGCTTTGTCATTATGGGGTATTGTGTATAGATTAATGAGGGAAAAAACACACAATTTAATCCATTTTAGAATAAGGCTGTAACATAACAACATGTGGAAAAAGTAAAGGGATCTGAATACTTTCCGAATGCACTGTTTGTCAGATGTATCTCCGATGTAAGTTGTTTTGCTAGGATCCCAAGTTGTTCCTGACCATGTCACCTGACCAGGAAAGACTCTGAACCCTAGTTTTAGCCTTTAGGGTTCTAGTGGATTTCCAGGTCAGGTAGGTCATGTGGTCAGGAAAAACTGTGTATGTGTATGTCATTTATGTCCTATGTAGGCTACACACTGCACTAAGACAGGTCTAAGTCCCCTCTCCTCTTCTCTATCCCCCCTCAGATCACCCTGATGGGCACGCCCATCCTGCGGCAGGAGAACGCATTGCACTCCAGCGACGTGGCCATGTTCGAGGGCCACCCGTGCAGCCGGGAGCCCTGCCACAACGGGGGTCGCTGCAACCCCCTGCTTGAGAGCTACGAGTGTGTGTGCCTCCACGGCTTCACAGGCACACATTGTCAGAACAGTGAGTGAACAATGATCCTGAATTCAATGCAACGTGTATGTTGGTGTAATATTAATGTCACGCAAGTCTTACAATGTTTCCCTTTGAAGGTTAGAGTTACCCCTCTGTTTCATCATTCTCACCCGTTCGCACACGTTAACACACACACACACACTAACTACACACACGTATACTTTACCAAACCCATTAACCTTGGCCGTATGCCCTACTCTCCCTTTTACTTTAATTAAAACCATAAGCGCATGAACGCTCATCCCAATTCATCACCATCCACTGCCTTGACTCCAATTAAAGGAGCCATGTTTCCTATTGATTCATGTGATCTCATCCAATGTTCCTCCTCCTCTTCCTCGCAGCCATCTTTGAGAAGTCCGCCGGGGAGACGGAGTCCATTGCCTTTGACGGCCTGACGTTTATTGAGTACCACAACGCCGTCACCAAGAGGTAAGGGAGAGGCCATCTTGTCCTTCGATGCTAATGACCTTCGATGCTAATGCTAATTATTTTATGCGAAATGGTCTCCCATGCTAACGCAAACCGGTAGTAGAGAAATGGCTAATGGCCTCCACGTTCGTATTCCACTGCAGTAAGTGGTGGTGACAGGGTTGATTATTCCAGGTCCATTAGGGGCTTCGGAGTTAGCCGGGCATTAGCTAATAGCTCAACCACTTCCCATACGCTGTTTCTCTGGTCTTGACTGAATTTCGCTAATTAGCGGATTGGCTAACAATTACAGCAATGCCCCGAGCGCCCCCCTTGCTTGCTGTACACCACAGCGGAATGAGCCGACACACACACATACACACACACTCTGAATTGACACACACACCATGCATTCCACAACAACCATAGCATCCCTCTCTATACTTGGATTTAATTTAAGCTTATTTTAGAAATACAGAATGCGTGACTGTGTCCCCTCAAAATAGCGGATCTAAAGTGTTGATTTCCATTTAAACACACGCTAGCTATACCAGGAGAAGCTGGATGATGTAAGTGTAAATGGTTTCAATACAAGGTGTGAAAGGGAGAAAAACGTATCCTGCCTTCCAGGCTACCGCAGATACATTTTATCCTCTTCCATCCATCTAAGTCTTCCATGCTGGCTCAAACGCCCGCAGGTTGGCATGCATTAAATCTTTGTGATGATGAACCTGAAAAGACATAAGGCTCCCCATCCAGATCCATTACAAGTCTTCCCACAACACAACACTTGAGGGTGTGAAAATGTAGAAACAGACAGTGAATTTGTGGTCTTATGAACACACACACAAAGAGCACATGTGCATGCACACACATACACACACACACAGGGAAACTCTAAGAGACAATTGTAGGATATGTCTGTATCTTCTGTCTGTTGTCCTGGTTGAGCCTGTCAGATATATGTGCTGCCGTCCATCTGTCTGTCCACTTCTGTCTCATATGAGTGTCCCTTGTCTGTCTTTCTGATGCACTCAAGCCAACTGACCAATGAGATTCCGGAGTAAGTAGACTTAAAGAAATGCAGAACCTTCACAGGTTCAGTCAAAGCCAAACTAACCCAACGATAAATACATTACGATAGTTAACACAAAGTAATAGATTATATATTTATTTTCTCCTATATCATCTTCATCATCTTCACCTGTGCAGATAGCTATCATGTGTATTATATTTAAATAGGCCTACAGCACATTCAAACTCCATGCCCATAATTTGATTTTGACCGGGCTTTTCTCTTTACTCATTAAAATAGACTGGACTATGACTAGCCAAATGCACGCATGACTGCATGTGTACCAGAAGCATTGTGTTCAAACCCATAGCAAAGAGTAAAAGAAGGTGCTATATTGTATGCATGGTTGTAACTGCTTTCCCCAGAACCAGAAATATATCCACGCATCTTAAATTGGATGGTATTAGCTGTCATGTTGAAATTAATGAGACCCCTTCTTAACCCTTTACACTCGTACCCAGATACGGGTTGAAAATGGCAGATTTGGGCACTGATAAGGGCCGAAATTGGAACGCAGTCGCTGTACAGTAAAATGCTATAAATTACGTCAATGCTCAGGCTCTGCACTTCACAGCGCTGTATGTTTTTTTTGCCTGATAGCCATTCTGAACATGAGCATCGCAAGCAACAATAAAGTGCTCCCATCCCTGCCGCTAATTGGGCAAATTGAGCAAATTTGTAGTTGTCTGAGTGAGGAAAATGCTGTAAATTAAGAGGACTCGATGTACTTTGAAGAAGTTGAGACGTTGAGGATTATAATAAATACCACTTTGATGTCACACAAGCAAGCCAAACACCTGTAAGTCAAAATGTGCACATTTCTATATCATAAAACTCATGTCATATACAGTGTCAACGTTTAGGATCACTATGTTTGATGAACAGTTACAGGATGGCATGGCGTCATACCCTGGGTTGTTCTGAACAGAATGAGCCTATATTTGTTTATTGTGAGAAGATTTGCCACGGAACATGCACCTGAATGCACGCATTACTTCTTTCTATGCGCACCAAAATTACGATCTGTTTCTCTGAATTACCCTGTGAAAGCCTAACACTGTAAGATCATATTTTATAACTTAACTAGTCATGTTGTCAATAGAACAAGCTGTCAAATGATGCCCACCTGACCCAGAATGCGATTTACAGTGCATTCGGAAAGTATTCAGACCCCTTCCCATTTCCACATTTTGTTACGTTACAGCCTTATTCTAAAATGGATTTTTTTTAAACTATCTCATCAATCTGCACACAATACCCCATAATGACAAAGCAAAAACAGGTTTAGACATTTTTGCAAAAAAACAACAACCCTGAAATATCTTATTTACATAAGTATTCAGACCCTTTGCTATGAGACTCGAAATTGAGCTCAGGTGCATCCTGTTTCCATGATTTGGAAAAGCACACACCTGTCTATATAAGGTCCCACAGTTGACAGTGCATGTCAGAGCAAAAACCAAACCATGAGGTCGAGGCAATTGTCCGTAGAGCTCCGAGACAGGATTATGTCGAGGCACAGGTCTGGGGAAGGGTACCAAAAAATGTCTGCAGCATTGAAGGTCCCCAAGAACACAGTGGCCTCCATCATTCTTAAATGGAAGAAGTTTGGAACCACCAAGACTCTTCCTAGAGCTGGCCGCCCGGCCAAACTGAGCGATCGGGGGAGAAGGGCCTTGGTCAGGGAGGTGACCAATAACCCAATGGTCACTCTGACAGAGCTTCAGAGTTCTTCTGTGGAGATGGGAGAACCTTCCAGAAGGACAGCCATCTCTCCACCAATCAGGCCTTTATGGTAGAGTGGCCAGACAGAAGCCACTCCTCAGTAAAATGCATATGACAGCCTGCTTGGAGTTTGCCAAAAGGCACCTAAAGGACTCTGACCATGAGAAACAAGATTCTCTGGTCTGATGAAACGAAGATTGAACTCTTTGGCCTGAATGCCAAGCGTCACGTCTGGAGGAAACCTGGCACCATCCCTAAGGTGAAGCATGGTGGTGTCAGCATCATGCTGTGGGGATGTTTTTCAGCAGCAGGGACTGGGAGACTAGTCAGGATGGAGGGAAAGATTAAGTCTCTGAATGTCTTTGAGTGGTTTCAACCAGAGAGACCTGAAAATAGCTGTGCAGCGACGCTCCCCATCCAACCTGACAGAGCTTGAGAGGATCTGCAGAGAAGCATGGGAGAAACTCCCCAAATACAGATGTGCCAAGCTTGTAGCGTCATACCCAAGAAGACTCAAAGCTGTAATCGCTGCCAAAGGTGTTTCAACAAAGTACTGAGTAAAGTACAATAATTTCTAAAAATCTGTTTTTGCTTTGTCATCATGGGGTATTTTGTGTAGATTGATGAGGGAAAACAACAATTTAATCAATTTTAGCGTGACAAAATATGGAAAAAGTCAAGGGGCCTGAATACTTTCCGAATGGGCCATTTTTGGATTGCATGAACATTAACAGTAATCGTGTGACGGCGGGGATGCAGGGTTGTGTTCCGAACAAGTGTGCTTGCTCTAGTTCCTCAACTGCACAGCTAGGAGAGCTCAAATAAGTACCTTATAGTTGAAGACTCTTCTTTGAGTCATAAAAGTGCATTGAAATGACTTAGGAACTGTGGACACTTGGAGAGGTGACACCAGTTAGCCCTCTCACTCAAACCCTTGTAATTAGTTTTTTGTCATATGTTGCACCTACCCTACATTTTCCATGAATATTCTTATCGTGTTACTGAATGTATCTAGAGTATTTTCTGGTGAAAAGAACAGTAAATGTAAAATGCACATAAAATCAACAGTGTAATGTTTGGATTCAGTCTTGTGAACTGATTTCCCATAATCTCCAAACTGTACCATGCTTTTGCATTTCATATTTCTTCTGTAAGAAACATTTCAATTTAGCCCTGTCCATATAGGCAATTCCCACAAGTGTAAAGGGTTAACTGCAAGATAGTGGACCAAAAAATTCCCCCTTCCTCAGTTTTGCTGCCAGTCCCCCATCTTTTACTTCACCGCCGCCTCTAGGGCAACACTTAGATCATACTTTGTTGTTAGTTTCCTTTGCTGGCATTAGCTTGGTAAGTAACCTCTTAAAATAATTTCTAAGCAGGGAAGTTGGATTTAGGTTGAATTATGCAGAGCAGATTCACCAGAGAATTCGATATCCACATTTAAGCCCCTGTCATTTCACTTAGTTCAATCTGTAACTGCAATTATGAATATTTATCGAGTCGGATGCGGAGAAAAAGGACGTCTGACATGTTAATCAAAGAGTTGTTTCCTCTTTTAAAAATAATTTAAAAGAAAGACCTCAAATTGAGGCATCTTTCAGACCAGCCCTAACTATGTGGCAGCGGGTATCAATATGCGTTAGGGCAGCGTTTCCCAAATTAAAATGATCAAAGCTTTATGATTAGTTGATTATCAGCTTTGTAGTGCTATGCAAAAAACTAAACGTGCACCCTTTGGGGTCCCGAGAACTGAGTTTGGAAAACCCTGCGTTAGGGTGACAATCATGGTCCTTCGAGCCGGACTGGCCAGAGGAGCTTTAATAGTTGTCACTTCCTGTAAAGAGCGAGGGGCGCGATTATGGTCCAAACCAGAACTAGCCAGCCCAATCTCTCTGAGCGAGTGTCATCGATTCAACATGATCTGGTGTTGAACAGAGATTAATAAATAAATTAAGTAATTGATTAATTAATTCCTCAGAGGAACGTTATAGCAAAGTTATTACAACACACAGACCACCACTGTATCACCATGGGCTAATGTTGCTTTTACTATTTACAGTAGCCTAGATCAGTCTTCATTCCTCTTCTGAAAGCTTGGGTCAATTTCCTCACGCCCCATTATTGGAGCGACCAATCATATAGGGCCCTGTCTCTGGTAATACAATATTTGACCCCATTTTTGTTGATTACCCAATTTTTCTCATTCGGTGCTTCCTTCACTC